ATATATATATATATATATATATATATATATATATATATATATATATACATATACAGAATGTCTGGCTGTAAGCCTTTAGTACACTGGGCATAAATCCTGATTTTACACTGTCTCCTGAACAGTATTGTTCACTCCATTCTAAAGAAAATTGGTATTCTAACCCCTTTCCACACCTAAGCAGGATGATAAAGTATTGAAACACATACACACAGAGCAGGGAGAGAAGTAATGTTTGAACATACAAGAGTAGCTATTTGTAGCACACTGACAAAAATACAATACAGACAGGAGAAATTAATATATATGTATATATGCTTTATCAAACCCTTTTCCCTAGTTTGTATGAATAGTCCTAGCTATGTCACTCTGTAACACATGTATTTTTTTCTGTGATAGTCTTCCTTTTTCTTTCCTGTTTGTTTTTTCCTTTCTACTTTTTCACCAATACATTTTTATTCCCTCTTGAAACACAATATCGATGCTAATATTAATTTATTCTAACTGAACCTATTCCATCTGTAGTTTGTAATTTCACTATATTTTCAGTTGAATTGTTATACATTAGTAACTCTTGCTAATTAAAAATATTTCTTTTCTAATATCACCAACATTATTTTTTATTTCCTTAAACATCTTTTCACTACTTACAATACCTACACATGGAAAATTATATAACCCAGTCTTCAAATTCTATGCAAGACAGTGGCTTTAAATATAGTTCTGATGAAATTTATGTCAAAATATATTCATTTACTCTATCTCTGTTTTATCAGATTCAGAAGGCTTGAGTGCCCAGATTATCATAGATGCCAATGACGGTGCTCAAGGTGTCATTGAATGGCAACGTAGCAGGTAAACTAAAGGCTGTGTGAGCTACTACCTTAGGTTCAGATTAAGTTGTTTCTTCACAACTACGAAATAGAAGTTATGAGAGAAAACTGAGCCTATGTCTTTATTCCAGGTTTGAAGTGAATGAAACTAGTGGCATTGTAACATTGGTAGCCCAGAGGAGCAGAGAGGCCCTTGGCCAGGTGTCCTTGTTTATGTATGCCCAGAATCTAGAAGCCCAGATGGGGCTGGATTATATCTGCTCTCCACAGGTAAGGCTCTACATAGCTATGACAGCCACTTACAATCACTGGTCCTCGAGAGTGGACTGATATAGGTCTTTCCTGGATAAATTAATCTCAATAACTACTGTGTAAGCTACTCCAGAGTGAGACCTGGCAGGTAATTTCTGTATTATATAGTTCTCTCTGCTGAAATAAGCAATTGAATTAAGTTTTTATTCCAAATATCACTTCAAATTTACTACTTTCGGAGTATTTAATTCTGTAGAATACTAGATCATGCATTAAAAAGGTTAATCAATAGATTTTCCCCAGATTGTTTCTATGCTTTTTTTGGTCTTAATTTACAGAAATGTTTCAAGACCTTGAAATACTTTTAAAAAATCTTGTGTTTCCATCCCTTTCATTTTTTTTCTTTTTTCTTTTTTTCATTTGGATACCATTTATTTATTTTTTCTTTATTAATTACACTATACAATCCCTCCCTTCCTCCACCCTCTGCATGCATGCCCCTCCCAAGTCCACTGATAGGGGAGGACTTCTTTTCCTTCCTTCTGATCCTAGTCAATTAGCTTTCATCAGGAGTGGCTGTATTGTCTTCTTCTGTGGCCTGGTAATACTGCTTCCCCCTCAGGGGAAGGTAATTAAAGAGCAGGCCAATCAATTCATGTCAGAGACAGTCCCTTTTCCTATTACGATGGAACCCACTTGGATACTGAACTGCCATGGGCTACATCTATGCAGGGGTCTTAGGTTATCTCCATGCATAGGCCTTGGTTGGAATATCAGTCTCAGGAAAGACCCCTGTGCTCAGATATTTTGGTTCTGTTGCTCTCCTTGTGGAGTTCCTGTCTTCTCCAGATCTTAGTGTTTCCCACTTCTTTCCTAAGATTCCCTGCACTCTGCCCAAAGGTTGCCCATAAGTCTCAGCATCTGCTTTGATAGTCTGCAGGGAGAAAAGAGGTAACAAGTCAGGAGCCTGACACAGGGGACCTCTGAAAAGCTCTGCCCTGCAGACTATCCCCTTCATTTCTTAACCATCTATTTGCTTTCTTCTACTCTGTAAGCTTTACTTGAAATATTTTCAGTTTAAAATTAAACAAAAAGAGATCATGTCAAAATTTAAGCTCCCTGAAGCTAGAGTTTCAGGAGGTTACAAGATGCATGATGAAAGTTCTGGGAACCCAGCTTTGGTGCTCTGAAAGAGCAGCAAATGCTTTTAATTGCTGAACCATCTCCCAGCCCCCAAAATAGCTTATTTTCTACATTATCAGTTTTACAGTTGCTTTCTAGACCTTTTATGAAAACTCAGAGTGAATTTAAATTTATGGCTTTTTCTTTTATCAATTTTTTTTATCAGATTCTTCATTTTGCTGATGGAGAAAGGTATAAACATGTGGATGTTATGATTCTGGATGATGACATTCCAGAGGGAGATGAAACATTTCAGTTGATATTAACAAACCCTTCTCCTGGACTAGAGCTGGGGAAAAGTACAATAGGTAATTATCACTCATTTCCCACAGTCTTCCTTTTGCTATCCTGGCTTTAGCAGTGTGCAGCCAAGAGGATGAGCCTTTTCCTTGCCTCATAAGAGAAGGGCTCTTAAGCTCTGCATTTCTAAGTTCTCATGCCAGTGGTAATGAGTCTGTGTGTCTGTGTGTGTGAAAACAGCAAGGTCAGAGTAGGCTGATGCTAAAAGTAGTATTAAGTGATATTTCACAGTTACTATAGTTTTATTCAATGTGTAAAAGTCTTTCCTCAGAATTTGAGTTCTGGTGTGGTTTTATACTTAATAATGACAAAAATCATGACCATGGTTTTTCCAGTGTTGCTTCAGTGCCATGGAATTTATGTATAGACGAGGGGTACTGAAGTCTCAGATACAGCATGAGAGTTTTCATTCTTTAGTTAGAATAGTTTGCTATTGTTTTTAAGGGCACCCGATATGACTGTGGGTTAAGCTTTCCGATGACTCTAAGCAATGGCAAAACAATAACGACAGAGCAAACGCCGTGGATGTACTGAGTTCCACAGAAGAAAAGATTTGCTTGTGCATTTGTTATAATTTTTTATTCTCTGAACATTTCATACAGATTTACAGTGAAATGTGATTATATCCACCCACATTTTCCCACCTCAGCTCCCTTGGATTCCACCTTCCCCAATAGGTTCCTCTCCCAACTTCATACTGTCACCTTCTTTTTCTTCCTCTTTCTTCTGGTCGTCATCATTGTCCCCCTCCTCCTCTTCCCCTCTGCTTTTTGATAATCTACCAAGTACAGTTAGTATCACCAGTATGCGCATGGGTGTGGGACTATCCACAGGCCCATGGGATCTACTAGTAGCTAAACCCAGAGGAAACTGATTCTCTGCCTAGCTTCTCGTCGTTGCCAGTAGCTCCCCTGTAAAGGATAGGCACTCTCAACTTTCTGACAGGATCTCATCTGGCTTGATTTTGAGCAAATATTGTGCACATAACCCAGCTGCTGCTAGTGGGTGCAGCAGCCAACATGTTCAGAAGACAGTGTTGGATGGTTCTTCTCTCCTTGGCTCCTCCATTCTTTCTGCTTCCTCATTTGTGATGTTCCCTGAGCCTTGGCGGGGTTTGGGAGGGAGCTTTGATAAAGAGGTCACGTTTCAGGGTGAGCATTCATAGCCTTAGAAGAGGTTTTGAAAAGTTACTTCTGGGTGAGAAAGTAGCTCATGGGTACCGTGGCCGCCTAACATGCACAAGCCCTGGCTTTGGCCCCAGCACCGCATGTATGGCGTGCTGGTGCAGGCCTGGAATCCCAGTATTCAGGGGGCAGAGCAGGAAGGTTATGAGCTCAGGGCCAAACTCAGACTATACATAAAGGGCCAGGCAGCATGAACTTCACGAGACTCTGTTTTTGACCAACGGCAGATTCTCTATGAAGGAGCATGCTTAGCACTGCACAGGCCCACAGGAGCTAGACTGAATTTTCCCAGAGTCCTAGCCACGTACTCAAGAATGAAATAAAAAGTCACACATATTGTGTGTAGTCAGGAAGCTTTTTACGAAAGCAAAGCAATGGAACAGATCAGAAATACAGTGTTAAGCTTGACATCTGGTCACATGTAGGAGGGTACTCAGGTCCTGGTTATTGGTCTTTTTATGTGCTTTAGGAGAAGGAAGAGCTTGGTTGCTCAGTGAGAGCAGCTTTTTGCGTAACTAACAGATTAAATCATGCGGTCAGTTTTGTACTGTGCGTATCCCTTCTCGTAATGCATCTGATTTCTGTCATATCCATGCTCAGTTACACATAGACATACGATGTTAAACAGGGCATTCTCTGTTAAAGTTCAATTCAGGACATAATTTTGCCTTATTGTACATGCACCCACCATAATCTTAAGCTTAATAATTACATCTAGTAACATTATGTTTTGAATTCACTGTTCCCATTTGTTTTGGGGAAGTGCAGTGAACTTTACTGACAGTACGTGAGAATTGGGATCCTAACCCCCTGCTTCCGGGGATTCTGGGATGGATATGTAAGAGGAGATGCTCAGTGTGTTGGAACTAAGCGGAGGCAGATACTTCCCGGTAGCTGAAGGCCTCAGTCTTCCTTCCCTGTTCTTGCTGGGTGTATGCTTCAGGGCTCCATTCTCCTGACAGGCTATTTTCACCATGAGGTCAACCACCATGTTAGTGGATCCAAATTCATTGTCTTAGCAGTAAGTGAGCTTGGCAGAGTGTTCATCGACAGCAAAGCTATTGTAAAGGGTAGAAGACCAAATGTCACTGTTAAGGTTCCAGGAGACAACCTGATCCTCTATAGCCCAGGATTACCACTAGGGACCTGTGACATCTGTTATATTACTTTGTTGATATTATTGTATTTGACAGCTTTCTCTAAGGCAGCTGGTCACATTCACAACAGACACACCGAGGGTGGAACAGGGAAGGCTGTTCTGTAAATGTCCCACTCATCTCTGGAATTACCTGGCCTATGTCCAAGTGGACACTAGGATGCTCTTCTGGGCAGTCCAGAGGCATGACATTGCAGTTCTCCTGAGGTGCCAGCCACAGGCCTTTGGGCTGCAGTGATGACATGGTCTACAGTCATGAGTCCCTACGTGGTGGTGAGGCTGTCATGGAAAGGGTAGAGGCGTGGGTCTAAGCCCTTGGTGGTCAGGGGCCTTGCTGACATTTTGAGTAAATTTTCATACGTCTCATGGCCACGTCCATTGCAAACATGCAGGCTCAGCAGGGGGGCAGAGATGGTGATCCTTCAGCTTCACCCTTCAAGGTGGCCCCAGCCTTATCCGTGGTTGTGAATTACCAATAGATTCCACTATGTTTTCGACGCAAGTATCACCCTCTTTGATGCAGATGTGATCTCACTCATGCAAGATAGAGGAAGCCTTAAGTAACAGAAGGTTCCTGTACTCAGCCTCGGCTGTGGAAGACAGTTTTGGTGGAATCATACTGGGTGTAGATGTTTTGGTTGAGGTCAGCAAAGGGGTCATTAATGGCAACAGTATGCACTTTGCCTGATCTTAAGGCAGTCCTGGTGAGCAGGTACCCAGACCACCAAATCCGTTCACTCCAACCTTTATCATCTTATGTCAGGGATGAGGCTGACCGCCGGAGATGTGGCCTGGAAGTGTGGAGCTGTCCAGGAAGATCAGAAGGCTCCGTTGTTAGACTTTTAAATCTTCTGCGGGTGGACTTTTTATGTGTCAAATTCATTATATTTTCTTTTATTATACATTTTTAAAATATCAGTATTTTTGTTATTTTTTTAAATTCTATTTGCTTTCTCTCAAAACAATGTACATTATTTTTACTATGTTTTTCTGAAATTTTCATAATTTTGAATTGTATGTGATCATTTTTAGCATAGAATGAAATTATTTACTGATAATGATAATATATGAGACAAGAATATAAATTTATTTTTATTCTATAATTTATAAACAACTACTCTAATTTCTAAAATGTGCTTTCACTGGCTGTTAATCTTCAGTATAAAATTTATTTTTATCTATGTGTCCTAGTTTATTTTGTTTCTCTGATAAACACTATGACTAGAGTACACCAGGGTGGAAAGGGTTAATTTTAGCTAAATAGGTTCATCAGGAGCAGAAGACCAGGCAAGAACTCAAGAAAAGAACCTGGAGGCAGGAACTAAGGCAAAAAGGCCATGGAAGAATGATGTTTAATATCTTGCTCTCTGTGGCTTTCTTTCTTTTCTTTTTTTTTTTTTTTTTGGATTTTTAAAAATTCTTTATTAATTACACTTTATTCACTTTGTATCCTTCCCTGTGGTTCCCTCCCTCCTCCCATCCCAATCCCTCCCTTCCTCCACCCTCTGCATGCATGCTCCTCCCCAAGTCCACTGATAGGGGAGGACTTCTTTTCCTTCCTTCTGATCTTAGTCAATTAGGTCTCATCAGGAGTGGCTGCATTGTCTTCTTCTGTGGCCTGGTAATACTGCTTTCCCCTCAGGGGGAGGTAATTAAAGAGCAGGCCAATCAGTTCATGTCAGAGACAGTCCCTGTTCCTATTACAATGGAACCCACTTGGATACTGAACTGCCATGGGCTACATCTATGCAGGGGTCTTAGGTTATCTCCATGCATAGGCCTTGGTTGGAATATCAGTCTCAGGAAAGACCCCTGTGCTCAGATATTTTGGTTCTGTTGCTCTCCTTGTGGAGTTCCTGTCCTCTCCAGATCTTAGTGTTTCCCACTTCTTTTCTAAGATTCCCTGCACTCTACTCAAAGGTTGCCCATAAGTCTCAACATCTACATTGATAGTCTGCAGGGCAGAGCCTTTCAGAGGTCCTCTGTGTCAGGCTCCTGACTTGTTCACTGTTTTCTCCTTCTGATGTCCATCCTCTTTGTCTTTCTGGATAGGAATTGAGCATTTTAGCAAGACTAAACTCTGCGGCTTTCTTAGGTTGTTTTTTTTTTTTTTTTTTTTTTTTTTTTTTTTTTTTTTTTTTTTTCTTTTTTTTTTTTTTTTTTTTTTTTTTTTTTTTTTTTTTTTTTTTTTTTAATGTAAGCCTGGACTCTTCTCTACTGCCACCACATGAGCCATCCTTAGAGAAAATTCCCCACAGGCTTGCACTGATGCTGGCCTCAGAGGGCGGGGGAGGGGAGAGAGCCACTGCTGCAGGAATTCGAGCTACTGTATAAAGGGACCTAAGAGTGGGTCAAGGGAGACAAGGTGGCCACAGACAGCAGGTTGTGCCTTTCTTTGTGTCCATCTTTCTTGTGTTTTCACATTAATTTCTGTGCTGTCTGTTTCGAGTGAGATCCCTTTACTGTTATATTTTCACACAATGATTGTTTAATATAGGGCTCTCTGTGGCTTGCTCAGCTTTCTTTCTTTCTTTTTTTTTTTTTTTTTATGTAAGCCATGACCACTATCTACTCCCACATTAGTCATTGTTCAAGAAAATTCCCCACAGGCTTGCCTGCTAGTTCTGTCATGGGCTGATGTTGTCCTCAGAGGGGGCGGGGAAGGGGATATGTAAATACATATATCACATTATAATATATAGTGGATATAACAGCTATATAATGCTATCTATGTACACACACACACCACCTGATATATAAAGATGTTATGATAATGCTTAAGTCTGTATGTCTAAGCTGGCAAGATGGCTCAGCATATAAAGGTGTTTGCCACCAAGCCTGATGACCTGAGTTTGATCCCTGGGATTTACACGGCAGATCTCTACAAACTGTCTTCTGACTTCCACATATACACACACTGTGATATGGGTGCTCTCCTCACAGATAAATGAATGTGATTGTAAGAGTACTAAACATCATGGCTTCCACCACAGCTCTGCTCCCTTCCAGCTTTTGAATGTCTGTGGAGTATCTGTGTACACTGTGTCACAGTCTGTAAGATGGGAATAGTAAAAGGTGTCCCTTATAGGGCTATAGTGAGAACTGAATCAATACCGATTACACAGTCAGTATAAAGTCATTGCCTTTCTCCAGTCTTCAATTCCTGCTTGGACATTTTTGCTTCAACAGCTTTGATTACTGTCCTTGCGAATGACGATGGCCCTGGAGTTCTGTTCTTTAACAACAGTGAGCACATTTTTCTCAGAGAACCGACCTCTCTCTACATGCAAGAGAGCGTGGCGGTGTTAGTCATCGCACGAGAGCCTGCACGAGGCCTGTTTGGAACCGTGGCTGTTCAGTTTGCCCTGACAGAAGTCAATTCTACAGCTGAATCTAAGGACCTGCTTCCTTCCAAAGGCTTTATCGTTCTAGAGGAAGGTGTTCGATCCAAGGTACAGTGTGAATCTTTACTACCTTTAATGAGAACAAACATTGTCTTTAGTATTTAAAATAATTTTCCCTCAGAAGTGGGCCCTATGATTTCAAAAAACGAAACAAGAAAATCTTCCTAAATGACAGAGTGAAAGGCACTAGTGTGCGGCCAGCATTACAGCATTATAACATGTTTGCAGATGTCAAGTGGGGAAATTCCTGGGAATATGGTAGAGGAATGTGCAAGGATTAGATTGTGCCATTAGAGTTTCGAAATTTAAAATAATTTTCAGTTTTTCGTTATACTGTCTTTAAGAAAATAAGTTAAAAGAAACTTCCATCATTGGGCTTTCATTGTTGTCTGCTGAACAAACATGACTGCTTGCTAAGGACTGCTGATACAAGAGCAGGAGGAGCTTAGTAAGAAAACGATAATTTATTATGAACGCTGTCCATAATAAAAATAAAGTAAAGCAGACCTTCTAACTTTCCTTTTCTATATTCTAACTTTTTTTTGTTTTGGAATTCAATTTTATTATTTATTATTTTATTTTTATTAACTTCTCATTTCTATTTACTTTACTTTTATATATATGACTATTTGACCATGTATATATGTGTGTACCACACGTGTGCTTGGTGCGTGTGGAGGTCAGAAGGAGTGCATTGGTTCCTTTGGAAATGAAGTTACAGACAGGTGTGAGCTGCCATGTGGGTGCTGGGAAGTGAACCCAGGTCCTTTGGAAGAAAAGCCAGTGCTCTTACTCAAGAGCCATCTCTCCAGTCTCTCAACTTTATGTCTGAGATACAGTTAACAGGATCTGGTTACATTATCTTACACATTTCAAAGCTAGCAAGCCACTAGAGTACTGTGCTTACGGTGACTGGACAGCTGCAGTCACCTAACGTCTGGGGAATGCTCCTGTTTCCTGCTGTGGGCTGGACCCAGGACCTTGGGAATGCCAGGCAGATGGACCTCAGTCCCCTTATGTCATGTAAACTGCAGCATGTTTTCCATGTTCAGTATTTTTATATTCTTGAAAATCTAAAACATTTAATTGATTTGTTTAAATTTTTACTTCAATTTTGAAATAATATGAAAGTTTAAAGCATAAGTGTTTCATAAATTTGCTAGCACTTTATTTTTTATTTTTATTTTCTTCTTTTGGAAAGAAAAAAAATTTAATATTTAAAAATTTAATATTTTAAAATTACTTTTTTATTTTGACTTTTCCTTGAGAATTTTCTTATAGTTTTAAGATGCTTTGATATGTTCACTAGGAAAATTAATTGTTAGAACAAATGAAATAATTTTTGAACAAACCTAACTGTGCCCACATTTAATTTTAAAATATAAGATGTGTGGTACACAGTCCCTAAGCATTTGGCGAATGACTTTAAAGATACGTATCTGCACATGTAGCCACCACTCAGAGTAAGAATGTTCTAATAACTGCCGTTCAGAAGCTTCTCTTTTTGTCCTTTCCCCTTTCCAGAGGAAGTGTTTATCCCGCTTACGACGCAGGGCTCGTCTTGCCCTGTATGGAGGGGAGGTTTCATCAGCTGCAGTTTGCTGTCTCTCACACAGCATCCTGGAGCATGGGAACGCATCTACCGCAGGTGGCTCTCTCTACCCAGCTGCATTCCGTGGCCGAGACCACAGCCCTTTCACTCTGCTGCTGGCAAGCATTTGCATGGGTTCTAGCCTGACATAGATTCTAGACAGTCATTTCCAGTTTGGAATGAGGTTAAGAAATTATGCAGCCCAGATAAGGCAAAAGTGTCCCGTATGTCACAGAAATAGGCACATGAGTTTCTTCAGACACTGGAGGAGCAGCAGACCACAGGGCTGACAGTCCCCAAGGTAGGAACTTGAGACAGTTGTAGTCATCGCATGATGGGGATCAAGTATAAACGGAACTCATGTTTCAAAACATACGTTGTCAAATGTTTAGTACATTTCTCCATGTGTCTTTCAGAAATGACCACATTCTCTTAACTGTACTTTTTCATTTTGTTGTCAGGCCCTGCGGATCTCTGCCATATTAGACACAGAACCAGAAATGGATGAGCATTTTGTCTGCACCCTGTTTAATCCAACTGGAGGTGCCAGGCTGGGGGCCCAGGTTCAAACCTTGATAACAGTTTTGCAAAATCAGGCCCCTTTGGGACTATTCGGTATCTCTGCTGTTGAGAATAGGTATGTGTTATTTATAAAACATTAGCATTGTGAAACGAAATAGCTAATACTTTTGAACTGAAAACACATAGAAGGAAATTAATATCTGGTTATTTTTAAAATGTCTGGATATGATATATTTATATTTTATTTCTTAAAATAATTAAGGGATCAAACTATATTAATAGGCTAAACATTTCCTACTTCATTTATTTCTTATCAGATATCTGACAATATTGTTTGACTATATACTGTGAAGTGACAGATATTTAATCATTGTTACGATAACATAATTGGAATGTCGTATTCATATCTTTTATTAAAAAATTTCTATAAGTGAATACTTTTGAATACTAGAGTCTAGTCTCTCCAGTGTACACAATTTGTACACTTGAGTGTATGATTTTTGAAGTATATGAAATGATATGCTGGCAGTGTGATATATATTTTATATTTAGAAATTGTAATTTTTTGCTCTCCAAAATCCTTTTGTTTTTTTGTTTGTTTGTTTGTTGTAGTGCTACCTCTATAGACGTTGAGGAATCCAACAGGAGTGTGTACCTCAGTGTGTCACGTATGAACGGCCTTGATTCGGCTGTGAGTGTGCAGTGGGAGACAGTGTCTGAAACAGCTTTTGGCATGAGTACGTTTAGTTTTTCCCTGAATTGTGTGTTCCGCGTGTGTTTTCAACAGAACAGGTACTGACTCTCCGATTATAGTCATAGTATTTATTGTGCGTTTATCATGCACTAGTCTTGGAACTCAGCTCACAGAGCTTAGAATTTAGGCATTGCCAGAAATAAATATAGGAAATAAAAATAATTTTGCATTACAAATGGTAGTATATGCTTTAAAGGGGAAATTGGAAGTAGTGAAAATATAAGTGAGAGCTGCAGAGTTGGCTCTACAGTTAAGATTACTTGATTCTCTTCCAGAGGATCCGAATTCTGTTCCCAGCAATCATGTCAGGAGGCTTACAACTGCCTCTAACTCCAGATTCAGGGGATCTGACACCTTCTTCTGACCTCTGCCGGCACCTATACACATGCCATATAATCAAACACACACACACACACACACACACACACACACACACACACACACACATAAAATAAAAAATACTAGGTGAGTACTTCTGAGGAGAATCAAAGTGTAAATTAAGACTGACTGATGAATGGGGATGGGGTGAAAGGACTGGACTGGAAGACACTGGGGACAACAGTGAGGGGCTGGCAGTGCTGGGGACAGAGTCAAAAACTGACACACAAGAGAAACTATCAAATGGACAGTGGACAGAGAAGTAAGAGAGAATGCTAACCTTGATTAGTTAGGAAAGCCAGATCGTTAAAGACCTTGAAAAATATTTCTGGCCATGTTCATCCTGGGTTTAATGAAAAGTCTTTCAGTGGCTTTGGCATGAGTAAGAGTGGTGTGTGTGGTATGACCATGTTTATATTTTATAGATATTGTTCATAGTGTCATGTACGGAATTGTTTGCATAGAGGAGAACGGGTGCAGAGGATAAGCAAGGAGGCAGCAGGTTAGGTAGCCTAGACCAAGTGATGGATTGGCTGATGGTGGGTGAGATGCTGTGGCTGACTCCAGGTTTCTAGCTTGAGTTAAATGGAAGTTCAAGCTTTCATCTAAGACATTATGAAAGAAGTATTATTTGATACAGAGAGAGGACTATGTGTGTTTTGGAACGTGTTGTAGTTGAGTTAGCATTGAGAAGATACTCCTCTGGATTAAATGGAAATTTTCTGATGGATGATGATTTGGAAGCTTTGGCATATTATATTGAGACTCGAGAATTGAAAGACTAAAAAGAGAGACTGTAGTTAGATTGGGGACAGGCATGCACACTGCACTCTGTAAAGGCTTATATTGAGTGGCTAGGGATGGGGACATGACCAAAGAAAGGAGATTTGAAATGCTTGTGAGAAACCCAGGAAAATGCAAGATTGCTTCCAAAGGCAAAAGAGTATGAGAATTGAGGAGATGCTGTGTGTGCCTCTTCAGGTGGAAGTTCAGTAAGATGAAAACCCAATCATTTCAGTTACTAAGGTGGCACTCATTCATGAGCATAGTGAAGGCTATTTGTTTAGGGGCCAGGAACTGAAGAATACACTGAGTGGAGGTCAAATAAGAGAGACTTTAAGTACTTAAAAGGACTAGGGTCTAGAGGAAATATTGCTGAACATTGAGAAGTCCTACGTGAGCATTGAAAGTTACTGGCACTTGCTTCACGGTTGATGGAAAAGGTCTAGGAAATCAAGAAAGACTGAAAATTAGGAGGAGAGACAGAAGTAGAGATACTGCCTAGAAGACAGGAGACCAATATCCATGTACATACATATGTCATATACGTGACAAGATATATGAAGAGAAAGCCTTGGTTTCCCACTAAGCCTGTTCTTGCTACAGCTCTTAGACGTAGGCCCGAGAATGGTCGATCCGGAGAGGCCCTTGTTTAATCTTCATTCACCGCCTTCGTGCGTCACAGGACAGAGGATTTCTCTGTCTGTCGCTTTTCCTCATGACTCTTACTGAAAAGGCTGAGGAACTTTCTGAACATTTGGAGATGAGAATGTAGTGTGTGCTTTTAGGAAAGAAAGTCTCCAGTGGATACTGCCTCTGGGTATTGACACTGTGTCTTCTTGAACTAAAAATCTAGCTATTCAGTAATTTACATAAGTTACAGGTTTTGTTATTCTTATTCTATTATGTTCACATAATTAGCTAAAGTTTAAAAATATCTTACTTTGGAAAACAGTCATGACATACATGATAAAACTTTTTAAATAACGATTCATCATAAATTAGCATTTTCTCTTTTAGTGTTTTTAAATACAGAATTTTAGAACATGTAAAATTTATAAGTCCTCTAAGTCACTTGAAGTCAGTGAGTCTACATAGATATTATAGAATAGAAACTGAAAAGCTGTTGGATGGGCAGACATCAAAAATATGAGATTAAGTTTTATAATACCATTAGCATGTTTCTGTAAAACATACTTTTTTATATTCAAGTTTCAGCAGTCTTTTGTTAATATTTCTGGAAGCTGACAGAAGTCATTTTAGCATGTTTCTCTTAGAATTTAGTTTTGAATACACTTGGGAAAGATTGCAGGCTATAGATAAAAGTGTTATTACTACTTTTAAAAAAATGAATACGTTTAGTTACTGTTTCCAAGCTTTCTAGTGTTTCTCTTTTACGCACACACATGCGCACACGCATCATCATCTTTGTAGCACACTCACTAGTTTCACCATTTAAATGATCCCAAGTGAGATAAGGTTCAGATGCAAGTATATACATATATATTTATTTTATTGTTTTAGGGGGAACAGATGTTGTCTTTTCCATATTTCAAAGCTTTTTTGACAAGAAAGCAAGTGGCTGGTGTTTCTTTACTGTCGGAGATTCAGTTTATGGCATAATGTTAAGAAAATCGTCATCAGTTGTCTACCGATGGCAAGGGACATTCATTCCAGTTGAGGTAAACATCCCTTCTCGCTTCGTGGTACCCCAAATTTGTATGTGAACAGTTTGATACCACATTCATTACTAATATCATTTTGTTTTCTAGGACTTAAACATAGAAAGTCCTGTGACTTGTGAGGCCTTTAGTATTGGTGTTTCCCCCTATCTTGTGATTACTCACGGGGAAAGAAATGGAGAAAAGCCTTCTGTTAACAGTGTGTACACGTTCACTTCTGGATTCAAATTATTCCTGGTAATTTTTTTTTCATTTCTCTGTAGATTGATATACATTGTAGCAAGTATTTTAATTCAAGGTTTTTGTCTCCAAGTGAAACTTCAGAATGTATCACTGCGAAATAAATACATTTTCAAATCTTAAGCCAGGTACTAAAATATGCCATTACTGCATTCATTTGCTTCCATCATTAAAGACTTTCAAATGTTTATTTCCACTCTTTTGCAGGTACAGACAATCATTATATCAGAAAGTCGCCAAGTAAGACATTTCACCTCAGACAGTGAAGACTATTTCATCATTGCAAGTCAAAGAAATGATTCTGAGTTAACTCAGGTGTGATTCTCTCAGAGTGAACCTTTCCCACTAAAACATGCTAATTAAAATCTGTTCCTACATGGTCTATAGGATGTAGTACATATAGTAAAAATGCCATTATTTGATGGTGATGGTGTGGAATGATACCAATTCGTCATAGTCAGTTCTTGAAGACTTGGGTTAAGTTATTAGAGTTTCTTCAGGAGACAGAACAAATCTGATAATAACGTGAGCATTTGATTAGGGTCTGGTTCAGTTGCACAAACAAGGGAGAAAAAATCACAGCTCAGCAGATGGTATCGGGAAAGTGTTAGGATTGGCATTGCCAAGTGGGCATTTTGATAGCACACCACATTTCTCACTGCGCTGGTGTAGTTCATCTTGTAATCTCGATGCTTAATGCTGTTTCTTTGTCACTCTGGCATCTATAGGTGCTTCTTACCTCTTTATTTTCAGCTAATGGCTCTCCTGCAGCAAAAGCTTCCAGAAGGAAGCTTACTACCTTTTACAACACTTGAAAACCAGCACCATGCCCCCTTTCCTCTTACGGGCCGTGTCTGTGGAAGCCTGTCCTCTCACATCAATGCTGTTCTTGGCTTCAGAAGCTCTCCATGCTGGCATTTCTCTTTTGTGGGGAATTTTACAGAGAGCATAATGTTCATGCACTGCCCAGCTTAGAAAGAAAACCTCTCAGCTGTGATTCTTTCTCTCTACTGTATGAAGAAATCTCTTCTTACTTGATCTGAGTTCCATGACAACTTGACAGAATCTAGATATGGTTAGAATCTCGATATGACTGTAAGGGTTCTCTAGATCAGGTTACTTGAGGTGGGCAGGCCCACCTTCACTCTAGCAGCACCATTCCATAGGCTGGAATTTTGGAGAAAACAGAAAAGTGAAAGTGAGCTGAGCATGTTGTCTCCCCATCTTCTGGACCCAGAGTGACCAGCTGCCTCAGTTCCCACCGCCATGCCTTCCCCACTATGACAGAGTGTACCTGAAACTGTGAGCCAAATAAACACTACCTGTGGGTGATTTTGTCAGAATACTTTATCCTAAAACAAGTAGGTAATACGATATTTCGAGCATAGCAGTGGTGAACGGCCTGGCAGGTCTTCTGGGATGTGTGTATCTTCACTGTGATTGCATATGGCAATCAGCATGGCCTCAAACTTGAAACATCTTTTCTCTTGCACAGATCTGTATTCTCTTTCTTTTTACTCTCACCATCTTTCCCTCTCCTCCCTTGCACTCTCTTTCCCTTTACTTTCCCTCCCTGCCTCTGTTCCTCCCTCTTTTTTTCCCCTTCCCCTACTTACAGTCCCATCCTTCCCAGACATTTGCTGTCATTTCCCACTTCCTTTCTAAACTGAGGTGTGGTGGAGTTCTCTAGAATTCAACATTTATTTTTTTCTTTTTTTCTTTCTCTGTCCTTGGGTAATTTTGTATGTTTGCGGTTTGACATACAAGCTGTAGGCCATGTCTTCCAAATTACACCTGAAGCCTTTCCTCTGTATTCTAGACTTCAGTGACTGTTAATGTTATTTTTACAAAACTGTGTTTGTTTCTCAGTTTCTCTCTTGACCCAGCTATCACACAAAATATTTGCTTAATAATAAGCTTCATAACATAATATTGAGCAGTTATTATTCTATTCTTAAGTGTTTAACCTAATCTAGTTGCCTCCCAGTGTATATTCCAGAGATACTCACACTTTGTAGCTTTCTTTGCTGAGCTCTCTCTTCTGGTTCCTCCTGGACATCTGCCCATGGCTGAATCCCCTACTTCCTCCTCTAACTTCTCTTCCCCTGGCTGGCAGGAAGTCCAGGACTATCATTTCCCCTGCTCAGTGATTGGCTGTAAACTGCTTTATTGGCATACCAGAGGACAACTGGGAGCAGTATTTACAAAACATTGAGACAGGAACAAGGATTGCAACCAGATATCGGGTACAGAAATCAGTATTTGAATTACACAATAACCTTATTTCTACATGTGTCTATTTCTTTCCGAGCACACACCTATATTTTATACATATAATACGTGATATCTTGGCCTGAACTTAAATTTTCTTCATTCGACTTGTTTCATTGTTCCTTTATGTTAGGCAATAGCAGAGTCATAAAGTAGAATTATTGAAGGGTAATTACGGGATATCTTCTGCCTAATTATAGTTTTAATTTTTTGTATCTGTTTATCACTAAGTGCTTATTTGAACATCTCATATTAAGAACACAGGCACATCTGCCCACTTCTTACCAACACCCCCCTGCAAGGTACCCCCTCATCGTTTCTCGCTGAGTCAGAACAGCATTGCAGCCCATATCTAGAATTGTCTGACCTCTGCAGATTCATTCTCTGCTGAGTATCTGCATTTGCCTTTTTAACAACACTGGTTTCTTTTAATCCTCATCTTAAAACTGCTCAGCAACTTCCAATTACTCTTACAAAAATTTCAAAATTTTTATATAGACTGTACGTTATATAGTATTGTCATCTATCCTCATTTTTCCAAGGTATTGCTACACCGTTGCTACTTTGTTGCTTTGATACAATCATTTCTTACCTGTTTTACTGTCTCAGAGACCCATATTTGAACTATAAATTATGTCATCACCCCAAGGGAAGGCACTGTCTTACCTTTCCAATCTCTAATTCCCTTAACGTTCTTTTAAGTTATATTAATCTTTGCCTAGAACAAGACAAGCGTTCTGTCTTAGGAGCCAGCCAACATCTAACTTGACATCCTAAGGATATCCACATTCTGTACTCTGTCATCCTGTCATTTTTAGTACTGTCTCAGTGTGCCATCTTTCTTTATTCACTTATTGATGGCATAATTATCCTTTCTTAATAATTGATGGGACCTTACAAGAAAAAAAAACAAAAAAAACGCTTTGTCCATTGCCACTGGACTAACACTTGACTGAAAGTCCCAGCTTTTGCCTAAGTATTACAACTCTTTGTAAAAGTGACCAGGATGTAGGATAAACCAGGTAAATCATGAACTGTCTTCTTCTAAAGTTCACTCTGTGGAAACTCACCCTGAAACTGTATATACATTGCTACCATGAGGACAGAAAATAAGATTGCTACCTTAGGGTGAAAATGTCTCTGTGTTCCATGGTTTGAGATGCTGCTGAAGACATGGAGGCATCAAAGATTTTGGACTTTTATACTCAGCTCAATTCCTTTCTATTTTTGGTTTTCTACTTCCATTACCTCTCCATAGATTTTATACTGATTTCTTCTCAAATAACTGATTCCTTCTTAAATAAATAAATGGATAAGATTCATTACTTTTCTTTAATAATCCTACCCTCCCAACTAAACAGAAAGCTCCAGGAGGGTGGTACATAGTCCTGCTAATTAGTCACAGGTGCTGAATTCCTGGTGGTAAGGGGTTTCTGTTTGGACTTTCCCTACAGGTCTTCAGATGGAACGGAAGTAACTTTGCCTCACATCAGACATTGCCTGTCCGAGGTGTGCTGGGCATGGCTTTGTTCAGAAGAGGAGGCTCTATCTTCTTAGCCATTTCCCAGGCTAATGTCACACGAAGCACCCTTATATTCACATGGTCTGGTAGTCAGTTTATTAACTTTCAAGAAGTGTCGGTCAGTGGGATAGCACAAGTTGAGGCATTGTCTTCAGGAGATGATGTGTACTTATTTTTTGCCAAAAATGCTTTTCTAGGTGAGAAAATACAGTGTTTGTAATGTATGAGCGGGCGCTACCCAAACCATCTGGCATTATGTTGCATGAGTAGCTGCTACTAACACCATCAGATTGTATGTTTTAGGTGAAATGTTTTCTTTTTTTGATGATCCATAAGCTTTCTTGATTGAAAGTGCTAATGCCAGTTAGAAAAGGAAGAAGAGAAAACATTGTACCTGTGATCCTGTGTTGTGCTGAACTATCATTTTAAACTCATATTCCTAGAAAATGAGGAGTAGACAGGAAATGTGGAAAGTGTATAAAGATTCTATATTCAGTCTTCCAATAGTTATAATTTTGTGTGACTGTGATTGGAGCATCATGAGAAATTTATAGAACCAATAATGTCTAGCAAAGTTTTATAAAACTGAATCAAAATACAGTCTGCATAAAAATATAATTTCTTCTGGTTATTTCAGCTTCAAAGATGAAATGTCAACAATTGTCAACAATGAAACATTTTATTCCTTTAAAAAAATTTAATGATTATTTTTATTTTTTGTACATTGGTATTTTGCCTGCATGTATGTCTGTATGAGGGTGTCAGACCCTCCAAAGCGAAGTTACAGAAGAAGCAGTGAGCTACCACGTGGATGCTGGGAATTGAACCCAGGTCCTCTGGAAGAGCAGCAAGAGCTCTTAACCACTGAGCCAGCTCTTCATCCTGGAAACATTTTATTCTTTGGTGTGGTTTAGTGTGTGTGTGTGTGTGACTCAGGTGACGGACTATGTCTTCTGATGTGTCTTAGCTGTGTGTCTGCTTCATGTGATAAAAACAGAAAGGGACTGCAGTATTCCTTACCAAATTGAATTCTGGAAATAGATGTTTTCTGTGCAAATTGTTTTAATTGAATTTAAATTAGTTCTACTATGCAGTTTTGTCATTTTCTTTGTACCACTTGTTGCTTTTCATTTCTTAATCATAGGAAATCAGAAGTCAATTGACATTTTTATCTGGGAGTTGGGACAGTCATCTTTCAGATATTTCCAGTCCCTGGACTTTGCTGAGGTTAACAGCATCCGTTCCTTCACACCAGCTTCTGGAATAGGTATGGACTTTTCAGCTGCTAGCTGGTCTTACCTGCAGTATGAGGAGACAGATTGATTCCAGTCAAACGGCATGCTCTCAGAGATTATTTCGGTTGGTGTATAACATCAGAACCTTGCAATAGTCTATCCTGAAGAGCAAGAGTTTAAAAAAGAGTGATGTTTCTGAGACAGTTTGGACATCACAGGTTATTTTAGTGACTCGGGACTCTTAACAACTCCTGGTTCATACTCTAAGCATGACTAAGGTAGATATCCTTAAGATATTTCAGATACTCATTTATAGGCAGGTATTAGCCTTATAAGACATGTCCTCTGAAAGGCTCCACCCAGTAGGGGATCGAAGCAGATGCTAAGACTCACAGCCAAACTTTGGGCACAGTGCAGGGAGTTGTAGAAAAGAGTAAAGGGAATAGAAGGACCCAGGGGGACAGGAACTCCATAAGAAAACCAACAGAGCCAACAAATCTGGGCCCAGAGGGCCTACTAAGACTGATGCAACAATCAAGGAGACCATGCATGGAGAGGACCTAGACATCTGTCTCAGATGTAGACCATAGGCAACTCAGTCTCCATATGGGTTTTCCTAGTAAGGGAAGTAGGGGCTGTCTTTGACGTGGCCTCTGTTGCCTGCTCTTTGATCACTTTCCCTGTGGTAGTGGGGGCTTGCCAGGCCACAAAGATAGAGAATGCAGGCAGTCCTGATGAGACTTGATAGGATTGGCTCAGATAGTATGAAAGGAGGCTGTTCCCTTTATGTGGAATAGGGGAGGGGAATAGAGGAGGGGAATAAGGGAGGGAGGGAGGCACTGGGAGGAGACAAGGGAGGATGCTACAATCCAGATGCAAAGTGAATAAATTATAAAACATAATTTAACTTTAAAAAAAGGCATTTTAGAGGCACATGCTGGCTAAAACCCTTCTTTAAGAATGTGGTCCTGCTTTGATATAATAAATATGAATGAAAAGTCCTGCAGCTACTAAAAGAAAGTCCTGAGACCAGCTAAAAGAAAGTCCTGACATGGAAGGGATCTTGGATATGTGAAAGCTTTTGTGTACAGCAACAAGCATTCATGAGGACTTCTGACAATTTAAGTGTGGGAATCACAACTTTAATACCTTAGAAATTATGAGGCTGTTGGAACTGAGAAAGGCTGAAGGAAAAATGCATTTATTGGAAGCAGCCGCCAGCTTGGCTCAGGTTGGCTACAGTTTGAGGCAACATTAAAGCATTGCAGGTGGTTAGGTGTGGCATCGAGTCAGGAGAAAGCCAGGGGTTTAGATGCTTGGGGAGAGGTGAAGCTGCACACTTAAGACATATAGGGCAAATGATAAGAGACTAGAAAAATTAACACAAATCTACAGGAGTCTGTGTTTTTTTTTTTTTTTTGTCTGCTTCTCTTGTACTTCAGGTTTTCAAATGGATGTACTGTCTACTCAAGTTACTTACTGATATTCACGATAGTTGCCTAATGAATGTTTTAAAGGAAGAAGTGCACAACATAGATGAGCTGTTAGTTGAAGTTATAGAATTCCTTTTAAAGATATTAAAAATATATGTAATAGGTGCACTTTCTAGAAGAATTCAGAAAAAAATTTCTGCCAGAGGTTTTTATGAAAAACTCATTGTGGGGTTGCTCTGTTTCTTTTGTTTCTGTGACTTGAAGTTGTAGAGACATGAAAAGACTGTAAGAAATTACTTAGAATAGCTATTATAAAGTCCTGAAAGCTGAAAGTATGCATTAAAGAATGTTCAAAGGATTTTTTATTTTGTATATGTCAAATATTTTATTAAAAATGATAAATTGGAGCCAGGAGCGTGGGTTCATATATTTATCCTCTGGTTAGTTCTATGACTGATTTCTGAAAATGAAGAAGAAAAATGAACAGAACAACTATTGCAAGAATATGGAGACTTGCCACTTCCTTCTTTCTTGGCTCCTTTATTGGTTAGTTGATTGTTTTAAGGTGGCAATCACAGTGGTGAAGCCTGTGGCAACAAAGGCTACTCAAAGCACCTGTAGTCTCTTCCTTGCAAAACTGTAGTATGCAGTAGGTGAAAGACGTGTGTGTGTGTGTGTGTGTGTGTGTGTGTGTGTACACGTGTGACAAATAAGATTATAGCTACACCAGGCAATTTCCAGGAAACAATTGAATAAAATATAGGTCAGAAAACTTGAGTTGATTTATGACGTACCTACAAAGCTTTCCTCAGTAATCATGGGACTAAGAATTATGGGTTAAAAAGGAGTCAAAGAGTTGATCAGGAGATGGGCTCTAGGCAAAGGAAACACACCGTACAAAGAGATAGTGGGAGTGCGCATGCGCTTTCTGGAAACAACCAGAAAGAACCCAGGGCAGTGCGAGCACAGGCAGTGAGGGAGTAGTGGGAAGATGTATGGACAAAGCATGCTTAATTAAGTCAATTAAATGGGGAATCAAAGGATTTTGGTCTATTATAGCTCCCTTTGTGGGAAACTGATGGAGGAAGGGAGGGAGAGAGGAAAGGGAGACAGGCACTGGGAGACATGGGGACAGAGAGATTCTTTTGTTGACTAGTTTAAAAGGGTAGCATTTTTTCTTTTTTCTTTTTTTTTTGGAATGTCTGTAATTTACAAAGCTTTGTGCAAAATATTTGGCCACTTAAAGATTCTGATATGCTGTTAATATTTTCGATCTTTACCTTTCTGCAATTCTTGGGGTTTGTTTGTTTTTTGATTTTCGAGACAAGGTTTCTCTGTGTAACCTTGACTGTCCTGGACTGGCTTTATAGTTCAGACTAGCCTCCAACTCACAGAGATCGTCCTGCCTCTGCCTCCCTGAGTCCTAGGATTACAGGCGTGAGCCACTGTGCGCAGCTTATACAGTTCTTAGTAACATGCAGCAGTACCTAAATTAGTTACCCGAATTGATACGGTAATAGCAGCTAAGCTACAGTAATGACCAGGAGCTTTTGGTGAGTGAGAGCCAGGATGCTGGCTTTCTCACTGTAACCTGTGGGCTAGCATATCAGAAGGTTGTCAACCTTTCCAGATTTGTGTTATTTTAATGGCCACTCAGTCCTCCTCAACAGCCTTCTGCTCCAGAGAATGCCAGACAAGATGAGAGCCTGCACACTTTTCTCCACAGTTCCCCAGGCTCACTCTGTTTATGTCTGAAGAGCGTGGAGTGCTATAGTTAGTATTTGAAGCCACCGCTCTCCTACCCTGTGTAGCTGCAAATGCATACTACTGCTGTGAATGGAAAACACGGGTCCTGGCAACATCAGAGGTGGCCTGGCAGAGCATACTCAGAGTGTCATGAGTTTGTTCATATTCTTTGGATTAATTAAGTATCTTGAATAATTTGCTAAGTGAAAATAACGATTTTATTTCTACTTAATACTGAAAATTTCAAATGTTAAGCAATGAATTCTCAGTCTACAGGAAATCTTAGATATATTTAAGAAGAGCTATAGCGATTAGTATTTATTTACTAAAATTAGAAACTTGTTCAGGTGAGATGGGCCAGTGAGCAGAGGCTCTTGCTACGAAACCTTACTGTCAGAGTTTCACCTTAGAAGCCATGCACCGTAAAGATAGCCAGCTCCCAAGAGCTGTGCTCAGACCTCCACTGGCACATGCGGAAACACTGTCATGTACAAAAGTAAATAAAAAAGTAAAACTTTAAAAAATTACAGACTTGAATACTATGTGGTAGGTCATTTAGCCATGCAATGCCCTGATCAGAGTAGGCTGATTTAGAACTTTTGTTTACAACCAACAGCTGCTGGTTGCAAATGTCAGTGATGGTGACTAAAGAAGAAATTATTAAAGTAAAACAGTTGGTGGTGAGAGTGTGAGTTTTGGTTTTATGTAAGTTTGTGTAAGTTTTATGTAAGTTTAGAGACGGACAGTAAAGAATACAAAGTCCATTTTTGTTTCATTATCCTGTGACTTTTCTTCCCTTGAACAGATAATGGGTGCAGTGTCAAGCTGAGCTGGTCAGTGCGCTACACTCAGCAATCACTTAGATCCTAATGTTTCAAAGACAGAATCAGATTTGCTACAGTCTAGTAATCGGAGTGTGTGGCTTTGAGAGTTGGAAGGGGTTTGCTTCAGAGCTGTGAAGAGAGCTCCTGTGGGCCCACGACGCTTCACTCCTGTTCTTCTCTTCTCCTTGCAGTCCATACTCTTCTAGCTGGCCAAGGAAGGTCTGCTCTTCACTGCTGGAACTCGGCGCGCAATGAGTTCTCTTTTGTTCTGGAAGCGCCCGCTGCTCAGGATGCGGCTTTTGTTACTGTGAAGTCCCTTAATTCAAGCAAGACTTTAATTGCCTTAATGGGAACTACTCACTCGCATTTATATGAGCTGACCTACATTTCCAGCCAGTCTGACTTTATTCCTAGGTAGGTTCAACATTGTATGTTTTTTAACCTAAACACAGCTTTGTATGGCACCAAATGCCTCCTTCTCATTGATTGAGTGATGGCTTTACTACAATGTAAGGATCATTAATAAGCCAGAAATCTCTGTTCGTTGTCCATATTTTAATACCTACTCTACCGAGTTAACCAGTAGTATATGAATATTTTGTATGAAAAGTTTACTTATGAAATGTTGTGATGCTTGTAAGACATCAGTATTATCAGCGTGATAAGAATTTGGGACTGATGTACCATGTATATCATTCAGTGGTCACCACTGAGTTATTTTATGTGTGCTTCTCATGCTAGTTTAGGTGAACTGATATTTGAACCTGGTGACAAAGAAGCAATAATAGCAGTAAACATCCTTGATGATACAGTGCCAGAAGAAAAAGAATCCTTCAGAGTTCAGCTTAAAAATCCAAAAGGAGGAGCAGAGATTGGCATTAACAGTCATGTGAGAGTAACTGTTCTTTCTAATGATGATGCCTATGGAATTATCGCCTTTGCCCAGGTAAAAGGACCTAAGATTCTACACTTCCATCAGAGTTGGTATACTGATGAGTTAGTTTCAATAAGCTTTCAAGGAGTCTTCAGTCTTTGTTCCTTCCCTTGCCTCTGCTTCACTTCTTACCCTATTGTCTACAGAGAATGCTATTGACATTACAATAGGCTTAGCCACTAGATTCCCTGGGACACTGTGTCCCTGTTTGTTTTTGTTTATTTACTTGTATTGACTATAAGACAGTGCTGTTTGGTCTTGTCTCAGTGTTTTGCTTCAGGTACTCTTTAAAAAAATTATTTTAAACCAGTGGGGAGTAATAAAGCAGTTACAAGATATACCACACAGTGTATTATATCACATATATCACATACAACTATGACCCCAAGTGTATTGTGATGTATTGGCTTGTTATATCAACAGCTCTACTGCACCTTTTCCCAAAATCTCCCATGTATAAGGAAAACCTAGTTCAAATAGGCTTAACCACAAACCACGTCCATAGCAAAGGTGGACTTTGAGCTGGTGGGTTGGTTGCATATTCCCCTGTGCCACTATGGCTCAGACAGGGCCGTCATACCTCTCCATGCGATCTTCAGAAAGCTGAGCCCCCATTCTGCTTGCTTGAAAACTCATTGTTATAGTACTGGTTTCATCCAATTAGTGACAGAGAGATGCTTTCATAGTCCCACAACCACCTAGAGCTTTAGTGGGTCACTAGGAGTGTTTACAGTACTTGGTGGTTAGTCAGTACAGGTCACTTTTATCTCATTGCCTTTAAAATGAGGGTTAGTAGAATTTCTGGTACATATTATGGCTGTATGGAGACCTCATTCTATTAACCATCAGTAATGAAGAGCATGGAGCCAAGAAAAGGCTCTTCTTTCTGGAGTCAATTGTGTACATATTTTAATATCTGGCATTTTAAGGTTAGGGATTTAGCTAAGTGGTATAGTGCTTGCCTAGCAAGCATATGGCCCTGGTTTGGTCCTCAGCTAAAAAAAAAAAAAAAAAAAAAGGACAAAATAAAAGTACATTTTCTGAATATTTGATCAAGATTGTGTTACTTTGAAACATATATAACGTGACACTGAACAGCTGTGTACAATGTTCTCTTGGATTGGCTCTCTGTTCAGATCAACATTCAAAACAGTACTTCTGTAAGCATTAAGGAGAAGTGTCTTCAGGTGACCTCTGTTAAGAACACATGGAAAATCTTACAGAAGAGGTTGCTTTATTCTTTACATGTTTGCCTTATTGAGAAGTCAAGGGTGCTTTAAGAAGAGATTTGTGGCCAAACTAGCGCTGTATGTCACTAGCTATGAATGTGACTGAATGAAAAATCATAAACTTACTTAAAACATTATGAGAGTTTTTTAAGCTAATATAATTATACAATTCTTAACCATGGACTCTGTAGATAATAAGTTCCTGTCATAATGCCTAAAGGTTGGACATACATAAAAGTATTCCTTTTGGGGAAAAGTTCTTTAAATAGTAAAGATAGGTGGGAAGAGCAGAACTGTGAAACAAAGACATGTTTCCTTTCTAGCAGGAAGAAAGGTTGCACAGACCATGAGCAAAAGACATAGGTTGGCCAATTGAGTATTTTGCAGGATAGGCATTTAAGCCCAAGAGACACTCTTAATTTATTAATAGGAAAGGGAAACCTGGAGGAATTACCAGACTTTAGACAGAGGCAGAGAATTTTCCTGCCATTCTGGACTGTGTTCTTACTTTTCTAAACCTTTCAATGTTGTATATATTGCTTTAAAAAAAATGTATGCTGGGTATAAAGTAATATATGTCCATTCAGCAAAATATGTCAGGAAGACAAACATACAAACAATGTAATATGATTAATGGTTTCTGGTGACTTTGGGCTATTTATGTACTTACTTGCTGAGATGGTTGTACCATATAGTTTGGGCCAGACTCAAACTTGCTGTCTTCCTGCCTTCCTGCCTTCCTGGTGTTACAAGCCTGAGCACAATACCTTACACTGTTGTGTTTCACATACCGTTTCATGTTGCTTGGAATTAGAAAGGTTGCACGTATGTAGCAATGCAAAACAAAAAGAGATTGCTTAGGTATTTTAAAGAACACCTTGTCCCTTTCTGTGCATCTTTCAGAATTCATTGCACAAGCAAGTGGAAGAACTGGAGCGCGATAGCCTGGTAACCCTGAATGTTGAGCGCTTGAAAGGAACACATGGTCGCATAGCTGTGGCCTGGGAGGCTGCTGGAAGTATCAGCGATGTATTTCCTACCTCAGGAGTGGTATGTAATTCACAGAATTAGCGAAGACACTTAGAGATTGTGATTGTTATTCACTGATGCATGGGACCAAATGTTGCCTGTCGAAAGAAATATTTGAGTTTGGCCATGTAAACACTGGGTTCTTGCTCACCTCCATGGAATGGGATACAATTTAAGGCTGATTTTGTTACTGGGTTTTTTTTTTCTATCTATCTATATACAAAGTGAACCCCGCTGCGGTTAACCAAATTGCATTATATTATCTGAAAAGGTAAAATGAGCCAAACAGGGGGTAGACATGTGTGAAGACATAGGAAGAGCAGAGGACAAGTCTGTGGGAAATAGGCATCCAAATGGAAAGGTTGATGAAAGCTGTGGATTGAAGCAGTTTCTATTTGCTGTCAGCAAACTGTGGTTGAGAGCTGTGGGCAGAGGCTTACATGAATGAATCATGTGAGGAACATGTAGAGGGAGAGGTTGATCTACACAATTGCAATTGTAGTGGCGGTCAGTTGTAGGGGAGAGCTGTGTGTCTAAAATGGTCATTGGCCACCACCCAGGTTCAGGTTGAATCTATTGGCATCCCCCTTTCTTCACCAGGGGTCTCTATGTGGGGGTTGACTGTTGTGGAGACCATTTGCTAAGGCTAAGGACTGTCTCAAAGGTAAACACAGAATCTTCTCCTCCCAGTAGCTGAGGGGTGGGCTCAGCCACAAGAAGGGATCTGGGCTGAGAATCACATTATCTACCATGTATGTTAACATAAAATGGATGCTTTGTTTCAAAAATATAATAGTAATGAGCAAAGAGACAGTTGACTCACAGAGAAGTTCAAGGAGCCCTTTGTTAACTATTTGTAGGAAGGGTGACCTCATTGAGCCCCAGTTTTCCTGAGATTTTGTAGATTCAGTATTTTGCTCAAATATTTCTGTGAAGAATCACTGAAAGGAGCTTTCATGACATTATCTCCTGTTCAGCATTTCTAGGTTCTTATCATTTCAAAGTGATGGATACTTCAATGTATTAAGAATGTTTTAGCAGTCTCTTGTATTTAACAATTCTATGCAAATTAACAAAACCACTAGTTGTACCCTGTTTGTGTATGCATTGAAGTATATTTCTCCAGCTTATTAAATGAATATGATTAAGATTTAAAATTTTAAAATGCCTGTCTCCTTTACATTATTTTAAGTGAATTATTTTTTCTTCTTTTAAAAACTTTTTATTGATTCTTTGTGAATTTCACATCACACACCCCAGTCTCATTCATCTCCCCATCCCTCTGTATCCTTCCTTTGCCATTGCAACCTCACCCTCAAAAGAAAAAAAATCTTGTTGTGTGTGACAGTGTCCCTTTTGTCCACATTTCTATTGCAGTGAGTCACTGGTCTGGTTCGAGGCCTCTGGCTTCTGCTGCACTATCAGTACTGATCGTCACAGGGAATCCTCTTAGATATCTTGTTGTTGTCCTGTGTCGTGGAGATCCTGAAGCTTTAGATATGTCTGACCAGCCCTTCAAATGCTCTAGCAGTTTACAGATGGGGTAGATGTTGGGGTGGGCAAAGTGAAAGCCCTAGATCTGGGGCTGGGTGGTAGCTGAGTTGGGTAGCCCACAAGCTCTTCAGCACCCACACTACCAGGGTAAGCGCTTTAGCACTGCCCTGGCTCGCTTACCCAATGCTGCAGCCAGCATGAGGCAGAGCCAGCTCTTCCACTCTCACACCCACGAGGCCAGCTCCCCTGTACCCATGCCAGAGAACCAGCTCTATTGTGCTGCCCAAGCAAGATGGAGGGCCTGCTTTCCTGAGGGCTGCAGGGCTGGGGCAGCTCTCCCACTCTCATGCTTTGCCAGGCTCATCTGCAAGCCTTGAAACCAGAGGCAGCTTCACAGTGGTGCCTAGGGAGGTGCACAGTCCACCCTCCCGAGTGCTGCACCTGTGAGGGGCAGGGACAGCTCTCCCATTCTCATGACCTAGGGGCCAGCTTTCCTGCCTGCCATAGGTAGGAAGGGGCGATGGAGGGCATCTTTTCTGAGTCCAAGCCACTGCATGGCAGATAAGTTATGGGGCCAGCCACCCACACTCATGCCCTTGAGATCAGTTCACCTGCGTCCCTCCCCTGATGTGCAGTGCTGTGGACCTGTGGACGAGGGAGAAATGACCTTTCCCCTCCCTTGCCGCCTGCAGCAGACAGGAGAGCTGGCCCTGCGGCAGCACTTGGGAGAGCAGGCCTTGACCTTGCTTGGGCAGCACAGTAGATCTGATCTTGCTGGCATGGGTGAGGGTGAGCTGGCCTTGAGGGCATGAGTGTGGGAGAGCTGGCCTGGCCAGCATGCAGTGTGGTGGTGTGGGCAAGGGAGTGACATCCTTCCCCTCTCTTGCCCCTTGCCATCCATAGTAAATAGGAGAGCTGGTCCCAGGATCATGAGGGCAGGAGAGCTGTCCCTGCCCTTCACCAGCTGTAGCACTTGGCAGAGCAGGCCCTGTACCTTGCCCAGGAATCACAGTAGAAAGAATTATTTTTATATCATGTAGGTATCCGTAGATATTCTTTGTAAGGGATCACATAGTAGATGATTCAGATTTTATGTACTGTCTGGTTTTTTTTCTTGTTTTAATTTTAATTTTTTCTTCATAATTTATTCATTATATATCCCAACTGAAGCCCCCTCCCTCAACTCCTCCAGTCCCACCGTCCCTCCATCTTCCCCTCAGCCCCTTCCCCTAGTCCACTGAAAGGGGGAGTTCTCCACTATTGCCATCTGTCTATAGCTTGTTACATCTCATCAGGACTGTTTGCATCTTCTTCCTCCATGGCCTGTCAAGACTGCATCATCAGGGCCATGTGATCAGAGAACAGTCAACTGAGTTCATGATAGAGACAGCCCCTGATCTCCTACCTCAGAGATCCATGTGGAGACTAAGCTGCCAATGGGCCACATCTGAGCAGGGGGTCTAGGTCCTCTCCATGCATGGTCCTCCCTTGGTACATCAGTCTCTGAAGGACACCCTGGGCTCAGATTTTTTAGGTTTGTTGGTCTTCTTGTGGGGATACTGTCCCCTCCATGTCCCTCTATTCCCACCCCTTTCTTCCTCCTTAAGACTCCCTGAGCTATGCCAAAATTTGGTCCTGAATCTCAGCGTCTGCTTCCATCCCCTGTTGGGTGAACATTTTCAGAGGACCCTCTATAGTAGGCTCCCATCCTGTTTCCTCTTTCACTGCTTCTGGTGTCTGTCCTGTTTAGCATTCTGAATGAGATTTAAGCATTCTCCCTAGGGTCCTCCTTAATGTTTAGCTTCTCTTTGCTTTTGTAGCACAATTGTGTCAGACAATATAAAGCAGTTTTTATAGGTAGTGACTATTTAGTTAAGTCTGTTTGGATGCATCACAATAACACTTTGTTTATATAGAACAACTTTGGCTCATAGGAGAGATGGAGGCCTAGGCTTGCAATGTCAGCTTGAAAGATTGATTTGTAAATGGATATGGGGATGGATAACATAAGAATGACATCCACAAAGTGAACAGATCCCTGTCAGCAAGAACTCCAGATGCTTTCAGCAAATTTGAATTTAACATCAGACAAAGAAGTAGAAGGGAAAGAGGGAGGCAGAGACTTGCATCTCTGGTCTTTCTCTTCTTTCTTTTAAATCAGTATTTATTGCTAAATGATAAAACCATCTGCAGTATCACTATTGCAAAAGTTCTCTATGTAAAAACATTTAAACTGATAAATCACTTTTTTTATCTTCTAGAGATTTACCTATAATATCAACCACTAAGAATCCTGAGACTTTGTCCTTTTATTTTTAATAATTTATTTATTTATTATAATTACAGTTTATTTGCTTTGTATCCCAGCTTTATTCACTTCCCCCATTCCTTCCCAATCCCACCCTCCCTCCTTCATCTCCTTCCATACCCCTCCACTAGCCCACTGATAGGTGAGGCCCTCCTCCCTTCCATCTGACCCTAGCCTATCAGGCCTCATCAAGACTGGGAACATTGTCTTCCTCTGTGGCCTGGTAAGGCTGTTCCCACCTCAGGGGGAGGAGCCAGCCACTGAGTTCATGTCAGAGACAGTCCCTGTTCCCATTACTAGGACACCCACTTGGAGACTGAGCTACTGTGGGCTACAATCTGTGCAGGGGTTCTAGGTTATCTCCATGCATGGTTCTTGGTTGAAGTATCAGTCTCAGAAAAGACCCCTGGGCCCAGATTTTTTTTTCTCTCCTTGTGGAGCTCCTGTTCTTCCAGGTCTTTCTATCTCCCCTTCTTTCATAAGATTCCCTGTACTCTGCCCAAAGTCTGGCTATGAGTCTCAGTTTCTGCCTTGATACCCTGCTGAGTAGACTCTTTCAGAGTCCCTCTGTGGTAAGCTCCCCATCCTTAACTATCAGTGAAATGCAAATCAAAATGACGCTGAGATTTCACCTTACACCCATCAGAATGGCTAAGATCAAAAACTCAAGTGACAACACATGGTGGAGAAGATGTGGAGAAAGGGGAACCCTCCTCCATTGCTGATGGGAATGTAATCTTGTACAACCACTTTGGAAATCAATCTGCTGCTTTCTCAGACAATTAGGAATAGTGCTACTTCAAGATCCAGTTATACCACTCCTAGGCATATATCCAAAATACGCTCAAGTATACAACAAGGACATTTGCTCAACCATGTTTGTAGCAGCTTTATTTGTAATAGCCAGAAGCTGAAAACAAACCAGATGTCCCACAGTTGAGGAATGGATACAGAAATTGTGGTACATTTACACAATGGAATACTACTCAGCAATTAAAACCAAGAAAATCAGGGATTTGCAGGCAAATGGTGGGAAAAGATCACCCTGAGTGAATATTCCAGAAGCAGAAGGACACATGTGGTATATACTCACTTACATATAAGTGGATATTAGACATATAATATTGGATAATCATACTAAAATCTGTACACCTAAAGAAGATGAGCAAGGAGGAAGATGCTGGGTAAGATGGTCAATCCTCAGTCAAAAAGGCAAAGGGATAGACATTGGAAAAGGGAGACTTTGTCCTTTTTATTATAATGAAAAGTAGGCACCAAGATATGACAATTTGGCTATAAATATTATATAAATATAAATATTTTGAAATGCTTTATTTTTTTCAGTCTTCTAGTTTTGATATAAAAGACATTTGATTTGTTTGTAAAATCATATTATGTTGTCTTTGTGGTCATATTCAAAGAAAATGAGAGATTGACATTTTTATGACTTGATGTTAATTCTAATATAAGCAAAATGACTTTTTAATTTTTAGATCTCATTCACAGAGGACCAGGCACTGTGCACAATCACTCTGACTGTTCTTGCGGATGATCTGCCAGAGTTGTCTGAGGCTGTCATTGTAACCCTCACCCAGATTGTCACAGAGGGGGTTGAAGATCCATCGAAAGGTGCCACTGTTGACCAGAACAGAAGCAAGTCCGTGCTAACCATCCTGCCCAGTGACTCGCCCTATGGCGTGGTTGGCTGGCACACTGATTCTCTCTTCACTAGAGTGCCAGAGCCCAGAGGTTAGTCCTGGTAAAGGTTTTTAGTTTCTAATAAGAAGTTTCCTTGGGCATTTTAATCATATTTGAAAGGGATATAGTCCCCTTCAAAAAGTCCATATGACTTTTTCAGTTTTATAGGTAATATTTTTTAATTTATTTAAAATTTTATAGTATGCAATTACTTGGCAATACTGCTTACTAACGTACTTTTAATTTCTCAGAACATGTTTTTGTAGTAGAAATTTTAATTTTAGCCGCTTTAGTAGTAAGGATTGGTTTTACTTTACTTTTTACTGTTTTTTTTTCACTTGTTCACATTTCATGCTCACATTTGCTCTGTACTTGCAGTAGGAACACGGCACTGTCAGCAACAATGTGAGATGCACTTTAATTATCTTTCTCCAAAGAGGCAGTGGTTTCACCCTGTGATAGATGCTGGTCTTCCCTCCTCAGAATCCTGAAATGGTTCCTAAATAACTACTGATTTCCCTTGCCGAATAAATATTCTAATAGGCTATGATCAGTCAACCTATTGAAATAAAATGTTACATGTAACTTATATTTATAATGAACTTACAGGATGGCTTGAAATTTTTTAGATGAAAATATGGACAAGCAGATTTCCTCTGAATCACAGACTGATGGGAAAAGTGGCTTGTAGTATATTCCTGGGCCCTTGCCTATCTGTGTGTGTAAGACCCAAAACAATAGACTCCAATAAAAGAATGTGTTATTTTCATTCAATAAACATTTCTAAAACATAGCAATTTATAGGATACATTCTTCCTTTTGAAAATAAATACTGTCATTAGAAGGTCTTAGGCTGGTGAGGATATTAATAAATGCTTTAAATACTTTATATGACAAATTATCTTTATCTAAGGAATGAAAAATAATAGGTTTTTAGAGACACTCTGAACCTTGTGATTGACATCTCACTGTAGAAATGTAAATCATTCTTTCAGTGGTTATTATTAAATTATGACGGTGTATTTAAGTGCTGATTTTCAAGAAATTTGAGTGTTACACAGTTACCACCCATATAGTACTTCTCTGAGACTCCCATTAGATTTCCATGGAGCACATGGAGAGCTCCATATACAGACAGAGGGACCACCACCGTTGTAATGCAAGAGTGATGGTGATTTTGAGCGCAACTTTGGGAACCTTGGAGACAAAACAGAAAAAGTCTTCCATAGGATGCTGTCTTTGTGCTATCTCTACTCTTGACTGTCTAGAGAGAACGGACTTACACCATGAGTGCTTGCAGCGTTAGCAGAACGTAGAACAGCTTATTAAATGGAGGCATGTTTATCTCCCAGAGAATAGCACTGTTCTCCAGTTACATATTGTTCGAGACAAAGGACTCTTTGGAGACATATCCATTCATTTGTTAGCGAAACCCAACTTCTTACTGCACATCAATAATCAAGCTACTGAGAATGAAGATTATGTGTTACAAGACACCGTAATAATAATGAAAGAAAACATGAAAGAAACTCATGCTGAAGTTGCCATTTTGCCAGTAAGTATAGATTTAATAAATATGTAACATAAGCTAACATATTTTTAACCATTAACCTATAATTCTCTAGTAGTTAAAAGTTATTAAAACATGCGTTTAAATACAAATGTCAAAATTTCCCACTCAAATATTTTATTATTAGATAGAAAATGACAATTGTATTTATTATATTTGTTTTAGAGTGGGAACAATTTGAATACTAAATTTTGATTTATTATATGTCTAGTTGGCCGTACTACAAAAATGATTGGTTACTTGCTTTTTTTAACTGAATGAATTAAATTCTTCAAGTCAATCTGTTTATTTTTATTGTTTGCTTGACAGGAGAGGACTTTCACTTCATTATACAGTCACATCAATACAGATGAGCATTTAGATGGTTGAGGTCTAATTTTGCTGGCTACATCTCGCTACCTTTTCCTCTTTGTGTGTAAAGAGGAAAGGGAGCTAGAGAAGCAGAGACAGAGCAGGAAAACAGGTGGATATACTTAAAATGTGCATGAGAAATCAAAGGTGCTAGTACTGCCATGGTGTCTCATAACATTATAGTAACAAATAAGGAGCAGACTGGGGATTTAGTTCAGAGCTAATCGCTTGCCTAGCATCCATGGGACCCCGTGTTTGAGACGCAGTGCCACAAACATGTGAAGTTAATAATAGTACGTGTTAGTCACTATGAGCATATCATATGCTGTTAAGTGGATACAATAATATTCCTGTTCCTGTTAGTTTTGAAGATGTCAGTAACCTGTCCTGTTTGAGGACAGTAGGAAAAGCACATAAGAGAGAAAGGGGGTAGAATGGGTTTCCCTTTTTTGTGTTACTTCTACATCCTGATATTTTTATTACTTTCACACAAATAAAGTAACTTTTTTCAAAATTAAATGCAATATTTGCTTATACATAGATTTTTTTTTTTTTACCTAGAACTTCAACTTTTACAATACATGTAAAATTTTACCAAATTTTCCTAAGTTCTTTCAGGATGTTGTATATGTATGATGTATACAGTGAGATCAAAATTGTGGGGCAGGATTTGAAATATTTGCTAATGCAGTTGTGGGTGCCTTTGAAAGATCATCATTAGTCTCGATTATGTCATAGGTTGTGAGGATTCTCTGAGAATGTATTAGACATATTAGAATATGGTGAGAAATCTTTTTTTATGTGTAACAGAGCTACCATCCCTGTACAGTAAGTCAGTTGCTTACTGAAAAATATAAGGTTAACAATGCAAATGATAGCAGCTTTATTTGTAATAGCCAGAGCTGGAAACAAACCAGATGTCCCTCAGTTAAGGAATAGATACAGAAAGTGTGGTACATTTACACAATGTAATACTACTTAGCAATTAAAACCAAGGAAATCATAAAATTTGCAGGCAAATGGCAGGAACTAGACAAGATTACCCTGAGTAAGGCATCCCAGAAGCAGAAAGACACTCATGGTATATACTCACATATAAGTGGATATTAGACGTATAATATAGAATAATCATACTAAAATCTGTATACCTAAAGAAACTAAGCAATAAGGAGGACCTTGGGTAAAGTGCTCATTCCTCATCCGGAAAGGCAAATGGGAGAAACATCAGAAGAGGGAAAAAAAAGAGAACAGAACAGATGCCTACTACAGAGGGTCTCTGAAAGACTCTACCCAGCAGGGTATCAAAGCAGATGCTGACACTCATAGCCAAACTTTGGGCAGAGTGCAGGGAATCTTATGAAAGAAAGGGGAAATAGAAAGACCTAGAGGGTACAGGAGCTCCACAAGGAGAGCAACAGAACCGAAAAATCTGGGCCCAGGGACCTTTTCTGAGACTGATACTCCCACCAAGGACCATGCATGGAGATAACCTAGAACCCCTGTACAGATGTAGTCCATGGCAGCTCAGTCTACTAGTTAGAGAACTCAGTGGCTGGTTCTTTAATCACCTGTAGCTGAGGAAGGGGCAGCCTTACCAGGCCACAGAGGAGGACAAGTCCTGAAGCCAGTCCTGATAGACTAGGGTCAGATGGAAGGAAAGGAGGACCTCCACTATCAGTGGCCTGGAGGAGGGGCATGAGAGGAGAAGAAGGAGGGAGGACATGATTGGGAGGGAATGAGGGAGAGGTTAAAACTGTGATACAAAGTGAATAAATTTTAATAAGTAATAAAAGAAAAAATTAAAAATAAAAAAATTTAAAAAGAGAATGGGGGAGGTTCACCCAGGCCAACATGTTTGAGATCAGTCTGGGCAAGAAAGCCAGGCATCATCTCAGGACCCAGACCTTCTATGGGAGCATCTCTTCTCTCCTCCTCCCAGGATGAAGTTCCTGAACTGGAGGAAGGACTCATTGTCACCATCACTGCTGTGAAACTCGTGAACCCTGACTTCCCTGCAGAGCAGCCACGTGTGCAGAGGCCAAGAATGGAAACAGCAGAGATAATGATTGAAGAAAATGATGATCCCAGAGGGATTTTTACATTTCTCATCACCAAAGTGAGATAAATTTCTCATTTATAGTAATATAAATAAAGATTACCCTTGCTGATTTGGCCAGTGCTTTTGCATTTTTTACTAAGTAATTGTATTTATTTGAAGGCAAGTATATTAAGAGAAGTATTCAATTTAAGTTTTCTGAACCTTACTACATTTCACTCTTAAGTTCTAAGCACTTCTTACATATGTGAGAATAATAAATTCAGCGAGTTATTGCCTAGGAGAGTTTTGAACTTTTGCCTGCCTTTCACCCTCTTTTCTTTGTTCAAGGATGGTGGTGGAGTCATTACTGCTCATGAGGTGCCTCCACCCTGGAACCTTCTTCAAGTTCCTGTTGTCCGGATGGCTGGAAGCTTTGGGACAGTAACCGTGTATTGGAAAGCAGCACCTGAGAGTGCTGGCCTGGAAGACTTTCAGCCCTCCCGTGGAATTCTCCAATTTGCCGATGGACAAGTATGTTCCTTATGGGCAGATTTATTGGTGGTTTTTGGCTTTACTTCAAGCGTTTGTAGCATCTGCCAAGTGAGCATGCATTAGTGACTGCTAAGTGCATTCTAGTCTTTTTTTTTCCATTAAATGGAATTTAAGTATTATTAATTATATAGTCTATAATAATCACAGGTCAAGAATTCTTTTATGGTATTTAATGAAAAGTTGCATGCATGCAATATATCCTAATCAGGCTTTTCCCGTTCTCCAAATCCTTTCAGGTCTTCCCTACCTCCCTCAATTCTACACCCTTTCTCTCCCTTCAGAAACAAAAACAAAAGGGAGAAACACATATAAAAACACAGAAATAGAAACCAAAATATACAAGCAAAAGACTGATACAATAAAAAAAAAGTCCAAACAAAGTATATGAGACAAAAAGTCTGCAAAGATACCATTGTGTTTGAATTGTGTTGGCCAATGGGCCATGGGTATTGGACCCACCCTGCAGTGTGAGAAATACATCCTGTGAGACCCCACTGAAGAAACGAATTTTTCCTTTATCAGTAGATGTCAATTGCAGATAGCTTCTTGGGTAGGCCTAAGGCCTGTGTCCACATTCCCCTCTCAGCCCTGGGACCCTATGTAGCTTGAACCCACTTTGATCCTGTGCGTGCTGCCACCACCTCTGTGAGTTCCTATGTGCATGCGGCCTGTCTGGAAGCCGCTCTTTCTTTGGAGCCATCCATCATCTCGGCTCTTCTCAGTCTTTCTGCCTCCTATAGAAAGAAAATTCTAAGTGACAAGCACCCCACCTTTTTTTGAACCCTTCTTCCACTTGAAATAGAAGTTTTGTAGTAGAATAATTGACTTATGGGTTCTTAACAAAAATATTTTTGTTATTTTTAAAAATTGCCTAATTTACTATTGTTTCTAGTCTTAGTTTCTTTATTCATTTTATTTCTCAGAATTTGTAAATTGATATTATTTAATTTATATTTTATTTATGATCAGAACAGTTGCAGACATATAGTGAATTAGTTACATAATTCTCATTACTCTCCTGCCTTCCCCTCCACTGATTTTTTTTTCTTCCTATGTAGTCTTTGTGTCTTTTTCTGTGTGTGACCCACCGAATTTGCTTAGGTTGCTTGCATTAGCATGGGTGGGAGGTTACATTCTGGAGCATGGGCCACTTTTCATTGACTACACCACTGAAGAATGTGAAGGCCTCTTCTCCAGCAACCATTAACTGCCTATAGTGCAAGGAGGGTTGGGACTTACTCTCCCTCTCTCCCATACCTGATGAAATGTTCATGGCCTAATCTTGTGCACATAATTCCATCATTAGTGGGTTTGTGAGTGCAATCGCTGCTTTGCCATGTCTAGCAGCTTTCTGTGGCATGCCTCCTTATCCTCTGGCTCTTACGATCCTTCTGCCCTGCTCTTCCATGCTGTTCCCTGAGCCTTGAAGGAGGAGGTACGCATGCCGTCTATAGCGCCACAGCATCTACTAGCATTTCTTCTTTCTGTTTTGACCAGTTATGAGTCTCAGGCTGGCTGCTGCAGTTTTAAGAAGCTTCTTGATGAAGGCTGAGAGCAGAACTAACTCATGGGTGTACACATGGGTGTCTAGGGGCAGTTTAACGTGTTCCTTTAGCAAAACAATAGTAACAGTGTCTCCTGCTCAAAGGCCACGCCATAGGCTTGGGAACATGTATACAACACCAGGCATGAGTTCCTTCCTGGGCCTGTGCCTCACATCTAATCAGGAGGCAGCTGGCTGGTCTGGCGTAATCATAGCATTACTTCCCAGTTGGCAGTACTGTGGGACAGCACTGCAGCCAGCAGGGCAGGGCTATGGATAGCTCTTCTCCCCCAGCCTTCTGCCTTGCACCTTCTGCTGTGAAAGCTCGCCTGGCAGCAGGGAGGATTTCCTCTTTCGTGGGAGCTTCATTTCTGTGTTCTGTATCTACAGTGTATGCCTGGTGTTTTCAACACATTTGGACCATCACATGCTGGTGGGCAACCAAAAACAGTGATCATGGGCTGTATAGTTTCGGGTCGTCCCTAGCCAATAACTTGTAGGGAGGTAGCCCACATCTGGTACTGGAATTTTTAAGAACCTATGGCAACTTCAAGGAGGCACATTGTTTACCCATACTGGATATTCAATTCAAATTCTTTTAAAATGTTACATCATTTAATAAACTTACAAAAAGCATATTTCCAATGTTTTGCCTTATGTTCCTGCTTTATTACTCTCTCCCCTACTCCTTGTCCTGTGCACCCCGTATCTCTGCACTCCTAAGTCTTTCTACCTTGTCTCCCTAGCCTGACAATTACATGTGCTTTGTCCTCATTCCCTTCACGTCTCTTCCCTCCCCCACTAGTGGTCCCTCTCTTTCTCTCTGCCTTCTCTTCTAGGCACCACAAGTGAAACAACACACTACTCGGAGAATTTGAACCTAGGGTCCCATGTAGTAGAGAGAATATACAGAATTCATCTTTTTGGCCTAGGCAATCTCACATGGCAATTTTTTTAGCTCTATTTTTCTGCAATTTTTGTAATTCCAGTTTTTGTCAATGAAAAAAATTCAGTTCCCATTATTTATTCCCATTATTATCATTCCCATTATTTATCAGTGATAGCTATCCAGGCAGGTTCTGCTTCCTGGCTACTGTGAAGAGAACAACAGTGAGTGTGGATGAATGAATATTTCTGTAGCATGGTGTGGACAGAGTCTTTGAAGTATCTTCTCAGGAGTAATGTAGCTGGGTCATATGGTAGTGTAACTTTGAGCTTTTTCAAGTAGCTCAACACTGATTTCCACAGTTTCTAAGCCAGCTTACGTGCCCACAGACAGTATATGTGAATTTCTCTTTTCTCATATCTCCACCAGCATTTATAATTTGCTTTCTGTTGTAGGCATTCTTGTTGTAGAAAGATGAAACCTCCAAATCATTTTAATTTGTATTTTCCTTGTGCTTAAGATAGTTATTCTTTGTTTGTGTCTTCGGGAACTCTTAGGTACAGATGTTTTAAAGTAGAGAACTTGTAGCATGTGAATACTTACTGCTATACAAGACTCTATTTGTAATTAAAAGAGAAAAAAATGGTAGAATAGGAACAAAATAGTTAATATCTGAAAAAATTAGAAATAATATTCTAGCTTTAGGCTAAACAATCAAGAAATATAAGGTATTTCCCCAATGTTACTAGTTTTATAAGCTGGGCCCTGGTAATAGATAGAACTTGACAGTTTCTAAAAATCTTTGTCTCTGTCTCTCTTTGTGTGTGTGTGCCACAGTGTGTGTGTGTGTGTAAGTTAGAGGACAATTTCAAGTGTTCAGCCTCACCTTCCGCCTCATTTGAGACAGGACCCCTCCCTCAGCACACATGACTGTCAGCGGCCTGTGCGGTTCTGCGCAGTCTCAGCTCTCTGCCGCCAGTTTTACCTTAGGAGTGTGTGGATTGCAGATCCATGCTTCCGTATCTTTACAAGAGTTCTGAGATCCAAACACAGGTCTCCACACTGGCATAGGAAGTGCCTCACATCCTGAGTCAATTCCCCAGCACGCACTCTTAATCAGTAAACAGAAAGACATATGAACCATGAGCATGTTTGCAACTTGTTCAGATGCCAGAAACTAGCCGCATTTAGCCTGCTTTCTGCCTGTACAAAGTTACACAGCATGTGCCAAGTCATCAGGTGTCCCCAAAGGTGCCGCAATGTTAAACAATACATACAGATCCACACTTCCTAATCACAAAAACCTGTTATTGTTAATGATTTTTGTTCAAGTCAGAACTTTGAAATGTTTCCTACTAAGCATGGGGTGACACAATGGGGAATTTTTATGTTAAAACAGTAGCAAATTAATTGGCTTTTTCCTGAAGCAGCTGGACTCCTGGCGATTTCTTCCCAGCAAGAACCTGAAGCCTCATGTTTACCAGCATTCTTTGGATTACGTTTTTTAAACTTCATGGCATGAGTGGAAGATCCGCTGCACCACAGAGCACATACTTCAGTGTGGGCCGTGTAACAAGCTGTGATCTCGTTTGCTTTCAGTCATGCCTCTGCTTTCCTGAAGTGGCTTCTTGATTTCTTGCTTTTCCCCACTGTTAAATGTTTTAGATAGAAGATAATTTATCTTATGATCTGTGTATCAAAGTACTGCAGCTTAGCAGGAGTATAAAGACAAAGATTTTCATGTGAAGCTGGAGCCAAAGTGTTTTTATGATAACATATAAAATCACAGGCTGGACCGAGTTTTATTTTAATTCATTAAAATGTTTCATATAGACCCTGACGAGTCTGATCATACTTGCTGGTTATAATCATTTTTAACAGCTCATTTTTCTTATCCCTTTCTCCTTGCAGGTTTGATTGAAGAAGTCAGTGATTATGTTTTTAAAGGATTTATTTCTGTTTTAGTTATGAGTATGACCATATGTGGGTTGGTGCCCGTGTGTGCGAGTTCCTGAGAAGCCAGATTCGGGCATCTGATTCCCCGCAGCTACGGGTGGTTGTGAATTGCCTGACGTGGGGCTGGAAACCACCTTGGGTTTTTTTTTCCCAAAGCAGCGTGTGCTCTTCAGCGCTGAACAGCCTCTCCAGCCCACAGTTTATGGTTCTCTTTCCTACCACACAATATTAGTATTGAGTACTGTGGTTTTTTGTGTGTTGGTTGTTAAAAACTTCATGCCATTTAGAAATCTTTGTTTAAAAAGCCATTATCTTTTACACCTGTAATAAAATAGCCTGTGTTTGATTAGATATGTGTTTTGTTTTGTTTTGTTTTGTTTTGTTTTGTTTTGTTTTTGAGGCAGGCTTTCTCTGGGTAGCCTTGGCTGTCCTGGGCTCACTTTGTAGACCACGCTTCCCTCGCACTCCTGGAGATCTGCTTGCTTCTGCCTCCCTGAGTCCTGGGACTATAGGCGTGCTCCACTGCACTGAGCTGCCTAATTTATTTATTTTAGAAGTCATAGATTTTTAAATTTCTAACTTTGAAAGTACTATATACACATTATCTTAAATGTGTTATAGATACAATATGAAAAAAAACCTGTTTTTTTCTTTTCTGCTGTGTTTTGTTTCACTCATCTAAAATATTAAAAGTATAGATGAGGAAACATTACATTATTGTTATATGATGCCTTTCCCTTCTCTTTCCCTCCTCCCTCTCTAATCTTCCTTCCCTCCCTCCCTCGCCTTGTGTTTCATAGGTCACTGCGCCGATAGAAATAACTGTAATTAATGATGCTGAATTTGAACTCGGGGAAACATTTAGCATCTACTTAATGAGTGTGGCTGGTGGCGGCAGACTAGGCGACGATGTAATGGTGACTATTGTCATACCACCGAATGATTCTCCATTTGGAATATTTGGATTTGAAGAGAAGACTGTAAGTTAAAACATCAGAGGGCTGCTTTACCCCAGTTTTCAGTTAAAGATTATCTTTAGTCTCTGTTTCTGCTTTTCATTGCCCTTCACTTGGCGAGAAGCCCATTGCTATAGGCAACATTCCTCAGCTTGTGCACACAATTAGATTTAGCAAGAGCTCATCACACAGGTGATCTCAACAGAGAACAGCAGGTGTGTTTTTGTTGGTTATGGTTGATGAAGGTGTCCTGTCCATCTGTGGCTTCCATTTTCTTCCTGCTTTACTGCCAGAATGCTGTCCTTGTTTAGAGAACTATACTGCGGGTCTCTGGTTGGGTCTTATGGGTTGAGTTGGTGAGATTTAGTGCTACTAATTCATTGTAATAGAGTTTTACCTTCGATTATATTGAGCAAAATATTGGATTATATCCTATGTTCCAAGATCTTGTATTTCTCCATTATCTTTTCCTCATGCTTTTCATTAGCTGTTTTCTTCCAGGATCTGAAAGAGGGAACCCACTTACTACGCACTGAGGTCTTGAGTGGAGACAAAAAGCTTAACCTGAGCATGAAATGTTTATGTAGCTCTCTTAGGTAGCAGTTCCTACAGTAAAAGTAGGAAAATCTCTTACATATAAAAGTAGGAAAATCTCTATTATAACAATTATTGTGTGGTGATGATATATAATTATTATGAATTTATCTCTTAAAGATAAATGTAAGAAGAGATAATCATAAAGATCTTTAGATGATTTATATTTACTCAAAAACTTTTCTGGCTCAGTGTGTCACATTCACTGTCTTGTGTACCGTGTCAGAATAATTCATTCTGGGTAATCTCTAGCAATAAACCAGCTGCCCCTATGCCCTCCTCTTGACTAGTCTGTGGCTGCAAGACTGGAGCTTTACAGCTGTCTACAAGATCTCCGTTTTCAGACACTTGAAAATTTAAATACAGCCCCAAAATTACCTAATGGTTTTGTCAATGTAACTGCAATTTCACAAGAAAATGGAACTTTTAAGAGTACAATTCTGCTATAACCAAGTCAAACATTTTCTACCTGAAGAAAGGAACAAGCAGAGGTCTTTGAGTAGCTTTTTAATAAGCTAACATCTGGGGGACACAAATGTATCATATTCTGAGATAAACATCATTGTCATCTTGTGGTATTTCTAATCACATAATATTTCTTAGAATATTGACATATCCATAATATTTAGTCCATATGAATATGTAATTTAATTTTTCAGATTTGAGCAGGACTAACTGCTCAAATCTTCAATTGGTGAAAACTTATAAAAATACTTTGGTCTGTAACACCATCACACGTGAACTTGGACACTGAAATCTGTGTTTGTAAGTCACTCTTCCTTTTATGGAAAATTAATTTGGATAAAAATAATTTCAGGGTTTAATGTTCAGTTCTTCAGTTGGTGAGGATTTATTGAGTTTGGGCATTAAATTTGTTTAGAAGCTTCTCTCCCTACAGGAACATGAAATATCTTTACCATTAACAAATAATTTGTTTATTCATTTTATCTTAATTGCTGTTATTAACATTAGTACTCCAAACCTAATTTAAGCATGATTAGATAATTAATATAGTAGCCTCAATTTACTATTTGTCTACTCTAAAACTAAAATTAGATACCTAGATCCTATTGGTAACTTTTTTCTTAACAATTACGAGGAATTAATGAGTTGATGTATGAGAACACTCACACCTAGGATTTGCATTAGTAAGTGCAGTTGTTACTTTTACTCTTGGGAGAATTAGTACTAATTGTCCTCTGCCTTTTGTATTTGTTTTCATTGTATTCTGTATTTCTTATCACAAAGTATCTTACTTACCAACATGCATGTGCAGCATATAAAATTGTGCACAGTGACTAACATTAGTTGGTAACAGTTTGGAAGGAAAACTGAAAAACATTGAGAAAAGATTGTTATTATAAGCCCATCGAAAAAGATGCTCCCAGGGCAATCTGTAAGGACACAGACATGTGGATAGCTCCATGCATATCCTCAGCTAAGCATAAAATATACACACAGATTGTCTAAATTGATTCCTTCCTTCTTTGTTATAAAATATTCCTTGTGTCCCAGAAGTGGTGCGAGTAGTACTTGGCGTGGAGTCAAAACACTTGAATTCGATTTTAGACTCATTCTGTCCAAATGCATGGCCATGTATGGTCTTCAGATTTCTAAGAGTTCTATGGGGCTTAAATAAGGAAGTAAGTAAGGAAGAAATAACATAATGAAAGCTTAATAGACACCAGTCAGCTCCAAATCTCTGTTCTTGATTCTAACATAGAGCGTAGTGAACAAAAAGACATAAAAACAAGATTATGTTATGTTTGTCAAGTTTCTGTCTTCAAAATGGAAAGCATGCAGTCACAGTTCAAATCTGTGTAACTGAGGACATAGGTGCCACCTGCGTTTTGCTGACCAGTGTGGGCATGTGTAATTCCCTCATAGCAGATCTTATGCTGTCAGCATAAGAAATGTTGCTGCTAGTAAATTAATATATTGACTCTCCCTTTCCAAGGGGGAAGGTGGCTCAGAAGGGAAGTCAATGGGAGGATCTGAATTCAAATCTCAAGAACCTACATAAAAGTCAAAATGTATAGCAGAAGTGTTTCTAATCCCAGTACTCCTCTGGTATCTGAGGGTTTTGTGGTTGTTTTGTTTGTTTGTTTTTTCCCCCGCTGTGGAGAGATACTACGACAAGAAGTAAACTAATATAAGAAAGCATTTAGTTGAGAGCTTGCTTGTCATTTCAGAGAATGAGTCTATGACCCTCACATTGGGTAGTGTGGGGGCAGGCAGGGAGGGAGAGAGGGGGCTGAGAGAGACTGGGCCTGGCACAGGCTTTTGAAACATCAAAGCCCATCCCTAGTGCCATATCTCCTCTGTCAAGGCCACACCTCCTAATCCTTCTCCAAACATTTCAGCCAACTAGGGACCAGGCATTCAAATCTATGAGCCGACCCCCCCCCCCGCCCCCCGGTGGGGGTGGAGAAGAGGGAAGTAGGAGGTGGAGAATTCCTGGAAGGTTGTTGCTTAGCTAACCTAGTGTATGCTGAAACAAGAAGACAAGGAGACAAGGACCAGTGCTTAATCTTACACTCTGACCACCACCCACACAGAGTGGCACATGTACACCTGCTTTCACACACAGGAATGAACACACACACACACACACACACACACACACACACACACACATTATACACTTGAAAGGTCAAAAGAACTAGACAGAGACCGAGAGAAAGACACGTACAGTAAGAGAAGCACTGTATGCTCAAAACAGGATCATTGATTTGGGCTCTTCCCCCATCCCACTACTCAAAATTGCTTTTTAAGTATTTCCTTTTCTGATACAGTGAAGCAGCTTAATAAAAACTTCAACTTTATATAGATTGTATATTAGCCCTTTGTCAGATGTAGAGATGGGGAAAATCTTTTCCCAGAATGTAGGCTGTTGTTCTGTTCTGTTGATAGTGTCCTATGCTTTATAGACACTTCTCAATTTTGTGAAGTCCCATTTATTAATTGTTGATCTTAGAGCCTGAGCTCTTGGTGTTCTGTTCAGAAAATTGTCTTCTGTACCAATGCATTCAAGACCCTTCCACACTTTCTTTTCTAATAGGTTTGGTGTGTCTGGTTTTATGTTGAGGTCTTTGATCCATTTGGAGTTATATTTTGTGCAGTGTGATTGATATGGATCTATTTGCATTTTCTACATGTAGACATATAGTTAGTCTAGCATCATTTGTTGAAGGTGCTTTTTTATTTTTATTTTTCTGTTGTATGGTTTTGGATTCTTTGTCAAAAATCAAATGGCCATAGGAATGTGGGTTTATTTCTGGGTCTTCAATTTGATTCCATTGATCAACCTGTCTGTTTTTATGTCAATACCATGCAGTTTTTATTACTATTTTCTGTAGTACAGCTTGAAATCAGGGATGGTGATACCTTTGGAAGTTCTTTTATTATACAGGATTGTTTCAGCTATCCTGTTTTGTTTTGTTTTCATATGAAGTTGATAATTGCTCTTTCAAGGTCTGTAAAGAATTTTGTTGGCATTTTGAAAGGAATTGCATTGAATCTATAGGCTGCTTATGGTAAGATGGCCATTTTTACTATGTTAATCCTGTCAATCCATGAGCATGAGACATTTTTCTATCTTCTGGCATCTTCTTCAGTTACTTTCTTCAGAGACTTGAAGTTCTTGTCATACCAGTCTTTCACTTGCTTGCTTAGAGTTACACCAAGATTCTTTATATTATTTGTGGCTATTGTGAAGGGTGTTGTTTCCTTAATTTCTTTCTCAGCCCATTTATCCTTTATATAAAGGAGGGCTACTGATTTTTTTTCTTTTAGTTAATTTGCATCCAGCCACTTTGCTGAAGGTGTTTATCAGCTGCAGGAGTTCTCTGGTAGAATTTTTAGGGTCATCTATGTATACTTTCATATCATTTGTGAATATCGATACTTTGACTTCTTTCTTTTCAATTTGCATTCTCTTGACTCCTTTAGTTGTCTTATTGCTCTAGCTATTACTTCAAGTACTATCTTGAATAGATACAGAAAGAGTGGACAGCCTTGTTTTGTCCTTTGTTCTAATGGAATTGCTTTAAGTTTTCTCCAGTGATGTTGGCTATAGGCTAGCTGTGTTCGTCAAACATTGGGCAAAGCGTAGGGAATCTTGTGGAAACATGGGGGAAGGATAGAAGGATCCAGGGTGGGCTGGAGCTCCACAAGAAGACCAACAGAGCCAAATTACCAAGGCCCCAGAGTGGCTTGCAGAGACTGAACTCTCCAACCAAGGACCATACATGGACTGTACCTAGGCTCTGTACAAAGATGTAGCCAAGATGCAGCTGGGGCTTCTTGTTGGTCCCTAGTAAGGGGAGCAGGGTCTGTCTCCAACATGGACTCTGTTGCCTGCTTTTTTTTTTTTTTTTTTTTGATCGCTCCTCCCTGATGAGGTTGCCTCTCCAGGCCACATAGGGAGGGGAGAGGACACACTCAGTCCTGATGGGACTTGATGAGCTGGATTGGATTCATAGGGAGGCAGGCACTCCCCTTTTCTGAGGAATAGGGGAGGGAGGATATGGGGAAAAGGGAGGGAAGATAGGACTGGAGGAAGAGGAGAGAGGCACTACTATAAGGATGTAAAGTGAATAAATAAATAAATTTAGTAAAAAAAAAACCTTCACCTCACTAAAATTGGTAAATTCTGACCATTCAGAGGCTAGTTTTTACCTGCATTATTTGAGGAGCATATTGCTCTAACAAAGACCCCTAAGTCTATTACAAATGAAGCTGTTACAAACATGGTTGAACAAACGTCCTTGTAGTGTACTTGAACAACTTTTGGATATATGCCTAGGAGTGGTATAGCTGGGTCTTGAGGAAGCACTATTCCTAATTGTCTGAGAAAGTGCCAGATTGATTTCCAAAGTGGTTGTACCAGTTTACATTCCCACCAGCAATGGAGGAGGGTTCCCCTTTCTCCACAACCTCTCCAGCATGTGTTGTCATTGGAATTTTTGATTTTAGCCATTTTGATGGGTGTAGGTGAAATCTCAGGGTGGTTTTGATTTGCATCTCTCTGATGGCTAAGGATATTGAGCGTCTTTTTAAGTGTTTCTCTGCCATTCTGTATTTCTCTATAGAGAATTCTCTGTTTAGCTCCGTACCCCATTTTTAATTGGATTACTTGATTTATTGCTTTTTAACTTCTTTAGTTCTTTATATATTCTGGTTATCAGGCCTCTGTCAGATATAAGGTTGATGAAGATCCTTTCCCAGTCTTTAAGCTGTCATTTTGTTCTGATGACAATGTCTTTTGCTTTACAGAAACTTTTCAGTTTCATGAGGTCCCAATTATTGATTGTTGCTCTTAGAGCCTGTGCTGTTGGTGTTCTGTTCAGAAAGTTGTCTCCTGTGCCAATGAGTTCTAGGCTGTTCCCCACTTTTTCTTCTAACAGATTTAGAGCATCTGGTTTTATGTTGAGGTCTTTGATCCACTTGGACGTGGGCATCTTCTGCAAATTGGAAGAGTGGGTATGGAGGATTGTGGGGAAGTTTGAGTGTCCTGTCAGCTATGATCACTTCTACCAGTGACCTGCTAACAATGCAGACACTTTGCTCCACAAAATTTCAAGACATATTTAAAATACCAAGTGGCCTCATGTATATAAAAGAAAAGAAATAGGTTTGAGAGGTTCTGCTACATGAGAACGTGTTGTGAACAGAATTTTAAATTCAAAACTACAATGACCACAACTAAGATTATTTCTCCCATTTTTAAAAATGTGTTCACCTTACTGGACTTTATTTCTTGCAGGTAATGGTTGATGAATCCCTCTTGTCTGATGACCCTGATTCATATGTGACACTGACAGTTGTCCGGTCCCCAGGAGGAAAAGGACCTGTTCAACTTCAGTGGGCTGTAGAGGAGAAGGCCAAAGGCAACCTCAGTCCTTTGAATGGGACACTTTATTTTGATGAGGTACAGTCAGCCTCTGTGTTCCTGTAAACTTCCTGTTGTTTTGTACAGAGCAGTGTGGTATTACGTATGAATTCACATGCTGGTATTCAATATCTCTGGTAGGTTTTTTTGTTTGTCTTTGTTTTTTAAATACTTGTGCTTTGAGAGGAAATGAAAGGAGACAAAAGGGAAAGAAGAGGAAGGAGAAAGGGTGGGAATCAGATTATATACTTCAGACTCTGCCTCTGTAACCATCCAAAGTGCCTTTCTGTCATAGTCCTCACTTGAGGACGTAAATTAGAGTTTGGAGACGACAGGGACATTTTAATCTTTAGTCCTCCTCTGTCCTATGAGAAGACAGCCACAGTTTCTCCTATGGTGTGCTGATGACACACCTGCCCTTTGGACCATGCTGCTCTTGCCAGATCTCCCTTTTGACTTCAGTTCTTCGTCTCCACTTCACAATCTATGCAGTCATGGGGGTGTGTTCTTGGTGTAAACCTCAAAAGTACTGAGGGATGAAAAGTAAGAGCAATCTTTCCATGCCTCCTGTGAGAACCACTCTTGATAGTTTCTTCTATGTTCTTTTAAGACATATGTACCTTGTTCTTCCACACATGGAATCTGTGCTCCTCAGTCTGTTCCGTAACTTGCTGTTTCATAGTACTGTTTAAATTAAACATTTACTTTTCATGTTAAACAAATCTCTTGCATCAAAAACTTGGGTAAATATACTCTTTTGCTCAGTTTTTGCTGCTAACACTTCCACTCCCACGATCTTTCTGTATCATCATGATTTTTGTAGTTCTGAAATTTCTCATCTGCCCTTCAGCTCAGTCAGTGCTTTATTCTCTTAAATTCTTTCATTCCTGTTTCTACACTGTGACAAATTTCTTAGGTTGCTCGTATTTTATTTACATTTTCTTCAGCATGGTTCTCTTGGAATAACCATGTAACCATGGACTTATTTTCACAAATAAGACTAACTGAAATCTTCCTACCATTTAATGCCTGTGGAACTGGGTAAATTTGTTAATGTTGATGACATTTGATTTCCAAAAGCACAAAATGAGAACAATAGTGCTTAACCAGGGCAAGGTGTGTATTTTAAGCAAACTAACTTTCTGACACTTAGGAAGTACTCATTAAATAGATGATGTTTAAGAAGAGCTAGTGGAAATGGCAGCTTGCTACCTCAATGTTGTGAGGCTCATCTTTACTTCATCGTGTGTTTAAATTTAATAACTGAATCTCCAAAGCACACACATAGTTTATATTGCTGTCTTTCTGAAACAGCCTACAAAGGTGATTCTGAAGCTGTCACTCCATACAGAAAACTTTAAGAAAAACTTTAAGAAAAATATCTTTGCAAACTCTTGATTGAATTAAGGAGGGCTTTTGTTAGGGGCTAAGGGAAAAGTTTTTTAGAAACTTTGTATTTCAGTGAATTTTGAATCTCCAGTAGAATTTTCTGAGCTCATCTCTCCGTGAATCATCCCCGTTACCTCATTCTGCCAGACATTCATTGTCACTGTTTATAACCAGCATTACGAACAACTGACTTGGAGAGAATTCCTTTTCCTCCTCGTCCTGGCTGTTCATTCTACTGAGAGCTCAGGGTTCAGGGACACCAACAGTTCCCTTGCACGTTTGCTAGGAAGGAAGAGGCCGTGTGAGTAGATTGTTATGATTCACTGAAGAGTCGTTAACGCTCCTGTCTTCTCGTGTGCACCTACTCACTAAAATGTATTTGTGTCCCTTTTTATGTGTATCCCTCAGTCAACATGCCTGATGCTTTCACACTCATTTGCTGACATAGGAAGACCGGGAGAAAATTCAGTTTTCATATTTTGCACATTTCCTGCTGTGGGAAGATATAGAACTGACTTGTTTTTATCTCAGAAAGCAAACAAATGTCCTTATAATACATTCTGTTTGAAGTCAGTTTTCCTCATTTGTATATTGGGATTTCACTGTTTAAAATGATTTCCAGTGTAGTGTTGAAATCAGCTGTGATGTTACTCAAGCAGCAAATGCATGTGTGTTAGATAAACTCACTCAGGTACAAGTTATGGTTCCTATTAACACAAACACACGCTACAACTTTAGTTTGGAATAATAATTGTTATGTCTAGAAACAAACAAAAACTCTGCCAAAGTTGATTTAAGGTTGCAAAAGTCTGAGTATACATAATGAAGCACAAGAATATTTGTGGCAGCATTTATTAAAATATTAAACAACCAATTAGATGAACATAAATTGTAAATACAAACAGTGGAATATCCGTAACAACCAGAGGACTGCTTGACTCTACACAGGAAAGCATCGATGGAAGAATATACGGAAGGATCTTTAGAAGCAGGGAGTGCATCTCACAGGACGGGGGGTGGGGGGGTGGGGGGGTGGCGGTTTAGAAAAGTGGGATGTTGGACCCTGCTGTTAAGATTGAAGTCTGGCATGGCCTGAAGCTGCTGAGCTGCAGACTTCCTTCCTCAGCTGGTTCCCTCCTCTTCCCCAGATCCTGTAAGGAGTGTCACAGCCCTCAGGGGGTTTCGGGCCCAGCCCTTGCCTATAGCTTCTTATAGAGAAGCTACGAGATGGCCTCTCTGCATGTAGTCCACTGTGTCTTGTGTGCATCAGCTCCACAGCCTTGGTCTCTTTGCAATGTGAACAAGTAACTCTACAAGTTTGGATTTCAGTGATGGATGCTTTTCAATGAATTTAAGAGTTGTGGATTTTTTTCACTCTTACATTCAAGAAACTAAAATGGAATTTGTAGTCAGAGCTAGTTTTTACAATGTAATTCTTTCTGAATATAATTCATAATTCTAGGTGGCAAAACTGGCATCAAAAAAAGCTCATGCTCATAAATCTTATTTTTCTAATGAGAACATTCAAAGTTTGACTTTTGTTGGTCTGAAAAATGTTTTCCTCTTGTTTAAATGTAGAATGAATCCCAGAAGACTGTTACATTGCACACATTTCAAAACAGCACAGTCGGGGAGGACAGACACTTCACCATTGAGCTGACAGCAGCTGACGAGGTAGAAATATCTCCAGCGAAAGGTAAGAGAAACTTGCATAGTCTTTGAAATTAAGTGCATTCAAAATAAGTAGTTGAAAAGATAGGCAATGCTAGGTGTTACAATTTTTTAAAATGTGCTTCAATGTAAATGCACATTTTTATCTATACACTAAGCAAAGTTTTAAAAATTAAAATTATGATGCAATACAATAAATTATAAGTATTATATTATAAAAATATAATATAATTGTATAGAAATACAATACATTACTTGTAGTTTATATCATATAGATGAAAGATCAGATACTGCTGTTTTTTTAAAGCTTTAAAATAAAGCTGTTCATTAAAGTTATGCTTATAAGATAAAATATGAGACCTAAATGATTAAACAATAGTGAGATGCTCACTATCACAATCAAGATTAATTAATTTTTAATTAAAAATTGTTACTTAAATCTTTATTGGGTCTGTGTATGTTCCTGTGGTGACATGCATGTGAGTGCAGGTGACTGCGCACCATGGGAACTGATGCTCTCCGGAACTGCAGTTACCTTGAGTCATGAGCTGCCCTAGACGGTTATGAGCTGTGAACTGAACTCAGTTCCCTGTAAGAGTACGATGTGCTCTTAAATGCTGAGCCATCTTTTCAGCCCCAAAAAATTATTTTTAAAATGATTTATTGAATTTAGTTTGTGTGTGTGTATGTGAGTGTGTGTTTGTGTGTGTGTATGTGTGTGTGTACAAGCAGGGAAGCCAGCAGAGGGCATGGATCCCTTTGAGAGGGAGTTTACAGCATTTATGAGCTGCTTGTTATGGATGCTGGGACAGAAACTTGGCTGTTTGCAAGGGCTCTAAGCACTCTTAACTTCTAGACCATCTCTCCAGTTCCAAGAATTCTTAATTACATAGATAATCGCTGTGTTTTGAAATTGGACTTCATAGCAATATGCTCAATATAATCCCATTTTATGTTATTATATTTTATGAATTTAGAATTATTACTTGAAATGCTTACAGTGATGCCTGATTGCCTATAATTTCTGTGTATTTATATCAATCATATATTGCATAATTTTAAAATTTAACACATGAAATATAATTATTATAGCCTAAGTCAACATGCTTTTATCTAAAATTAATCACTTCGATATTTCAATATTTCATACAAATGTCCCAATTTTTAGACATATATAGGATAGACAGGTATTATGATTTCACTGAGAGTAATAAAAACAACAAAAACAATGAGAAAATTTTAAAACTGAGGGTTGCTTATTGTTACACTGCCGTTTATAACACTGAAGGGGATGGCGAGGCCAGGAGTGTTCCCAGAAGTGTACGCACTTCAGAGGTGGCTGGTTACCCTTCCTGTATGTTCATCCATAGAGTGTTCTGACTAACCTGTGAAACAGCCATACGAAGGCACCATCTTCTTCAGACCTTTTAACATAGGTCAGCGATAGCACACTAAAATGATGGGGTTGATGTGTACACAAATAAGACTATGTTTCTTTTCCCACACAAACCCTTACTGTATCTCTGCCTCTCGGTAGCACACTTGGAGATGATGCAGCACTCTTAGTGTCATTAAGCTGTGGCCAGGGAGGCACATGTGTAATACTCCATCTATGTTTTTTTTTTTTAATTTTTTCTATAAAATGGTAATGTGTGCTTTTGGATACAGTCTTCGTTAGATTCCTGCTAAGTTGTAGAATGTAGTCTCTTATTACTAGGTAGTTTTCATTAATGTTTTAATAATAATAACTAGCCAGTTTTATGACTAGTGTCAGGAAAATGAAAATTAAGAAAGGTGCCCTCAAGAATTCTTGCTCTTGCCACGGAGGCCACCGGAGGTAAGAGGAATACTGCAGGGGTGAGGCCATGCGTGTGACACAGGGGAGAGCGTGTGCTGTGCTGTGAGAATGGTGTTTGCCAGGCTTTTCCTGCTCTCTTCGCGAGGAGGTCTATGGAGGAAGGTCGCCGTCAGCGCCAGGGCCAGGGCCTCTCTCCTCCTGCTGAAAGGCGAGCAACAGCGCCTACCTGCCGTTAGTGCATCTTCGTCTCGTTGATTAGTGTGCCTGTGCATTAACGGGTGGGCCTCAAAATGCGCTCTCATCTTAAACGTAGGTAGTGCATCGATAATCATTCGAGGAGATAAGGCCACATCAGAAGTTGGGATTGCATCATCATCTAGGCACATCATTATTGGGGAACCCTCAGCAACATATAATGGCACGGCCATCATCAGGTGAGGATTTTATGATTTTTTTTTTAAATTTAAATAGCAGTGGTTCTCAACCTGTGGGTCAGGACCCCTTTGGGGGTCGTATATCAAATATCATCTGTATCAGATATTTACACTGCAATTCATAACAGTGACAAAATTACAGTTACGAAATAGCAACACCAAGCATGAGGGTAGTACTAGAGGGGCACAGCATTAGGAAGGCTGGGAACCTCGGGCCTAGACCATCATTCTCAAGCCTCCGTAGTACTCACCACCACGTTACATATTGGTAAGCGTTGGGTGGAAACTAGAACAAGACAGGAAGAACTGACAGCTGTGCCCTGAGCCGTCTTGACGCCAGATCACAGGCAGCCCGTGTACTCAGAGATGCGTGGCATCGCCTAGAGCAACACGCATGCTGGTAAAGCTGGACAGCCCCAGTCTGCCACGGCACACACAACGGGTGACTTTCTCTAAGGACCTGACTCTGTGGGTTCTCAGATCAGGCCCTGCCACACAGCTAAACCAGCATGGCTGTGGGCAAGTTTGGCTCGCCACATTTTCTAACGAGGATTGAAGCAGCAGCCACCGCTCAAGTAGCTGGGTTTGACTCAGCTACCTGAGGTCTGTACCTGGCACATCCGCTCCTCCTCCTTTCCCACCAGTGTGCTCAACTGTGGACCGCCATGTTCTGTTCTGCAGAAGATCTGTTAGGCTACTCACATTGTATGTGAATGTTAAATAAGACCCAGAAATACTTCTATTCCTTTAAACCATCAGGTTTAGTGTTCATTTTTTGTCGGTGTCTTTGTCAAGGTAGATATACGCTAGCATAGGAATGCTACCGTACTACCTTGGAATTTGAGGACTCTTGCCTGATTTACAGTTGTTTGGTAAGGTTATTTAAAGTCATAATGTTCTTGGAATAAGTGAAAATTGGCTGAAAGGCACAGCAAATGTTTAGGAAAGATTAATTAATTAAGACAATTAATTAAAAATATACTAAATCTATATCCATGGACTGTTGTAGCCTTGTTCGTGGCCCAGGGGTTTCGGGGGAGATCGCAGTGTCCTGGAAAATATTTCCTCCTTCTGTGGGGGAGTTTGTTGAAACATCAGGACAACTGACAATGCAAGATGGACAGTCTGAGGCCACTGTAGTGATTCAGGTACTAATGAGGCTGCCTGCTGTTAGCCCTTGCGTGTGTATACACACGTGTGTGTGCATATAGATATGTGTGCATACATGTGTGTCTGTGCTTGCGCATATGTGTGTGTGTAAGTATGTATGTATGTGTGTGCATCTGTGTACACGTGTGTGTGTGTGTGTGTGTGTGTGTGTGTGTGTAATTGAAGGGTGGTTCCAGAACCCATGATTATTTCTGTGGGTAAGAGAAAATGCCCCCTTTAACCGTCTGCAGGCTTTGGATGATGACAGCCCTGAGGAGAAGTGTTCTTATGGCTTTCAGCTCACTGGAATCAGTGAGGGGGGAGTGCTCAGTGAAGCCAGTGTCGCCGCCGGCATCACCATGGTGGCCAGTGACGCTCCCTACGGCCGGTTCTCATTTTCGCACGAGCAGCTTCACGTTTCAGAAGCGGCACAAAGGGTATGGTGTGGACTGTTGCAGCTCTTCTGTCGTTTTTGTTTCTGGTATGGGAAGCGGTCCTTTTCTAAACCCCCCCCCCCCATGTATTAATTTCTTCCTATTATTGTTACAATGTAATTTCTGTAATTTCATAGAGTTAAATTTAATTCCAACCTAATCCCGGGACATAGAATAATTAGAAATGATTTATGCGGTGGATTAAACATGCAAATTAAACTGATAAGCAATTCTCTCCTAGGTTAATGTCACAGTTGTCCGCTCAGGTGGCTCTTTTGGACGTGTGCGAGTCTGGTTTGAGTCTGGTAGCAGGACGGCAGAGGCAGGCTGGGACTTCATCCCTACCTCAGGGGAGCTCCTCTTTGAAGCCAGAGAGAGGGCGAAAAGCCTACATGTCGAAATCCTTGATGACAACCTTCCTGAAGGCCCTGAGGAATTCGCTCTTGCCATTACAAAAGTGGAGCTCCAGGGAAGGTAAAGGCCAGAACAGGAAGGGCTGTGAGGAGAAAGAAATGGGAGACAGAGGTTCAGGACTCAGTGAAGAAGCTGACAGACTACTCCTTTCATAGTTTTCTAAACTTTCTCTCCCTTGTTGCCTGTGGAGAGAACATGGGTTTATCATACGGAATGATCCAGCAAAGCCAGGGAATTGCTGGTGATGTGTTATCTCCCAGGTCCTTGTGGAGTTTGGCTGGCTGCTTTCTAAGTCAGCAGGGGTGGCAAGAATTACTTCCCCCCTTTTAGGACCCCTGAAAGAGAGAGTGGGAGGCAGCTCTCCGTGGTATTGGTCTGTCTTCTCTGGGTAAATGAGAGAGACTCTTGCCTTTTGGCAGCATTTCTTTGCTTTGCTTTTTTTCCTTTGTTTTTTTGAGACTGCTTATCCGTGTAGCCTTGGCTGTTCTGGACTCACTCTGTAGACCAGGCTGGCCTCAAACTCACATGCCTCTGCCTCCCTGAGGGCTGGGATTAAAGGCATGTGCCACCGTACTCAGATTACCCAGTAGCAGTTTAAACTGGGAGGAAAAATGAATGGTAGTTACCAAACTGGTGTGGCATGGTTTCAATGAAGAATCAACATTCATCATGCTGAGGCTTATTTCTTCCCCGGAGCTGGCTTGATTGGCAGAGTAGGGGTTCATTGTGCAGTTCACATACCATGCTTCAAATTTGTCCCAACTCAGTATTCCACTCAGAAACACAGGTACAGTAATCATTGTCTTACCCGAGAGAGGCAAAAATGTATTTTGAGAGAGGCAAAAATGTATTTTGAATTCACATAAACATTAAATCTTTCTTCTTCGAGGAAGGAATCAGAATCTGAGAGTGGGAATTAGGCTCTTCCCATTGCTCAGTCTTCCTTAAGTGAAGGCGGTTTGGAAAAAGTAGCTCTCGACCTGTGGCAACAGGTCTATGGTTTTGATTAATCAGGACAGGGATCATCTGCCTTGTTGACTATTCTTCCAAAGGTAAATTTCCATGTGAGTTCTGGTTAACGGTTTTTGCTTGCAAATAATTACCAGCTTCATTTGATATGAAAAGGAAGCATTGGAATGCAGCCTGTTCCCTGCTTTTCCTCTTGGCTAGAGACATGTTGCTTTGGAAGGGCTTGTGGTACCCAACCTGTCTCAGGATGCTGATGAGGGCAGCTGCTCTGCCCATTTAACATTTCAACCCTCAGTTCTCTGCCTTTGCCTCACAAGTAAGGTACTTAGCAGTTTTCACCCTTCAGTACAAGGCAGCATGTGAACCCCAATTGCAAAGAACTTAGGAATTGAAGGAAGGTTTGAAGTTGTGTAGGAACTTCTGAAATTTCTTTTACTTTAGGAATTGAAATGCTGTATAGGTGACTGCAGAAATACGTTGTTATATAAGTAAATTAACTGATATTGTTCATAATTAAATTAGGTTCCTTTGTGGTCATTATTTGTATTTTGTCCATACTTATAATTTTGTTTCATATAACTAACCATAAATACTTGGGAGATTATATACACACATATGGAACATTACTTTACACAAGACAGCCTTCATATTGGCATTATTTAAGACCATTACGGGACTGGGGTAGAGCATTTGCCAGGTGTGCTTGAAACCGTGGGCTCACAACATCATCTGTGTAATAGAACCAAGGTATGGGAGCCAAAAAGACATTTATGCTCATGCTAAACATGTGCACATTTGTTATTTCATTGTATTGTGTTTTAATCTTTATTTCCTGTGACTTTGCAAGAGGGTATGATTTTACCATCCGAGAGAATGGACTTCAGATAGATCAACCTCCTGAAATTGGAAACATATCCATTGTTCGGATCATAATAATGAAAAACGATAATGCAGAGGGCATCATTGAATTTGATCCAAAGTACACTGCCATCTCAGGTAAGCTTAGTCGGCTTCTGCTGGTGTCACATTTTCTGAATTACGAAGGAATCTGAATTCTTATATGCAATTTTTTTTTTGTTTGATCACAAAAACAACTCTCCATTTGTATGTCTACATTTTAAAAGTACTTTTTGTTACTCTTAGTTAGCCTTGAACCTCTCTGTATTTTGCAAAGTCAAGTGATTACTCAGCTTGGAAAAAAAATTATGTTTTACTTTAAGGACTATTAAAATGTCTTTTTAAGGCATTGATAAGGGGCTGGAGAGATAGTATTAGGCCCAGGGGGACCCTAACTTCTAAGGCGGGATGAAGAGAAGTCAGGAGGCCAGGAGGCTGGATCGATACAATTTACAAGAGGTTTATCATCGTTCGATGTGGCTCTCCCCCCGCCCCCCAAACCAGAGAGGAACAGCCAGGAGAGACAGAAGGCTGAGGTTTTTAAAGGAAGGAGCGCGGGAATCTCGGAGGTTGCAAGCTCGGCCACACTGGATTGGGTAGAACAGCCGACTTTTAAAATGATTGGTTCATTTTAGGTGCCAAGTCCATCTGGTCCCGCCCTGATGTGGGTGGGGGAGCTGTGGCGTCTGGACCTCCTCCACAGTGGGGAGGAGACCTTTCGCATTCTTTGCAACAGGGTGGGGTCGTGTTTCAATCTACCCGCTCCACCTGCTTTCTGGAAAGGTGCTGGGAGAATTTAGTTTAACATAGGGTATGGAATTTATAAAGAAACCTGTAAAGCTAGCCTGTTCCTTTGATTGGCACAGTGGTTAAGGTGCTTACTGCTTGGTGCTGGCTCAATCACTGAGATAAAACAGCTGGGCAAGAAGCAGTTTGAGGAGGAAAGGGTTGATTCCACCTTGTAGCTTGTAGTCTGGAATGCGGAAGTCTGAGCAAGAACTCACAGCAGGACTTGGAGACAGGAACTGATCCAGCTGCCCTGGAGGAATGCTGCTTCCTGGCTTGCTCCTTCGCGCTTGCTCAGGTTGCTTTCTTACACCATCTAGAACCACCAGCCCAGAGCAGACAGCACTCACAACAGTTGGGACCCTCATACATATATCATTAATCAAGACAATAGCCCACAGATTTGCTAAAGGCCAATCTTATGAAGCTATCTTCTCAGTTAAGACTCTCTCTTCCCAGAGAAAATGTCTAGGTTGTGTCAAGTCAACAAAAACCAAACAGCACAATGCTCTTGCAAAAGATGAATTTGGTTTAACCACATTTACACCTCTCTGCTCACAACTGCCTGTATTTCAGCTGCTCCAGGGGATCTGATGCCCTCTTCTGGCTTCTGGGGAACTTGCACGTTCAAAGACATACACCTGAATAAAAATTAAACAACTCTAAAATGTTTTAAAAGAAAATACTTCAATTTATGTACATTTCATTTTTATATGACCATATCTCAGGGCCTATTTACGCTGTAGAGAATAATCAGCACTGAAATGAACATTTTACTGTGTTGTTGCTGCAGATAATGTCTGGGTCCTTGATCTTGTCTTCAGCTCCTCTCAGGTTTGCCTAGTGCCACCAGAACACAGAATACATGGCTACATTCCATTCTAAGCAGAAAGAAATGATTACCTTTCTAGGAGTTGGTTTTATCCAAAGGTAGAATATAAGTACAATTTAAAAATAAACATATTACCTTGTTTATGCAAATTAATAACTTACTGCCTTCATTGCTTCTACCCAGACTCCTTGTCTAGCTATCTTGAAAGTTTGGCAGAATCACCTTCTGCACATCTCCTAAGGACTTTTTGGATAAGCTATGGCTTATTAATAAGCTATCTTGTTAATTTCAGCCTACTACTAGTGAAGTGATGCTGCATTTTTGCATCAAGAAACAAATAGGATTTTTTTTTTCCAGTTTCCTCATTTCTCATTAATTCATTATTCTGGGAGAAAGTTTTGGTAATTAACACTTTTTTAACTTAAAATTTTGAATTTTTAAATTTAAATCAAAGACTGATGTTGATATTTTCTGATATATTTTCTAGGACCAGAAAATACAATAGTTTGTGTGCGTAGATTTAAAAATGTTCATATGAGTGCTATTGAGATATCCAAGTGCAGTTACCGCCAACCTGACAAGCTGGAATCGACCCTGGGAACCTGCTGGGGAGAGGAGGCTGACTCCAGCAGGTCGTTTCCGAGCACCGCACATAAGCCCTGTGCGCACGAGCACGCACTCACGTTATACGTGGAACATATTGTGTGGTAGGAATACTCTAAGGCCCCTACAAGTACCATTTGTATTTCAGCTAAATGTACAAAAGCAATCCAGACTATTTCCATTTTTGCACACACTGAGTGTTTTTCTCCCCCTGTCTTAGGCGGGGCTCTCTTATTTGCATGGCGTGAGGAGGAAGAACGCTGTCCAAATGACTGCACAAGCTGTTTATGTTTTAAAAAGTCAGTCACTCTAGATCTCAGCATCAGGCAAACTGTTCTTTGTAAAAAGATGAGAGCTACAAAACTTTCACTATTTTTTAAGGTGATAAGTGAACTGTGAAAACTAGGAGAGTGTGCCCTGGACCGTTGCTTTTAATTGCCTGGTCCGTTGCTTTCCCCAGTAACCTGGCTAATTCCACTTTCCTGTCACAGTGGAGGAAGATGCCGGCGTGATCGCCATTCCGGTGCTGAGGCTTCGGGGAGCTCTCGGCCGCGTGTCAGCCGAGTTCAGCTCTCGGGGCTCCCCTGCCGGGCCAGGAGGCTTCGTACTGCAAGGCAGCTCGCTCACCTTTCAACATGGGCAGAACCTGAGCTTTATAAACGTCTCCATCGTCGACGGCAGTGCAAGGTTGGTGGGAGGAAAGCGTGGGCATTCGTAAAGCCTGGGCACCGGGGCCTGGCTTTGCTCGTGTCTTTCCCTGACAGTTCAGGTTCCTGCTGAGAAGCATCACTCGAGAGAGCCTGGGAAGGCCCAGGAAGGGGGATGTCACGGAGCTTGTGCACCTCATTTTGTCTCAGACAGAGGAAGTAATTTCTGTTCCCTTCACGGTCCAGTCCACCTTCTGCAGTTGAACGGAAGAAGTCTAATGATTGGGTTGTGAAAGCTTCCCGTGGAGTGTGCTCTTTGCCGAGCGCCCTCCCCCGGGTGTGCCTGCTGCGCCTTGAATATGTATGGCCAATTTGGAAAATGACTAGCTATTTGGATTTTACAAGCATTTTAATATGTTTAGACTCACAGATTGCTCCTTCTTGCCATGCAGTGAATTTGAGGAGCAGTTTGAAATTCTGCTCACCGGCGTTACTGGTGGCGCGATCCTTGGGCGCCACCTAGTGAGCAAAATCACAATTGCCAAAAGTGACTCTTCGTTTGGCGTCATAAGATTTCTCAACCAAAGCAAAATTTCTATTCCTAACCCCAACTCCACAATTGTTATACACTTGTTCCTGGAGCGGACTGGAGGACTCTTGGGAGAGATGCAGGTAGAGTTTTTCTTCCTGTGATGTTAAAAGTAATTTTGATGTATTATAAATAATGTTGGAGTTTCTTATTCCCCAGGCGTGCTTGCCTATCTACCTACCTACCTACCTACCTACCTACCTACCTACCTACCTACCCATTTACAGTATTTACTACTAATTGCTTTGTAAGTGTTAAATAGCTTCTGAGCCTGATTAATTCTGTAGAAATGTATAAGCCATGTCCTGTTTTCAGGAAACTAAGCAGCAAATTAAGACGTGAATGGATGAGTCTGGTAAAAACCAGTTCAGCAGGTAGAAAGCACGTTCGGAAATAGTGTGATCACTGTCTTCACCATAAGCTTGAGCGGCAGCAAACCAGTAAAAAGAACAAAGTGTCATTCCTACAAACTCTCCTAGTAGCTTTGGGATACACACTTGGGCGACCTGGTTCCGCTGTGATGTGATGAGTTGGGAAGAAGGAACACTGGCTCCTGTAGAGGAATAAACCTGACCTGTGGGCAGGAGAGCCTATGTGGTCGGGGCTTAAAACTGACAAATAACAACACAAGAGGGTCTGAGTGCCCACAGGTCACTGATCACCGAGGCCCTAGGACTAATCTAGAACAAGTCAAGATGTTATCATCAGAGCAAAGAGCTGGCATTAAGGGAGACTTAGCCAGAGAATATATCGCCCTCTTTTCACTTACCTGCTCACCTCTGGCTGCATGTGAAAGATGGATTGTCAAGAAGGCAGGAGAGCAGTGCACAGGCAGGAAGGATAGCTGGGAGGCTGCTGTCTTTTGCATGGTTATGAGTGATGGCGATAGAGGTGACAGATATGGAGTCTGTTGGGGTAAGTGTGGAAGCTGAAGAAGAGAGAAATTGCAGATAGCTCCTAGAAGCAGCTGGCGTGTGGCCCCAGCCTCGTGAATAACTGGGTAGACAGTTAAGAATTCTGATTTGACCGTGTTAACTTGAGACCTGCTAGACAGCCCATGGAGAGGTCACATAGGCTGAGTTCTGCGCGTTGTTAGGTGACCAGGCTGACAAGGTATGGCAGGTGATTGTGTAGAAGAAACCACTGAAACCATGAGCTATCAAAATTATTCTTATAAAATTCTGTGTTTCTCAGTTTCTCTCTTACCCCGGCTAGTATTCAAATAATTGAGACTCTATTATATTTGTTTAATAAGCTCCACAACATAATAACTGAGCAGGTATTACTCTACTCTTACCCCTCTATGCTAGTCTGCTTTTATTTTTTCCCAAAATCCCTGGGATACTTGCACTTTGTGGCTGTCTTGCTCCAGCTCCTCTCCTGATGGCTCCTGGACCTCTCTGGTGAATCTCCTACTTTCTCCACTAACTCCTCATCCCCTAGCAGGCAGACAGTACAGCCCTATTCTCTCTCCTGCTCAGTGACTGGCTGAAAGCTGCTTTATTGGCAGAATTGGGGACAGTGGGGGAGCGATGTTTATACAACATTAAGACAGGAGATTCTCAGAATAGGGATTGCAACCAGATGTGGAGAGTACAGAAATCAGCATTTGAATTCCACAATAACCTTATGCCTGCAATGAGCCTCTGAGTATAGCTAGAGTTGTGAAGATTATACAGCTGTGTCTTGGGCTCCTACCTTATAGGGCTCTGAGAAAAGAAGGCTGGGAAGGCAAGAGTTGTGTAAGACGAGAAAGAAGAGGCAGGGAGAGAAATAGCCCAATGCTGCTGAGAGAGAGAGTGATGAGTGAGAACTGTGTGGTCTTCCACTCCAGACAATATGAAAAGTATCCAGACTGGGATTATAGAAACCTGCAGCTGCATTTCTTATAACGCAAATGTCAGTTCTGATCAAATGTCTGAACACTTGTACTCATTTTTACAGTGAGAATTTATGTATATTTAGAAAAAAAAATGCACACAACAGAGTTTCCACAATTTTGATGTCATTCCTCCATGCTCTGACTGGCAGAATCCAAGCACACGGCTAGGCAATGCTAGGCTTATAAACTTCACCAATGTTTCTAACATATAAATATTTAAAATACAGGGTTTTTTTTTTTGCCCTGTGATGATTTCAAAAGACTAGGTACTATTTTCAACATTTTATTTGAAAATATTTTCTGCACAGATAACCAGGAATTAGAACAATGTATCCTAGAATAGTTTCATATTTGTGCAATTTTTCTAGTAGCACATCTACTGCAAAAATCCCTTGCTTAAAATTAACCATCTCTGGTAAAACCCAATATGCCTTACAGGTGAGCTGGGGCATAGTGGGGCCCAGCTCTGAGGAGGCCTTACTACCAGAGAATGGAGACATTGCGGACCCAGTGAGTGGAACCGTCAGCTTTGGGGATGGAGAGGGCGGTGTGAGAACCATCATCCTCACAGTTTGTCCCCATGAAGAAACCGAACCTGAAGAGACTTTTGTTGTTCAGCTTAAGCCTTTGAAAGAAGCTAGACTAGATCCCAGAGCTAAAGCCGTTGCACTAACGGTAAGTCTGAATGAATTCACCACAAAATTTCAGATTTAATGGTTTTATCAGAAAGCTATTTCTGTTGCTTGACATGCTAATGCTGAATAGAAAATGCTGAAACCTGTCTGTGTTGGGGGGTGTGGTTCGGTTGTGTGCTTGTTTAGCATTCATGAAACCCAGGTTCCCCCAACGCCAGTGTGTGATGGTGTATGCCTAAGACATAGCCCAACATAGAGGAAGCAGAGGCAGGAGGATCAGAAACTCAGGCTTGACCTCTGCTATATAGCGAGTTTGAGGCCAGCTGGTGTACAGGAGACCCAGTCTCAAAACAAACAATAACACGAATAATGTCTCTGAATAAAACATTCCCATTTTATATTAGTTAACTCTATGGCAGCCTCATTATTGATAATTCTTGATAAAGTACTTATTTTAGAATCTTGGAGAAGATTTGCTGTGTGAAGAATGTTTGGCATTTCTAGAGAAGAGATCTTTGTTGTGTCATGGCAGACAGAGTATCTTTGTCACCAATCATTTTCTAAAATTTAACTTCTTACAGGTCAAGAAGTGACGGCTCTTGTTCCCTGGGCACAGTGCTATGCTGTGGGGTCTGGCCTGACTTGTGTCTTTCCTATGAATTACCCAGTCCAATAGAGCGGACCTCTGAGAATAAGAATGGCTTCTAAAAACAGTTGGAAACAGCTGCATTTGGGGACTGGATCTGTAGTGTTTTCCAGAGAAATAGAACCAAAGGGAAACACATACAGACACATTGTGTACATACACACACACACACACACACACACACACACACACACACTCATGCACATGCACACATGTGCACACACACACGCGCACAGGAGCTTCTATACCGTTTTTGTGGGGAGAGGCATGAAGTTGGCCAGTTGGCAGGAAACAGGAAGAGTTGCAGCATGTGTCTTGGTATTCCCGGCGTCAGGGCCAGGAAGCTCAAGCACGGCCTCTAAGCTTTAGTCTCTTAGTTGATTGGATGAAATCTGCCCACACTATTGAGGGCAATGTCTTTTATTTAGAAACAACTGATTCAAAAAGTTAATCCTGTCTACAAGAACCTTCCCAGCGGCATCAAGAGCGGTGTTTCACCAGACAATTTCACGTCATATCCTTGCCCATTTTAGGCATAACATTACCCAGCACAGTGGCAGGGAGTCCTGCTCGGTGGGAGAACACTTGCTCAGGACACACTACGCTCTGGGCTTGGTCCTCAGCGTCAACGTAACGGGGCCTTTTTGTCTTTGTCTGCTCTAGATTATAGATTTAAATGGAGCCACCTGGCTACATGTAGAAAGCATAAACAGCTGCCCTTTTGCTTTCTGTAAGCTGCAGTTTTCTAATTGCTTCTAACTTAGGAGAACCAGTTTGAGCTAGACAACACTCACAGTGAGGAAGGTTCTTTTGTTGTTGTCTGTTTCTACATCAAGCTGATTGGTAGATTGTATTTAATTCCACTTATATGTGGAATTTCTTCCGGTTATCCCTAGGTTAACCTGTTAGATACTGTTATTTCGCCATGGTTATTCTATTTTCTACTCACTTCCTGTTAACGTTTGTCAGATACAAAAGTTCGGTGATCCAAATGGAGTCATTCATTTTGCTCCTGAGTCCTTATCTAAGAAGACGTATTCTGAGCCACCACTGTCAGATGGAGCCATGCTCATTTCGTTCCTCGTCAAGAGAGCCGAGGGCGTCTCCGGAGACATCACGGTATTACTATTTGTTTGACTTTCCTGGAGGAGTGCCAGTTTCCTCACATATCTGGTTAGGGGAACAGAGAAGCTTTATGTTCTAGCTAAAGATTTTGCTGACTTGAAGTTGCTGGGGTTTGCGGAGGAACTTGGAGGTTTGTGCCTTTCTGTTCTGCGCTGAGAACCAGCCCCTGCGCGCTAACTCAGTGGAGTGAGCAGAACCGACAGTTTTCACCTTCATGAAGGGCTGAGGTGTTTTGTACTTTTTCACTTCTTCTAACAGGAAACCTCCCCTGTGTAAGCCCCTCAGGGACTTTTGTAAACTGCATACTATATTTGTTAAGGCTTTCTTTCCCATAGGGCAGTTCCATGTAAGCAAATGTTTTCTAGCGAAACACAGCCTGTGTTTGTTGCTATAACCTGCTTCCCACGCTCTTAGGAGTTCGGTGGCTTGGCTAAGAAATAAGGTCATCTGTTCGCTCAAACTGTCATTTGTTTCACAGGGTGTGAAATTTCCCTAAACACATCATATCTCCTCTGAATTAAGGGTTAGCTTTCATCTAGAAGTTTGTATTACCTCACAAGATAGCACTTGTGAGGCAATAATTAATTATCATTATTATATATATTTTATTAAAAAGTCAACAAAAATAATTATTGATTTCTATACTTACTTTGAAAATTTCTAGAAACTTTACTGTTAGACTTTGATGTAAATAAAAAATTCCACACCAAAATTAACCTGAGCCAAAGTCTATAGGACTCAGTGAACCTCCGCACAGTTATAGATAGGTGCTCAAAACAGAAGCTGTGGAACAAACATCACAGTACGTGTCTCACTTTCAGAATCAAATATATTTTGTGCACTTACATACCACCAAAACAAGCAACAATAACAAAAACCCACAACACAACGAGAACTGGAGAAATGACTCACTCTTTGTCTTCTTCCGTAATTAGTGACCATGATCTGAATTCAGTCCTTCCTCATTCCGCAGTAATTAGCAGCCCTTGTTTTCTTCATGTTATACTGTGCCAACGTGTACATTTGTTTACATATATGCATATACTATTGGCTAGGTTCCACATATGAGGGAAAGCACGTGGTTTTCTTCTTTCTGAGCTTAGATGACTTCAGTTGACATTATACACTATAACTTCACCCATTTTTCCTGCAAAATTTTAACTTCATTTTCTTTTTTCTTTTTTTGAAACCACGGGACTGAATGTTTATTCTTAAATGTTCAGTAACTTCATTTTCTTTAGAGCTTAACAGTACTCATTTGTGTGTATATATTAAAATATCATTGTCTATTTATCTGTTAATGGACAACTAGGTTAACTCCAATTCTTTGCTATAGTGAGAGATGCAGCAATTAACACGGATGTGCAAATATCTCTCCAATGTGGCATGGAGTTCTCTGCATTTATGTACAGGTGTAATTTAGGGTATACCATATACTTATTTTTAGCATTAAAGTACTGTGTATGGCTCATAGGTTGATGTATATGTGGAAATGTCGTCTTAGAGTTTACTTGCTTCTCTTTATCTTTTCAAGTCATGCCCTTCTTTTAGAAGCAGGTAGATAAGGAGATTAAGAAAAACAATCTGTTCTTCAGATTGCACATGAAAACAGTTTATTAATGCCCTTCCACACTAGATATACTTCAAAGTTTGTCTGAATGTAAGAACACATAATTTTCATTTCTGTTTTGCACGTCTTAGAGGAAATAGAGTTGGGAGGTATCTTGTCCACATGCTGAGTTGCATAACTCCTGATTTTCTTTCTTTATCCCAGGTGCACTGGCGGCTGAGCAGTGAGTTTGACATCACCGGAGACTTTCTTTCCACCAGCGGATTTTTCACCATTGCGGACGGAGAGCGGGAAGCAAGCTTTGACGTCCATTTGCTGCCAGATGACGTACCTGAGATGGAGGAAGAATATGCTGTCAGGCTTGTTTCTGTGGAGGGAGGCGCAGAGCTGGACCTGGGAAAGTGCACAGCGTGGTTCTCCGTGTCTGCGAATGACGACCCCCATGGTGTATTTGCCCTGTATCCAGATCATCAGTCAGTGCTGATTGGGCAGAGCCTCGTTAGATCCATCCAAATCAACATCACCCGGCTCGCTGGCATGTTTGGTGATGTGGCTGTTAGATTTCGGATATTGTCTGACAATAAAGAAGACCCAGTTGCTGCTGAAAATGAAGAGAAACAACTGGTGATTCAAAATGGCACCAGATACAAAGTAGACGTGGTGCCCTTGAAGAATCAGGTTGGTAGCGCTCCTCCAAACTCCAGAAAATCGCAGCAGAGCTCTTCAGGGAGAGCCCTTGTGCACCTCCTGTTCAGTTGAAAGGCTTATTTAAATATTTAAAGGAAACCATAAGACCACATTAGAAATTGCATAATAATCATTATATAATAAGAGTGAAAAAATAAAGAGTTGGAGGGGAGAAAGTAGAGGGTGAATTTGATCAAAACACATATGTGCACACATGAAGTTCTCAAACATTCAATAATGACTATGAATATAAAACACCCATTCCCATACGTCCATATGGCCACTCACATTCTGACCATATTCAAATCATAATATGCCACTGCCTTAACTTCTCAATGAATATATTTATATCATTTTGTTGTGTGGGGTCACTGGTTACTAAGGTTCGCCATGGAGAAATGTAGATCTGTTATTTTTATCAGGCAGCACTTATAACACAGAATTGCTCTCAGACTACATGTAGGAAAAAACCAACTACATCATGTATATTATCGGGACTAATGAGCCTGATCTGGCCATACCCTAGCCACCAGGTTGTTTCTGGTAACCTGTGGAACAGTTTGGAAGTCTGGGCATTTTTTTTTTCATGTTACATAGGTATCTTAATGATATAGTTTGTAGCATCATTTGGTCGTCTTAATACCATATTTGAACTATTATCTATGTGTTTCTAAATATATTTGAATAATTGCCTTTATAACTCTTTTAGTAGATAGTAGTGGAATCTTACTAGAAGAGCTACATATAAAGCTTTTTCTGCATGTAATCACAGCTTTCATTAATCTATTCCAAATTGTATGATTTATCTCCTCCATCATATGCATTCCAGGGTGTGGACACAAAGTGCACCTGGGCATATTAATGGTACTGTTCATGCTTGGCTTTTTTTATTTATTTACTTCATCTGTGTTTTCACTCACAGATGAAGTGACATAAGACTAACCTAAGTTAGTATGTGACATAAGACTAACCTAAGTTATTAGGGGTCAATCTTCCAGGTAAGTGTTTGGAGTACGTGAAGGTTTACATGCGCATGAACCCAAAGCAGGACTTCGCCAGTAGTCTCCTTGTCCTCCTTTACCCTCAATCCAGAGAATACACCTTTCTCTAAAATTTGAGGTGGCACATGCCTGTAATTACAGTACTCTCAGAGGCAGAGATAGGCAGATCTCTGTGAGTTCGAGGCTAGCCTGGTCTACAAAGTGAGTCTTGAAAAACAACAACAAATTTTTTTGTTTGTTTGTTTAAAAATTAAATTGAGGTTTTATTTAGAAGAACTCCCATAAACTTCTGTCTACTTTTCATGCTGGGTGAAAGGAAAGCCTTTGAACCAATAAGCTCCAGAGAAGCACAGAAGGCACGCAAATGTTTAACCATTTGTTTGGTGGCTTTCGGTCTTTAAGTGGGTCTGTTAACAGGGGAAGGTTCCATCAGACTCTGAAAGCTAAAAGCATCCTTAATGTTGGTCGAACAGCAGGACCTTACATTGGACTGTAAGCTGTTACTACAACTGTGTTTCTTCATGTGCCCAGACTGACAGTGACACTCATTGTCACACTGAGGGACCAGTCTTAGTTTTAGAAGAGGGTAAGTCAGAATGTAACCTTTTTGCTTGGACCAACTATTAAGCACGTAGACCACACTAGTTATTGTAAGATGCTCAGTAACAACAAAGATGATTGGAACTTGGTCACTAATGCTATGCACTTTCTGCCTGTGCAAAAGTAGTCCCACTGTCTGGTTGGTTTTTGTCAACTTGACAAAAGCTGGAGTCAGTTGGGAATAGGGAAATACCCCTCACACAGTTAGAAATAGAAATCTCTCCATAAGATCAGTCTGGTATTTCCTTGATGAGTGATTTATATAGGAAAGCCCAACTCACTGTCGACAGTTCTGTCCCTGGCTGGTTGTGTAAGAAATGAGGCTGAGCAAGCCATGAGGAGCAAACCAATAAGCAGTGGTCCTCTGTTTAAGTTCCCGCCTCTAGATCCTTGCCTTGAGTTCCTGCCCTGACGGCTTTCACTGATGATGCAGTGTGGCCTGAGAGTTGTAAGCTGAAATAAGCCCTTTCCTCCTCAAGCTGCTTTTGGTCATGGTGTTTGCCATAGTTAAGAAGCATGAGATAAGAAACTTTCTAGAAACAGCTAGTTAAAAAAATACATGGGTGACCCATGTCACAGATGCACATGGATAGAGGGAAGCATAAGTTATTTGGTTTTGAGTGATTTATTTATGTATTTGAGTGTCTTATCTGTAGATAGGCCTGTGAACCACATGTGCTCCTCATGCCCACAGGCCAAAAAAGGGCATCAGATACCCTGGCACTTATAGACACTTGTGAACTGCCGTATGGGTTCTGGGAATTGAACCTGGGTCTTTTAGAAGCATAGCCAGCAATCTTAATCTCTGAGCCATCTCTCTAGCCTGCTCGTAAATTGTTTTTATTTGTATACAAATAATATACATTACATATATATATATATATATATATATATATATATATATATGTTTGTGTGTGTATATATTCTAACACATATGAGCCTAACAAGATTCATGTTCAGCTTTTCTAGGCAGGCAGGATCCACTGACTTGGTACTTCAGAACAGTACCTGATCCTTCATTCTTTAGGAACTTGGTAAAAAAGAAAACCATCATTAGCTGCCCAACCATCTGCTGACCTGCCCGGGGATCAGACATCTGGGAAAGATGAAGCGCAATTGACAGGACTTACAATGTCGTGATTCGCTTCCTTAGCATTGACCTAAGAGTTCTGCCCAGAGAACGTAGCCTCCAGAGGATGCAATCTGTGCTGTGCTCTTGTCAAGTCCGAGACGACCGTGAACGTGTTTTCTGTGTTTAAGGAAAAGGCTGTGCTGACGTTCACTGTGATAAAAAAAGACGTGCACACAGGCGTGATTGCTTTGGCCAACCATTACCTGTAGCCACGTTTTGATGAGAAGATACACCACAAGTTTCAGATAATTCTAGTGTGACTGCCATTTGTATGTTCAGGATGTCCCAGTTTGCTAGTTGGTGAACTTTTGACATTAGCAGTCTAGCAAATGTGCTAATGATCTTTATTTGCCCAAAGTATTGACCTAACAAAACCATGTCAGCATCCATTCTGAGTAGAGGCCTTTAGAGCCCTTCGTTACTGCTTAAAGAAGAGGGCAGAAGTGGGTTTCCCTGGACGACCCACCTTCACTGTGTGTTCCAGCTCCTCCGCTCTGGGCAGGCTCTCAGCACTCTCCAGACTATCTGAGCACTTGAGGAAGAGCTGTACTTTTGTGTGTTTGTTCTCTACAAATACAGCCACCCACCCTGCTAGCTAAAACTTAGTGATGTCTTATTAAACACTGGGAAAGGCTCCTTCTGATGGGACTCTGAGGATTGCGTCACTGTTTGACTACAGGTCTTCCTGTCGCTGGGCTCAAGTTTCACCCTGCAGCTGGTGTCTGTGACACTTCTGAGTGGACCTTTCTATGGAATGCCAACAATTCTTAAGGAAGCGAAATCTGCTGTTCTTCCCATTCCCGAGGAAGCAGCCAATTCCCAGGTAACTGGCACTGGGTGTAGTTCTTTCATTTAACCACAAGAGGGCGGCGCGAAAAGGAGGCACTAACGTCTTCAGTAATTTATTATTTATTCATTCAAAATAATATTTTTATTATTGGAAAGTTCACTTTGTACTCCCTGCTCTCACTCACCTCCCAGTCCTTTCCTGTTTGCCTGCCTGTTCTTGTGACTTCCCCACCCTGCCCCCTGTAGGAGGAATAAAAAACCAACAGAAAAACAAGTCCCATTTGTGTTGTCCATACACTCACTGGAGCATGGTCAAACTGCAAGTGGCCAGCCCCCTAAGAAAACTCGAGTCATTCCCCCACACCCCTTCCACAGAAGCCATCAGCTGTGGAGAGCTGCACGTCAGCGTTCTTGTCACATTGTTCCGAGCCTCTCTGACCCTCTCTGATGGCTTCCCTCAGGCTGTTGTTTTGGGAGGGGAGGGGCTTGGGTGTTGGTGGGGGTCCTCAAAGAAGCCTTCTGGTGCCCCTCTCAGCTGTGGTCTGCAGGCCTCGACACCACGGTAAAGGGAGCCTCCCTCTCCCACAGTCAGCTGGAGCTCGGCTCGTGGGCTTCCACGTGGTTTCTGGTGACAGCCCACACCATAAAGAAAGATTTTATTTTTAAAATGTGGGCTATTTTTAACCCTTGTGACCGAATGCACTGAATTTTTATCATATTCACCCTCTTCTCTTCCCTATCACTCCTCAAAGGTCAATGTCCCACCTTTCGCTGTGCTCAGTTTCTTGTCTCTTTTTAAAGTTAAGTAACTACCAAGTCCAATCCGTGCTGCCCGTTTATTCGTGGGTTGGAACCGTCCGTTGGTACATGGTCGATTTACCAGAGGCAAAAAACTGACAAAAGGGTGGCTCTTGTTTGGTTGGTTGGCTTGTTTCGTTTTTAAGACTAACCGTTTTCTCAAATGTACATCAGAGGACCCATTATATAAAAATATTTTGTCAATTTCAAATATTATGTAGAAAATTTATTTTCTTTTCAACTTGTTGAAAGGTTTTATCTTGGACAGTTGGAATGTAGGGCCTAGAATGTGAGATCCTCTTTAAAGGAATAGTTACCTAAAGCCAAAATTTCTAAATGTAAATGTCAAATCTTTACCATTGAGGCATTTAATTAAATTTAATAAAAGTTAATAGCTAATAATTATTTAATAAAAAGTTAAAACTGGAATGAAACATTTTAGACTTACATTTACCAATAATATTCATGTTTAATAAATGGGCTTTGGTTTGCCACAGGTAGTCTGTGCTGATCTAGGTTGGTATTGGTAACTGTTCTCACCTGAGTCCGTGTTTCTTTTAAGTTACAGAAAAATATTTCCAGTCATTTCATAGGCTCAGAAAACACCAAAACAAACAACAAAAATTATCATTTTAGGGTTTTCCAGAAAAAAAAAGTGCAGTTGGCTACGGCATGTGCTTTTCAAGCTGGACTGAGACATAACCCTGTCCTACCGCTCCACAGGAGCCCCAGGGTGTGCAAGCCTGGCCTGATGGGGGTGGGGCATGGGGCAGGTGACGGAGGTGGGCATGCGACCACAGGCTGGCAGCAGATGCCCTTCCCTCTGGCATGTCCTCACAGGTACATTTGCCCTGTGTCTGAAGTGGAGACTACAAGCATTAGAAACAAGAACAGAGCATTCATGGGGCACACACCTATAAGCCCAGGCCATTTCTGTCTCTGTGTGACCAGCTTGGTCCATACAGTCAGTTCCAGGCCCAGGGCTACGGTAAGACCCTGCTTCCAAAAAGAAAAGACATCTAAAAGTTGCTTTTGCTCTTTGGCCTTTGAGAGCTCCAGAAGTGAAGTGTTGCTGAAAAAACCCACGTGTCCAGATGTACCCCATCAGAATGTTACAGGGGGTGGCAGCCTAGATTTCCTTTTGCTGAGGCCAGGAGATGTAACCTGAGTTATTCATTCAGGTGAGACTGGGAATCAGCCTTTATTGTAAACCACTGATTAGAACTAATTTCAGCTATAAATCGCAAACCCTGGAGTTGTCCGTCACATGAACTTTATTTGATGACTGTGTGAAGCATAGTTACTTCAAATGAACAAATAGTCAAACAACAAACTTACCTTTGCAAATTTATGAGCCTCCCCCAAAATGTCAAATTTAAAGAAAGAACCAAAAGCTTTAAAAAGGGTCTGTTTTGATGAGGAAGGAAGGAAACAGGTTGAGTCCACACAGACCAAGTTCTGAAAGACCCCAGTGAACACGGACATGGAAATGCTACCATAGTCCTAGATATGGAAGTTCATGCCTCTTATCCCAGCACTCTGCAGGCTGAGGAAGGAAAAGGGAATTCAAGGCCATCCTTGGCAATCTAGTGAGTTAGCAGCCAGCCTGGATACATGGCACCCTGCCTGAAGGAGAAATTCATTAATTAACATTAACAAATAAAGGAAAGACATATAGCCACTACAAACTTTTTTTTCTTTATTAATTACACTTTATTCACTTTGTATTCCCCCTGTAGAACCTTCCCTCCTCCCATCCCAATTCCACCCTCTGCATGCATGCCCCTCCCAAGTCCACTGATAGGGGAGGTCTTCTTTTCCTTCCTTCTGATCCTAGTCAATTAGGTCTCATCAGGAGTGGCTGCATTGTCTTCTTCTGTGGCCTGGTAATGCTGCTTCCCCCTCAGGGGGAGGTAATTAAAGAGCAGGCCAATCAGTTCATGTCAGAGACAGTCCCTGTTCCTATTACAATGGAACCCACTTGGATACTGAACTGCCATGGGCTACATCTATGCAGGGGTCTTAGGTTATCTCCATGCATAGGCCTTGGTTGGAGCATCAGTCTCAGGAAAGACCCCTGTGCTCAGATATTTTGGTTCTGTTGCTCTCCTTGTGGAGTTCCTGTCCTCTCCAGATCTTACTGTTTCCCACTTCTTTCCTAAGATTCCCTGCACTCTGCCCAAAGGTTGTCCATAAATCTCAGCATCTGCATTGATAATCTGCAGGGCAGAGCCTTTCAGAGATCCTCTGTGTCAGGCTCCTGACTCGTTCCCTCTTTTCTCCTTCTTCTGATGTCCATCCTCTTTGTCTTTCTGGATAGGAATTGAGCATTTTAGCAAGAGTCCTCCCTCTTGATTAGTTTCTTTGGGTGTACAGATTTTAGTAGGTTTATCCTATATTATATGTCTATATGAGTGAGTATATACCATGTGTGTCTTTCTGCTTCTGGGATAGCTAACTCAGGATGATCTTTTTCAGTTCCCACCATTTATCTGCAAATTTCATGATTTCCTTGTTTTTTATTGCTGAGTAATATTCCATTGTGTAGATGTACCACAATCTCTGTATCCATTACTCCACTGAGGGGCATCTGGGCTGTTTCCAGCTTCTGGCTATTACAAATAAGGCTGCTACAAACATGGTTGAGCAAATGTCCTTATTGTGTACTTGAGCCTCTTTTGGGTATATGCCTAGGAGTGGTATAGCTGGATCTTGAGGAAGCACTATTCCTGGTTGTCTGAGAAAGCGCCAGATTGATTTCCAGAGTGGTTGTACAAGTTTACATTCCCACCAGCAATGGAGGAAGGTTCCCCTTTCTCCATAACCTCTCCAGCATATGTTGTCACTTAAGTTTTTGATCTTAGGCATTCTGATGGGTGTAAGGTGAAATCTTAGGGGTTTTTTTTGATTTGCATTTCCCTTATGACTAAGAATGTTGAACATTTCTTTAAGTGTTACTCTACCATTCGATATTCCTCTATTGAGAATTCTCTGTTTAGCTTTGTACTCCATTTTTTAATTGGATTATTTGATTTGTTGCTGTTTAACTTTATATATACTGGATATTAGTCCTCTGTCAGATATAGGGTTGGTGAAGATCCTTTCCCAATCTGTAGGCAGTCGTTTTGTTCTGACAACAGTATTCTTTGCTTTACAGAAGCTTTTCAATTTCATGAGGTACCATTTATTGATTGTTGCTCTTAGAGCCTGTGCTATTGGTGTTCTGTTCAGGAAATTGTCTCCTGTGCCAATGAGTTCAAGGGTCTTCCCCACTTTTTCTTCTAAGCGGTTTAGTGTGTCTGGTTTTACATTGAGGTCTTTGATAAGTAGGGTGATAAGTATGGATCTATTTGCATTTTTTTCTACATGTAGACATCCAGTTAGACCAGCACCATTTGTTGAAGATGTTATCTTTTTTCCATTGGATGGTTTTGGCTTCTTTGTCAAAAATCAGGTGTCCATACGTGTGTGGATTTATGTCAGGGTCTTCTATTCGATTCCACTGATCCACCAGTCTGCTTCTATGCCAGTACCATGCAGTTTTTAGTATACTACAGACTTTTAAAGCAAGGTAATTTAAACTCTTTTGCTTTCATTTAATTATTATTCCATTAATTTTTTGGATATTTTATAATTCAAATGATTACATGTTTACAAAAAATATAGAAAGAAAGAAAACTGGAAAGTATAATGTGAAGCATAGAACAGAATGAAATTTCAAATCTGAGATTTTTCTAAAGTTTTTCTCTTCTGAGTATACCATCGTATGGAAGAATAAATTGCATGACCCAAAGAGGAGTTCATGTTTAGCCCACTTTTCAAAGACCAGGAAACTTTCACAGGAGTTGATGCCCTCTAAGCGTATCTTTCTACAGGTTGGATTTGAATCCACTGCTTTCCGACTCGTGGACATCACAACTGGCACAAGTGAGGTCATGGTCTGTAGGAGAGGCACGTTTGGCAGGCTCTCTGTGGCCTGGGCCACGGGATATGCTCCTGGGTCAGAACTCCCTGAGCCTGTTGTCGTCGGCAACATGACTCCAGCATGGGGTGAGTTGTAGCTTCTCTAGTGCAGCCTCCAGAACATGGAGCCGTGCAATTGATGGCCATCAGGGTTATCCCTCCCCAGACACTAGCTGTGAGAGTCCTCACTCAGTGCTATGGCCTCACAGCAGCGCTCTTCTGCATAACCTGGATGACACAGGCTCCTTGGGCAGGAGGACAAGAACTCTTCAATGAGACTCAAATCTTTATACACCGTGTAAAAATGATCATTACACAGCAAGGAAAAAACAAGCACACAGCTCTGTCAATCCTTAGGAGTTTGTTAAAAGTAGCTTTCAGTAGCTCAGGTGGCTGATAGAGCAATGAAGACACAGCTGTGTGCCTACCATATGTTCTCCTGCATTTCTGACAGAAGGGCAGCTGTCACTTCACGTGTTGATGCTTACATTTGTCAGCAGCCCTTTGAGAACAGCCAGGCGTGGATGTTGGATGTGTGGCCTCATGCGGCAAAGCTCACCGCAGTTTCCTCTGAATGCAGTTGAGACCAACTCCCCACACTGCACCCGGTTATTTGCAGTGTTTCCCAGCTCCCCGGACAAATGTTACTGCGACTCATATAAGGGCTGAGAGCCACACTCCCTCCGTGAAGGTGGGATGATTTTGTTTTCCTAAGATACATTTAGCTGAGAAAGTGAGTGACAGCTGAAGCCCATTGGAAGATGAGAACAGAAATGAGACACCACAAATGACATCGTTGTTACATCAGCAGCTGTGGTGGCAGGGTCTCGGTGTAGACGGAGGTTGTCTACTGCCTCACTGGTGACCCCCTGGTGCCCGAGTTGCCTTGGCTAAAGCATGTCGCCTCCAGGGCAGAGGAGCCTGGATCTTACCTGTCCGCTGACGATGAGTCTTAGTTTCCTTTGTCCCCTAAATTAAAGATCTACTGTTATCTTCCTTATATACATTTCCAACCCCCTTTTCCACACTCATTTATGGTTATTCTTCCCTTCTGTCATTTTTGGTGATATGCCTGTTTATGTATAATTAATCACTTACAGTCTACATGTGGGAATCTTGTTTTGAAAAAATGGTAGTGAATTTATATTAACTTGATTAAACAAAAAAGAAACTTGCAAACAGTACGAATATGTCTTCAAATAAGTTACACTACTCTTTTGATCTTTTATAATAATTTAAATATAATTAATAATAAATGTAATTCCTAAACTTTTAGGCTAGACTTAACAATTATAATTTCTTACTTGAGATATTTTCTTCTGAAGTAACCTAAAATAAAATACATATATTGTGATATTTTACCCCAAATTTCTGTGATACGAAGCTGTTAAGAAATGCTATGTCCAGAATTTTAACCACAGCGCAGTACCAAACTTATAAGAAAGCTTGCCTAACACCACTCTAACCATTTTTATTTCATTGCTAGATTTGGTAGTTGACGCGAAAGAGGGAAAACAGAGAAAAAGGGAAGGTGCAGGAGAAGAGACAGAGAGGGAAGAGGGGAGCAAGTAAGGCGTAAGAAACCAGGGCTGTGTGGTCTCAGAAGATTCCTATAAATGTATTAATCTCTTCTTCCCTGTATTAAACATTTTATCTTCTTGGAACCAAATCAAATTTTGGAGAAAAGATCATATCAGTGTATGTTTTAGCATCAAATTCGAGTTTTAGAAGCACAGCTGGGCTGGAGCAATGGCTCAGTCGTTAAGAGCACTAGCTGCTTTTCCAGAAGACCTGGGCTTCGTTCCCCGCACCCACAAGATGACTCGTCTGTGAGTCTGGTCCCAGGGGATCCTATGCCCTGTCCAGCCTCCACAGGCATTGCACACATATGGTTCACAGATAGTGAAGAGAAATTACCCGTGCATGTAGACTAGAAATTAAAAAGCAGAAGAGAGGAGTGATATCCTACTTCCTGTCATTCTTTTTACAGGGAACCTTTCTTTTTTGCATGGAGAACGGAGGAAGGGAATTGTGCTGTGGGCATTTCCCAGCCCTGGTCGGCCAGAGGCTTTTGTCCTTCATCTGTCAGGCCTGAGGAGCAGCACTGCCGGTGGAGCTCAGTTTAGGTATCACCATCTAACCAATGTTCTCAACCCACGGGTCAGTTGTGACCTCCTGGGGTCAAACAACCCTTTCACAGGGGTTGTATATCAGACATCCTGCATATTAAATATTTTTATTATAATTCATAAGAGTAGCAAACTTGCAGTTATGAAGCAGCAATGACAATGATTTTGTGGTTGGGGTCACCACAGCATGAGGGACTCTGTTAAAAGGGTCACAGCATTAAGGAAGTTGAGAACCACTGATTTAAGAAATCATTCGCAATGTGTCGGTTGAACTAGAACAAGGTACCCTGAGATTCATGTGGAGCAACTTACAGCTTGCATGGCAGAGACAGAGTGGGAGGACACCGTCAGTGGAGGCCCCACTTTCTGCCGTACAGACAGCTCACCTTGACCTCCAGGCTCAGCGTGGACACCTGGGCTCATGGTTCCCTTAAAAGGAACTGTCCTCTGTGGAAGAGATGCAGACTCTTACTTTCCCAGGTCTTTAAGAATATGTGTTAAGTATTACAGTTAGTTACTGGCGTTACTTGTTGAATTTGGTGACTCCTTTCTGTTTAATTTATTTAGCATTGTTATGTATCTATAGTAACTATTTATATGGAGCCCAGTATTTGTTCAGTTCAACCTAAAAGCAGTCAACTTTTCTCCTACTTGGCATGGGCTTGGCCAAAATAACACACAAGGCTGAGTGACACAGTAATGGACTAGTGAGTGTTCAAAGATGGTTACATACATGTTTGCATGTGGAGATATAGTTATCTGTGGAGAGAAATATGCTTTGATATATCCCATTTAAAATAATTTGTCCAAAGAACATATTTCAGGGTGACAAATTTGAATATCTTTAACAACCACATTAATAACGAATAAGTTTATTGTGCTAACCTAACCCAGACATCGCTGTAAGTCTGCCCTGAGCTCATACTGGGTACTAAATATGTATCCCATTTCATAAGTAAGTAGCTGATAGGCTATATTCTGCTTAGCTTTCTGTTGCTGTGATAAAACACCATGACCAAAAGAAATGCGGAGGGAGAGGTTTGTTTCATTCCACAGCTCTCAGGTCATCCTCATCAGGGAAGGCAGGAGTGTGGAGGCAGGAGCTGATGCAGACACATGGAAGGATGCTGCCTGCTGGCTTGCTCTCCATGGCTTGCTCAGGGTAACATGGCTCTCAGTGAGCTGGGACCTCCCTTGTTAATCATTAATCATTAATCAAGACAATGCCCCACAGACAGGCCTGCAGGCAATGTGGTGATGCATTTTCTTACCTGAGGTTCCTCTTTCCCAATAACTCTAGCTTGTATCAGGTAGACAGATAGGTTATGTAATGAGCCGAATGTTACATTCCAAATCAGTATTTGATCCTGGGCTCTCAAGAAGCTGACTGAACTCTTAACTATATTTTATGTGCTTCTCAGTGGAAATGGATTGACTCTAGGTAGCTGCTAAAACATCACTCAAATATATATGATTTATAAATTTGATATATTAATATATAAACATAAGCAGTTTTATTTTTAAATTTTCCGTAAATGCTACCTTTCAAAATATGTCCCTGGTCAGGATAGGCTGCTATACCATTAAATATAACTTCTGATGTTACTATTCTTGATAAAAATATGTAGGTAAGAGTTACAGATAAATTTTCAACCAGTGATGTTTCTAAATTATGCACAAGTGTTAGTTACATTTTTGTGAGAGTTTCTTTGCTGAGAGCTGGCAGACATGAGAATTTTGCTCACAGTAAGATGAATAGCTCAGCTTAGTAGCTATGAGAGAAAGCCAACACTTGGAACATCAAAGAGGCTCTGGCCCTTTTGCCCAGGCCATAGGACCCTCATGTTCCAAGCAGCCAGGCAGGGCTCAGATGTGCACTCTCCCTAAGCTGTGTTTGGCCCTGCCCCTGCTGCTGCAGCCTCTGCTTGTATGTTTCTTGTGCTTTTACTTGTCAGTGTGTAAATAAGGTTTTATGGAGTTCAAAAGAACACTGTATTTCTAGGATGATTCTTAGAAATGAGCAGCATTTTAAGAGTTGAAGGAAAGAACTCTACAGCGGTATTCCTACATTAAAATCACCCCTTATGTTGTAATTTTTTTCCAGATCAGGTTTCACTACTGCTGAAATTGAACCCATGGGAGTCTTCCAGTTTTCCCCTAGTTCAAGAAATATCACAGTGTCAGAGGATGCTCGGGCAGTCCGAATCCATGTGCAAAGACTGTTCGGGTTTTGTAGTGATCTGATTAAAGTCTTCTATGCGACGACCGCAGACAGCGCCGCGCCTCTGGAAGACTTCGAGCCCGTTCAGAGCGGTGAAGTTTCTTTTCACAGATTCCAGGCGGAGGCCGATTTTGAAATAACCATTATTAATGATCAGCTTCCTGAGAGAGAAGAAACATTTTACGTTAATCTCACGTCAGTAGAAACTAAGGGACTAGGAAAGGGTGATGTGAATTGGAGACCTCGCCTAAACCTAGATCTCAGTGTCGCAGTGGTCACCGTACTGGACAATGATGACCTGGCGGGGGAGGGCGTTTCTGTCCCTGTGACAGCAGTGACTGCGGCAGCTGACAGCACTCTCCTTGGGGTGGAGACTGGTTTCACCCCACACCCTAACACAAGCAAGGTAACTGCCATTCCGTACACCACCGAGGTGTTTGTCCCTGTTACGGAGACAACAGGTGTGTCTGCCACCCCTGTGAAACTTGTCACCGCTCACAGTGCTGTGTCTGAGAAGCCTGGCTTGGTCCTGGGAACGACTCATGCTGTGGTCTACGGCGTACTGAGTCTTGGACCGCCCATTGTTTATGTGGCAGAGGAAATGAAGAACAGCACATCCAGCACTGCAGAAATCCTTATCCAGAGGACTGGCGGCCTTGCCGGTAATGTCAGCGTAACAGTCAGGACTTTTGGTGGAAGGTGTGCTGAGGAGGAGCCCAGTGTGTGGCCCTTTCAAGATGGCTATGGCGCTGGCAACCTAACGTGGGCAGTGGAGGAAGAAGACTTTGAAGAACAAACGCTCAGCCTGACATTTCTCGATGGGGAAAGAGAGCGTAAAACAGCAGTTCGAATTCTGGATGATGATGAGCCGGAGGGGCAGGAGTTCTTCTATGTGTTTCTCACAGATCCTCAAGGGGGCGCACAGATCGTGAGAGGAAAGGACGGCAGGGGGTTTTCAGCCTTTGCCCTAGTCATTATTGCAGGTAACGGCAATGCACGCCAGAGGTGCTGTGTGAATTTTCACAGTACCGTGCATTTAGTCTGTCTAACCTATAGGTTAAGACCATTATCTGAGTCCCTTCTAACAATTCATTAAGAATTGTCTTTCTTTAGGATGGACCTGGTGGTACATGCTTTTAATTGCAGCATTCAGCAGGCAGGCAGACCTGTACAAGTTTAAGACCAGCCTGGCCTACATAGTGAGGTCCAGGTGAGCCAGGGAAACAGTGAGACCCTGTCTAAATAACAACAACAATGAGAAGAGATAATTGTCTTTCTAAAGGAATGGGTTCATGTTTTTAGGTCAGACCACACTTTGTGTTATAGATGTTACTTGCATAGAGTCAGGTGCGTGGTTCGTAAAGCTGTAGTTTCACAACATAGTCAAAACCTCTTAACTCCACATTATTTTTCTAGAAAAACACTGTTTTTGACATCCAAGCATGTGATTGTTTATCTTGTTTTGAAACCTTTTTCTAAATTTTTGAGCCACTTTTAGTAATAAGTCCTAAGACAAAGATGTCATTGTCAAGAAATCTATATATGTCATGAATTAGATTAAAATTAGTAACTTGTGTTGTTTTTGACCTTCACAACTGATATAATCATTGTCTTAGTTAGACACACATACATTTTTATGTATAAATGTATGTACTGTGTGTATGTATGTACGATGTATGTGTGAATGCAGTGTATACACACATACACATACAAGCCCTGTACATTTATGTTGCAGTGGTTCAGAATTTCTACTGTTTTGGATCTGATGCAACTGATAGCATGATTGCATTGCTGCCTCTCTCCCTCCTCTCTCCATCTGCCTAAATCCTCTTTGTTCCTATACACATCTATAAAGTGACAGCTTACATTTTTAGTTATTTTGGAAGTTCCTCTTGCGCCTGGGCTTGGTGGGAACCGTCAGTGATGCTGTGTACCATGCAGTAGATCAGCTTGTCAGTAACAACGTAAAGTAGCAGCAAGGCCATCTCATGACCATATTTTATTTTGACTATATATTATCTATTTTCATATTCATGGGATGTGATTTGTGAATAAATTGTTGAATAACTAAACCAAGCTAACGAACGTATCCATCATCTCAAATCTTAATGTCCCTGTGACAAGAACATGTGGAGTTTATTCTTAGTAACCTCAAGGTATACAATCCTGTGGTATTAGCTGCTCTCAAGGGAGGCACTAGACCTGAGGACTCACTGTTAGGTATGCTGTGTCCCTGCAGTTACGTTGTTTTAACCACTCAGTTACGACACTGTGGTAACTTCCTTTACACTGTTTTTTCTAGTTACATTACCCTATAACTTTTCACTAATTATGATTAACACCATTCCTAGTTCAACAGTTAATTGGGAGCAATATAAATTTTAATTCACTTCTGCAAGTTTATTTTTTTACATTAGTTTAATGTAATTTGTATATTTCTATTAAAGTTAGTCTGGAATTAAGCACCACCCTCACATTCTATGATTTAAATGTTTTGTTATAGCCATTCAGCTATGACCATAGCTTACAACCAAAATATCTAGAAATTAGTGCAGCCTACATCAGTCCCATGAAAGTAAAAATGGTTTCTAGTGGCTCCTTGCTGTTTTTCACAGTACTTTAGGAAGACCCTGGAATTCATTGGCATAGGAGATGACTTCCTGAACAGAACACCAACAGCACAGGCAATCAATAAGAGCAACAATCAATAAGTGGGACCTCATGAGACTGAAAAGCTTCTGTAAGCAAAGGACACTGTCATCAAAACAAAACGATAGCCTATAGATTGGGAAAGGATCTTCACCAACCTTATATCTGACAGAGGGCTAATATCCAGAATATGAAAATAACTCAAGAAGTTAAACACCAACAAACCAAGTAATCCAATTTAAAAATGGGGTACAGAGCTAAACAGAGAATTCTTTATACAGGAATATTGAATGGCAGAGAAACACTTAAAGAAATGCTCAACATCCTTAGTCATCAGGGAAATGCAAATCAAAATGACCCTGAGATTTCACCTTACACTCATCAGAATGGCTAAGATAAAAAACTCAACTGATAACACATCCTGGAGAGGATGTGGACAAAGAGGAAGCGTCTTCCATTGCTGGTGGGAATGTAAACTTGTACAATTACTTTGTAACACAATCTGGCGCTTTCTTAGACAATTAGGAATAGTGCTTCCTCAGTATCCAGATATACCACTCCTAGGCACATATCATCAAGCATATATACTCAAGTATACAACAAGGACATTTTCTCAACCATGTTCATAGCAGCTTTATTTGTAAAAGCCAGAATCTGGAAACAACGCAGATGTCCCTCAACAGAGGAATGGATATAGAAATTGTGGTACATTTACTCAATGGAATACTACTCAGCAATTAAAAAAAGGGAAATAATGTAATTTTCCAGCAGATGGTAGGATCTAGAAAAGATCATCCTGAGTGAGGTATCCCAGAAGCAGAAAGACACACATGGTATATACTCACTTATAAGTGGATATTAGACATATAATACAGGATAATCATACTAAAATCTGTACACCTAAAGAAGCTGAGCAAGAAGGAGGACCCTGGGTAAGATATTCAATCCTCATTCAGAAAAGCAAACAGGGTGGACATTGGAAGAGGGAGAAAACAGGGAACAGGCCAGGAGCTTACCACAGAGGGCCTCTGAAAGGCTCTACCCATCAGAGTATCGAAGCAGATGCTGATACTCATAGCCAAACTTTGGGTAGAGTGCAGGGAATCTGACGAAAGAAGCGGGAGCTAAAAAGACCTGGAGGGAACAGGAGCTCCACAAGGAGAGCAACAAAACCAAAAAACCTGGGCCCAGAGGTCTTTTCTGAGACTGATACTCCAACCAAGGACCATGCATGGAGATAACCTAGAACTACTGCACAGATGTAGCCCATGGCAGCTCAGTCTCCAAGTGGGTGTCCAAGTAAGGGGAACGTGGACTGTCTCTGACATGAACTCAGTGGCTGGCTCTTTGATCACCTCCCCCTGAGGGGGGAGCAGCCTTGCCAGGCCATAGAGGAAGACAATGCAGCCTGTCCTGATGAAAGGTATAGGCTAGGGTCAGAGGGAAGGGGAGAACACCTACCCTGTCAGTGGATTTGGAGAGGGGCATGGGAGGAGATGAGGGAGGGAGAGTGGGATTGGGAGGAAATGAGGGAGAAGGCTACAGCTGGGATACAAATTGAATAAACTGTAATCAGTAAAAATAAATAAGAAAAACAAAACAAAGCAGTGCTATATTAGTTACCATACATTGGAGAGGCCTTGAGTTTGGGTTGGGTAGTTGGGAGAGGACTCTTTGGTGGTCAGTCAGGCAATTATGGTATGATCGGATGGCATTTGGCATGCAACTGCTTCTACATTATTAGACAACACAACATATCCAGCTGTGTGCCTGTCAAGTATCTGAGCAGTGCGCGACTCTCTGTCAGGTGTATGGCTGTAATAGATGGCTCGCCACCGGTCTGTTGACATCACGTGGTGTAGCCTATGGTGCCATCACCAGCCAGGACCACATGACCACATTATCTAAAGGCTCTCTGTTCTTTTATTCTGCCCGTGTTCCCACCGTGTCTTACATACATCTGGCTCTTCCCTTAATGTTTCTGTTTTAACTAGATCAACAACTTAATTGATTGTTCAGTCCTCAGCCAGTCTTCACAACCTTTCCACATTTAGATGTTGGAACCAACTTTAAAAGAAGCCAGGTACTAAATGGCTTATTTAGTTTGGTTTTGATCATTGGTATATTAGAAATCTAGAATCACCTTACTATAAATGTGGCTCAGAGGAAGCCACATCTCTCTTGTAGATGTGACAAGAGAGTTTTAATTAGATCCCAGTAAATTGCTATTGTCCTACAAAGGAAAACAGGAAACAATAAATTTCAGCAAATAGAACCAAATCTGGGGAAGGAACAATTGTTATCAAAGAGGAGGAGTTATCATCATATTCTAATGTTAAGCTAAGAAGTGATTGTTATGATTAATTGATGGAAATGAGGCTTATCAGTTTAGCTGATAAAGAAAAGACAGGAGGAGTGAGGACAAAGGTAGGCTGTCACACACATACCAGTGACAGTTGGTGTCCACATTTCCGTATACTTCAGAGCTGGCTCGGAGACAGGCCTTCTGGTCACTTTTGTCTCTCTCCAAGCACTACAGTTACATAGCTTTTCATCTCATTAACTTGCCCAAGTGTTTACCTCTAGAAATTAGGTTCTTTTGGAAGCTCGTTAACTTAGATTTCTGGGTGGCTGGCGCAAATTGTTTCTGTGGTTGAATGCTTTAGGATGATTCCTTCTATGACAGAGGTTCTCAACCTGTGGGTTGCACCCCCTTGACAGACATCTATCTCCAAAAATATTTACATTATGATTTATAACACTAGCAAAATTACAGTTATGAAGTAACAACAAAAATAATTTTATGGCTGGGGTCACCAGAACATGGGGAACTGTGTTAAAGGGCCATAGCATTAGGAAGATTTGAGGACCACTGCTTTAGGATTATTTTGAAAGGTTGGGACACTTGAAAGCAGACACTGTCCTGTAGTGAAGATGCTAGCCTAATCCACATTCACTCATGTGCTGGTTGAACATGCAATCACTGTGTCGGCATGCTCTACACCCGAGGTTGGATTCTGCTTGTGCTTCTGTGATTGTGAGTGTATGTGTGTGTGTGAGAGAGAGAGAAAGAGTGTGTGTGAGTGTGTTTGCATGCATATGTGTGGTTACAAGTGAGCCTCTAACACTCAGAGGCTCAGGATTTGCCTAATGACTTCCTCTTTTTTTCCTGGGGTAGATAAGTGAGCATGTGATTAAAAACTGTCTACACACTTAAAGGAAGGTGAATTTATTACACAGATCATTTACTTTACAAATATTAATTAAACTGGCACTCTCCTCGTGCTGGACGACAGCAGAACACAGCCGGAGAAGAGCTGCTGCTGTGTTGGGGCTGTGTGGGCATGCACAGACTTTGAGCTACTATCAGATGTGCTGTGGAGTCTCATTAGAACAGCATGCGTCCAGCCTCGACCTGAGGGCTTTCACCTTGTCTTATTGTGTGTTGTTCTGTTTGGCTTATAAATTCCTAAGTGTGTTATAGCCCGAATTTTCCTTTCTAGGGAGTGACCTCCACAATGGCATCGTAGGCTTCAGTGAGGAGTCCCAAAGAGGCCTGGAAATGAGGGCAGGTGCTGACAAGAGCAGACAGAGCCTAATTGTCACAAGGCAGCCAAACAGGTAGGGGTGTGTGTGCGCGTGCATACGGATTTAACATCCTAGAATTCTATACAGAACTTAAGACTCATACATGACGATGAAGGCAAGGCAGATGATGACAGAAGGTGGCTGGCAAGCTAGCTTGACAGTGTCAGTATACATTCTTTTAGGTAACAAATGTGTTTACTATAATTATCTGTGTGGGGGTGCATACCCACTGATGGAGTGTGTTGGTCAGTTGTCACTTTTCTTCTTCCCTGGATCTTAGGGATTAAATTCAGCCTGTCAGGCTAAATGGCCCGTTCTTTCACTGGCCAAACCACCTTACTAGCCCAGAGATGCTTTTGTTCTCAATCTGTTGCTTAATGCCTTGGGGTTTCAGCCATAACATAGCAATAGATCAGATCGATGTCAGCTGATTTAGGCCATCACTTTATCTACCACTGCATGATGCCTATGTGTAGCCACTGAGCTCCAAGGGAGACTGGACATCAAAGCTCTCCTCACATGCTCATTCTGTAGCGCTGTCTGTATGCACCTGTGTATGGATTAAATCTTCCATTTGGGGCCTATTCTGCAGAATTGTTGGAGACGTTTTTGGTTTTTAATATTACAATTAAATCTGGTTTTAGGAGTAGCATCTTTCTCTAGAGGAATTATTGTTATAAAACAAATTATCCCATTTACTCGAGGGCAGAGATTCTTTCTGCCGTTTTACATTGGACAGAAAGAATTTTACTTAACAGTACTCACTGGGTGGCACTCTGTCACTGAACAGCACGTACTCAGAGAATGCTATGGAGACCGTGAGCCTTAGGCTTCTCATCTGCTGAAGGAATGCTGCTCACTTTCAGCATTGTCCGTCATCTAGTGAATGCTGGAGCAGGACAGTTAGCATGCGTGCCAGGCCCTGCGTGCCACTCTGTCCCTATATGCCATGTGTTTGTTTTGTACACAGGGCCTTTGAAGATGTGCAGGTCTTTTGGCGAGTCACATTTAACCAAACAGCCACCATTGTCCAGGAAGCGGAGCTAAACCTAAAAGATGAACTGCAGTCTGTGGCGGGGGTTACAACCTGCACGGCGGGTCAAACACGATGTTCTGTCCACCTCGAACTCAAGCCGAACAAGGTAAGTGCTATGGGCTGCTAACCATTTCTTAAGAATTATTCAGCTGAGAGCATCATTTTTTGAAACTTAAGCATTTTGTGGCAATTATTTCTCTCCATAAGGTCTAAATCTCTTTATTAAACCAAACATTTTAGATGTAAAATTTATGCCATCATAAATTTTTGCTAAGAGTAATTTTTATGTTTCTATTTCTTGCCATTTCTAGGGTACGTTTGGCACAGCCACTTGCTGCGTGTCAGACAAATTATTATCTCTAACTACTCCAACTATTTATAGCTTTGTTTTTATCATATTCATAAACATGTCTTTTATTTATGCATGAGACATCTTTATTTCATGTATTCTTAGAGCTCCTGTCCCCTCCAGGTCTTTCTATCTCCCCCTTCTCTCATAAGATTCCCTGCACTCTGCGTAAAGTTTGGCTATGAGTCTCAGCATTTGCTTTGATACTCTGCTGGGTAGAGTCTTTCATTGTTCTTAAACTGGGTCCTGAGAAAATTATCCTCAAAGGCATGAGTTAGTAAAAATATCTTAGTGTACTGGGCATGGTGGCACACAGCTGTAATCCTAGCACTCAGAGAGGCAGAGGCAGGTATATTTCTGTGAGTTCAAGGCCAGCCTAGTCTAAAAAGCAAGTCCAGGATGACCAAGGCTACAAAGACAAACCCTGTTTTGACTTATTTAAAAAAAGGCATAGAAACTCTGCTTGGTCCAACCTGGATGAATGAGCACTGCTGCCGCGACACGTGCCTCTGGAGACAGATGCTGACACACTGCTAGGGCAGTTTGTCATTCAAGGGGCTTTTGTCACCATGACCCAACTGGGCTAACAGGGTATTTAATAATTGCATGTAGATGTTTTTCTGTAAGATTTTGATGCTTGAATGTCTAAGGTACACTCAGTACTATTTATTCTTTGCTGCATATTTATTTTATGTTAAGATATCAAATAAAAAGCTGCCCACCAGACTATGATATGAATGTTCAAGCGTAACGGCTTCTTTGCATGGGCTGCAAGCTTCACACAGCAGAAGAAGCACACAGACAAACTCAGAGCCCTTCATGACACTTAGCCTGTTTGAAAATGATATCATTATATGTTTCTTTTTTTCTTAAATTTTTCTCCTTGTTTTCTCCGCTTTTGTGAATTGCTATTGTAGTTACAGTATTCTCTAAAGCTGACTTTGTATATATTTTCATATTTTATGAAATATTTGTTATGAAACCAAAAAGGACCACCTGTCGTGGATCAGTGAGGATTGCATGCCCTTGGTAATCACTCCTTTGCTTTCGTTGGGTATGAGACCTAGTTCCTGTCCCTAGCTGTTTCACATGACAAATGCTGATCACGTAATCTACTTGGTACACTAAGGTATATATATATATCATATATACGTATAGACACACATACACATACTGGTTTTTTTTTTTTTTTTTTTTTGAGACAGGGTTTGTCTTTGTAGCCTTGGTCATCCTGGACTTGCTTTTTAGAGTAGGCTGGCCTTGAACTCGCAGAAATACACCTGCCTCTGCCTCCCTGAGTGCTAGGATTACAGCTGTGTGCCACCGTGCCCAGTACACTAAGATATTTTTATTAACTCATGCCTTCAAGGATAATTTTCTCAGGACCCAGTTTAAGAACAATGAAAGACTCTACCCAGCAGAGTATCAAAGCAGATGCTAAGACCCATAACCAAACTTCAGGCAGAATGCAGGGAATCATATGAAAGAATGGAGAGATAGAAAGACCTGGAGGGGACAGGAGCTCCACAAGGAGAGCAGAAAACCAAGGAATCTGGGCCTAGAAGTCTTCTCTGAGACTGATAATCCGACCAAGGACCAGGCATGGAGATAACCTAGAACCCCTGCACAGATGTAGCCCACAGCAGCTCAGTGTCCAAGTGGGTTCTCTAGTAATGGGAACAGGGACTGTCTCTGACATGAACTTAGTGGCTGGCTCTTTGATCATCTCCCTGTGATGGGGAGCAGCCTTGACAGGCCACAGAGGAAGACAATGCAGCCAGTCCTGATGAGACCTGATAGGCTAGGGTCAGAGGGAAGGGGAGGAGGACCTCCCCTATCAGTAGACTGGGGGAGGGGCATGGGAGGAGATGAGGGAGGCGGTACAGCTGGGATACAATGTGAATAAATGTAATTAATAATAAAATAATTAATTAATATTCTTGTGTAATGTTACCACAAGTCTAGAAACTTCCAAATTCTAATGAAATATTAACCGTAATTTCAAAGTATTAAGTGACTGGTACACTACAAAGTCAGATATGGTCATGTTTTTCCAATTTTCTCTTTTTTTTTTTGGCATGGTTAACTCTAATCTTGTAATTGGGCATCTTGATAAACATTTTATAAAATCGTAATTGACACCCAATAAATATTACCTGAAATAAGGAAAAGAACAATTGACTGTTTAAGCATCGCGGTGCCAACTGCATAGCAGCCCTGTTAGAACTCTGTGGAGGCAGGCTGCACAGCACTGGCTCGCCGTATCTAGGGGCAACCTGGATGAGACGGGTACAGGCCGCTCTTCTTTAGCCCAAGTGCTCTTTTATGTTAGGAAAGACCACTGCTGGCCTTACTGCTGCTTCATTTGTCTTTCCCAGGTGATAATCACTTCTTTCTTTCTTTTTTCTTTTTTTTTTTTTTTGGTACAAATCTTGCTTTTCTGAGAAATAAATCTTTCTGTGCAGGGCTTAATATTAAGCCCTAACTACTTACATGCAGAAAAAATAGTGATGACCATTGAAATTTTTAACATTTTTCTTTTATTAAAAATAGATTTTCTTCTTATATAATATATCCCGATTTTGGCTTTCCCTCCCTCTACTCCTCCCAGCTTCTCCAGCTCCTCTCCCATACTCATCCACTCCCTTTCTGTGTCTAATTAGAAAACAAACAGGCTTCTGAGGGAAAATTATATAATAAATTAATATATTATAATATCGTACTATAAAAGAACAAAATCTAACACATCAGAACAGGAAAAAAATAAACCGAAGAAAAAGAAGCTAAGAAAAGGCACAAGATACAGCTATAGACAGAGACCCACCCATTTGCACACTCAAGAAACATAAAACTGGAAGTCATAATATAGACACAAAGGACCTATAGCATAAAAACAAAACAAATAAACAAACAACAAAAAAAAACCCAAACTACTGCTGGGTATGCAACCTACCCTGAAGAGTAGTTTGTTTCCCCAGTGAAACTTCCTTGCAAGTTGTTATCAGTTGGAGATTGCTTCCGGGGAAGGGATGGGAGTCCACTTCTCCTTTCAGCTCTAGGACCCTGTCTGGCGCAGACCTATTCTGGCCCTGCACGATCTCATCAGTCTCTGTGAATTCCTATGTGCCTCAATCCTGTTGATTTAGAAGGCCTTGTTCCTTTGGTGTCCTCTACCAAATGTGGATCTTGTAATCTTTCAGCCTACTCTTCTGCAGGGCTATCTGATTCCTAAGGGAAAGGATTTGATGGAAACATCCCATTTAGGCCTGGGTGTTCTGAGGTCTTTCACTCTGCATACTGTCTGGCTGTGGGCTTTTTAGGTCCACATTCTTGGTCACCCAAGCAGTGCTAGGCATGGGTTTCATCTTAGGGAGTGGGCCTTACGTCAAATCAGATACTGCCTGGTTACTCCCACAGGCTTTGTGCCACCATTGCACTAGCTTCGTCTTCCAAGCAGGACAACATTACAGAGCAAAGGGTTTGTGACTGGGTTGGTATTTTTGTTTCTGCTTTGGTAGTGAGCTGAGTGCCGTCCAATCCCAAAGAAAGACGGCAGAACATAAGGGTTCGTATGTCCATACCTGCTCAACTTCTACGTGTTCAATGAGTTGTGTAAGTATTGTCATCAACATAAGGCCTTGTCATCAGTTTGTGGAGAGCATCCTATAGTCTTGGCAGCAGCCTTGGTTGTTGGAGGTTTTCATGGCACCCCTTTGGCCAACAACTCTGCTAAATATAATACATTCCTGGTACTGGAAACTTCATTTGGTGATAAGAGATGTCTGTTCGGGCTGTCTTCCTTATTACTTGGTGATTTCATTTAGATTGCCTTTTTATCTGTATATGTACATTGCAGCATTAAGAAGGTGGAGAATCACAGACCTAACTAGAGGAAGACCACAAAGACAATATTTTTTAAGGAGTTTCAGATAGATAAGATAGATAGCTTATTTTCAAAGTATTATGCCGTGTTCTTTCTAGCTGTTAAATGATAAGTCATAGGCAAGGACAGCACATTCTTATGTCAGTCAAAGAAAACTTAAAAAAAAAAACAGGAAGGAACACACAGTAGAGACACAGGTATTTAATGCTCGCACTCCAGGGGCTGAGGTACAAAGAACACACATCTGAGGCCAACTTGGGATATTAGACAAGAACTCAAAAGTAAAAGAAGGGATATGATTGTGTTCTTAAGAAAATGAAACAATAAAATGCTACAATCTTCTATGCATTTTCACAAATTATAGTTTGTTATTTAGCATGAATTTGGCTTCTCTAGTTTGGATTCCTTTTATTTCTCATAAACTAAGAGCTAGCAATATAAGCCAGGAAATACAGCAGCCACGATTTTTTTTTAAGTGAGATTTGAGAGCCTGTGTGGATGTGCCAGCAGGCCAATACAATTATTCCTAACCTTTTGGCCTAAGAACTGTCTCCAGTTGTTGCCAGAAAAATGGTTTCCATTCCACAGAGCTTGTTCAGCAGTCTACACTGTAGTTCAGAGTGCTGCTTCTGGTGTCAGAATACCTTGGTTCAAATCTTAGTTCAAGGAGCCACACAAGGAGACCAACAAAACCAAAAAAACTGGGCACAGGGGGGATTGCAGAGACTGATTCATCAAACAAAGACCATTCATAGAGAGGACCTAGATCCCCTGCTCAGATGTAGCCCACAGGCAGCTCAGTCTCCATGTGTGTTCCCTGGTAAGGGAAGAAGAGACAGTTGGTGAAATGGACTTGGTTGCCTGCTCCTTGATGACTTCTCCCTGGTGGGGTGAACTAGCTGGCCCACAGAAAAGAGGATTCAGACCGTCCTGATGGGACCAGATAGGCTAGGATCATAGGACTTACCCTATCAGTGGACTAGGGAAGAGGGATAAGGGAAAGTGGGACTGGGAGGAGATGAGGGAGGGGTACAACTGGGATACAAAGTGAATAAATTTTAAATCATACTAAGAAGAAAAGGAAAAAAGAATCCAAATCTTAGTTTATCCACTAGTTAATTAGGTAATCCTGAATAAGTAGTTTGATCAGCCTCCTAGGTTTAAAGGGGTTAAAAAAGGGCTAATAGGAAGATTAAATGAGATGATAACACATGAAGATTATTAGTACAGTTCTTGGCAAGGACTTTATCCTAAGAGATGACTGATAGTGTTTTACTGAGAAGGGATGGGCCTGGAGCCCGAGGGAATCTAGACTTTGCAGCAGCCATGTCTGTAGAGGTTTATAGATTATTGCACACAGAGAACACACATCTGTCCTCCAAGTGACACAGCAGATCAAAGTACTGTCTCCTTCCATCCAGAGTTCTGTTCCTCAACTTTAAAACTTTCCACTTTGTTTTTCCTTCTATTTTTCAGCTGCATAATAATTTACTGCTTTTATTTTCAAGTCGTGAAAAATTTAACTGACTTGCTTAATCAGTTACTTCGGTTAAAATCCATCTTTTGAATTTCGGTCAACTCACCCTTTTCCTGGTGATTTAACTCGTGTTTCTATATTAACAAAACAAATAAAAAGAAAATTAGCTTAGGAAGTAGTATAGTTAGTTTAGGTTGTCAACTTGACACTGCTTCTGAGCAGTTCTTAGCCCAGTGAGAGGAATTTTCTACCAGTTAGGGCAAAAGGCTGCCTCTCTAGGAGAAGGGCCTGCTGCGGTTCCATGCACAATGGGTTCGTGTGAGGTCTCCCTCCTGTTTAAGAGTCGGGAGAAGTTCAGATGTGATCTTTAAGTCTTATTTCTCAATAGACTTCAGGCATATTGTCTGGATAGAGCATTTCTTTGCCTGACCGAGGACTGTTTTTGTCTCCAGTCTAACTATATGTAGGCACCCATCTGTACACTATTCAGTTTTTAGATAGTTCTTTATTTAGATTACAACGTGTTCTTTTGATGGCAAGTGGTTATAAGTAATGTCCTAATCATCATCACAAGGAAAAGGAATATTTTACTGAAAAATAAAGATGAGAGTGTCTATTGGAACTTATTATGCCAAAATACTTAGTTCAAAGAGACTCTTGAATTCGCGCTCTCCCGTCCATTAGGGAATATTAGCTCTTGAGAATCATTGCCCTTACTTCCCCTCCACTTCAGTTCTGGTGCTTGCCAACTGTAGTTTCTCAAAGTGGAAAGAATATTCATTTCCACAGTCCAACATTTTCTGTCAGTGTATCAGTGAACATAAAGAATGTTGTGCTGTCAGATAGATCAACACATTCTTTAGATATTGAAAATGAGAGTCAGAACATTTACTGCATGACTAAGATGGAACTTTTTTGGATAATACTGAAGGATTTGATGTTCTGTTTCATGACAGTGATTATCATTCAAATGATCACAAAACAAATGATGGACTAGGCTCTTGCTGGCAGATGAAAAATATGCCTGATGTATCATTAAGCCATGACACCTGCAGTTGAAAACACATCAAGCCACTTTAGCAGGGTGCGCCAGGATGCTAACAAGTTAAACATTTCAGATTCTGCTTTGTAAGAGAAAATCATTTGTAAAAACAGATGACTGACAGCGTTATAAAGAGCAATTCAGGCTTTAGGAAATGAGTGATTTCAGGGAGAAAAATAAGGGTGGAGCGTGAACAGAGTTCATTTTGATTTGGTACAATGCTGTTGAAAATTTGAAAATTATATACAATTACAGAATTTGTTATCAATATATCCTCATATTTGTTTAAAACTTTAAAAACTTAAAAACGTAATCTCAGGCTGAAGATGTAGCTCAGGTGACACAGTGTTTTGCCTCTCACAAACAAAGCGCTGGGTTTGACTCCTTGCACCACGTGAGCAGGCGTGGTGGCGCCACCTTAGTCCTCAGGGAGCAGACGGAGGCCTGGAACCGAGCTTTTCCTTGGGTCCACACTGAGTTCCTGAGCGCCTGTGCTACAGAAGACCCTGTCTCAAGAGAAACCGTGACTAAGCGAACCTCGGGAAGCTGAGCTCTCTCCCCTGCTGTTTTCCCCTGCAGGGTTACTCATCCCCCGCCTCTGCTCTGGCTGCACCTGACATCAGTGTTGAGGCAACTGCTAGAAAGTGTTATATTTCGTTTTAGCTGCGGATATTTATGTAAATATCTTTTCACCACATAGCGTAATTATATCATTTTTATCTCTATAGTTAAGTTTATCACATATATGTAGATAATTATTCAGTCTTTATGAATCCTTATGTCATCTTTTTTTAATTAAATTTTTATTTTTTACATTAATTATATTTTATTCATTTTGCGTACCAGCTGTAGCCCCCTCCTTCATTCCCTCCCACTCCTACCCTCCTTCCCTCATCTCCTCCCATGGCCCTCTCTAAGTCCACTGATAGAGGAGGTCCTCCTCCCCTTCCATCTGACACTAGCTTATCAGGTCTCATCAGATTTCAGGACTGGTTGCAATGTCCTCCTCTGTGGCCTATCAAGGCTGCTCCTCCCTTAGGGGAGGTGGTAAAAAAGCCAGCCATTGAGTTCATGTCAGAGACAGTCCCTGTTGCCCTTACTAGGGCACCCACTTGTATACTGAACTGCCATGGGCTTCATTCGAGCAGGGATTCTAGGTTATATCCATGCATGGTCCTTGGCTGGAGAATCAGTCTCAGAAAAGATCCCTGTGCCCTTGATGCCATATTTTAAGATCTACCTATATTGAAAAATAATTGAATAGTTTATTGCTTCACTGGTTTTTAATTAGCTTGTTGTGTGGATACATTTTATTTATTCATCATTTGCGTATAGAGTTTAAGTATATTATCTTTGGACTTTGTTTTACTCACTATTTTATTGCTGTGAAGAGATACCATAATCAAGGCAACTCTTATAAAAGAAAACACCTAGTTGGAACTTTTTTACAGCTTCAGAGGGTTAGTCCATTATCATTATGGCAGGGAACGAGGCAGTATGCATGACTTTGGACCGGTAGCTGGGTGTTATATCCTGATCCAGAGGCAGAAAGAGAAAGCCTAGGCCTGACATTTTTCTTTTCTTTTTAGCAGGCCAGAAGAGGGCACCGGATCTCATTACAGATAGCTATGAGCCACCATGAGGTTTTGAGGAATTGAACTCAGGACCTTTTAAAGAACAGCCAGTGTGCTTAACCTCTGAGCCATCTCTCCAGCCCCCTAGCACAGGCTTTTGAAACCTCCAAACCCACCACCACATTTCCTTTAACAAGGCCACACATCGTAATACCTTCTAATCCTTTTAAACAGTGCCAAGCCCTTCAAATATATGAGCCATTGTTGTTCAAACCACCACAGACATTTGTCTTTCAGAGAAAAGCTCACAGTAAGAAGATGGAGTTTTAAAGAGGTGAAAAAAGAATAGTTGCCACAGTGACCTAATGTAAAAGTTTAGTTCTGTAATTATATAAAATGTATCTTTAACTATCTATTTTACATATGCTTTTTATTGAAACAGAATTACATCACTTTCTCCCTTCCTTCCCTCCTAGGTATTTTTCTTCCTTCCAACAGCTCTCATGTTCCCCTCAGCTCTCAAGTTGATAGCCTCTGTTTTCTTTATTATTGTTTCATGGGGGTATATATATATATATTATACATGTATATAATCATTTTTATAATGCTATATTGATAACTATAGCATGTCTTAGTGATAGAAATATGTAAAAAAAAATAGGAGTATATTTGTAATAATAAGTGTTTTTTTCTTCACTATCAGGTGCCTCAAGTGGAAACACATTTTTTTGTGGAGCTGTATGACATCACTGCTGGGGCAGCTATAAACAACAGTGCCAGATTTGCTCGAATCAAAGTTTCCAAGAGTACCGGACCACAGAGCCTCATTTCCTTTTCTGTGGGTTCTCGGCTGGCTGTGGCTCATAAGAAGGCTACTCTGATCAGTTTGCAAGTGGCCAGAGATTCTGGGACAGGAATGATGATGTCTGTTAACTTTAGTACCCAGGTAGGCATAGGAAATACAGTCATATATGTTTATATTCTTTGCCTCTGTAAGGAGTATAATGAAACGGTAATCTAAACAATATTTTCTGGGGATCCCACAATGACTTGCTGTTTGTGTATCGTACTGTTTTCTCTGTACATCAGGTCAGCTTTTCTCACACGACTAAGAGGTTGTGTTTTGAAGCACAGGCTTTCTGTTTGGTTTTCCCTGCTTTGGCAGTGTTGATTGTCCCATTTGAGGTGTTACGTGCAAGTCTGCTCGTCACAGCTCTAAGGTCTTGGCTCAGTACTTCCTCCACTGTGGCCATTTGAGACTTGAACAAAAAGCAGAGGTTGCCTACAAATTCTATTCAAATTAACTGGATTTTTTTAACGTCCTTAAATACAGACTGAACATTTACACAGCACTGGCTTTAGGTGACTACACCTGTCCATCCTTTCATGTGGTGTCCATTGAATGACCAGATGGAGTTATGGGGTCCAGAATAGCAACACTGAGCACACGAAGAGACAAGGTCCTATGTGCTCTATACTTTCTTATCATTTTTTTTTTACTTTGCTTCTTCAGCAAAATTCTAATACAGTAAATAAATAAATAAATAAATAAATAGATAGATAGATAGATAGATAGATAGATAGATAAATAACATGTCAGCCATTCTGTTTGAAGCATGATTGTGGAGATAGCTCTCCTGCTTTAGCTCTCTGTTTTCTGTTCCTCCTTTACTTCTTTTACTTCCCCCTTCAGCACCGTTGGCTGGTTCAAATCTACCATTTTTTTTTTTTGCATCAAATAAAGCGTATGTACAGCTAGTGTAACAGAGTCAGGGAATAGGAGGGTAGATTTAGAATCCTGGGTGGAAAGCTGCCCTGGAAACCTGCTAGGCTGAGATAGGATGACAGAAGACACAATTCTCTGCTGTGTGAGACCCTAGAAGTAAACTCCATGTTGTGTAGTCTTACAGTACTGTGAACACAGACAGAAGCCTTTTCATTCATAGGGAGGTTTTAGTATTTTGTTTAGCATGTTTATGATAGGCAGAGAAATGAGAAAAAAGTCTCATGCTCATGCTTCGCCCATGAAATATTATTATTGTCACATCATGAGTTTGTAGACCAGAAGAAGGGGGACTAGAGATGTAAAACACATAATGAAGATATTTGAGGCGAGAGACTTGACGAGCGGAGAGAGAAGTGGGTATGTGCACCCACACAGACAGACCAGCTACCGCAGTTACACAGACACGGGCCTCAACACCATAGGCCGAGCGCTGTGGCACCAGTTCCATGTTAACCATTTTCAACATGGAAGTGAAGACTAGAATCTGAGGATTTTTCTACAAATGAGGATTTCGTTTCTGGAAAAACAGAGCCCCTTTTCCTGCTGAGTTCAGCTACAGGGACTATGCATAAGTCAATGTTAGGAGACTCTGAACTGCAGGGGGACAATGAGCACCGTGTGGTACACAGAGAAGCAAGCGTCACAATTCCCTTTCTCCCTCGTAGCCGTGAGTTTGAGCTGAAGAACTTACCATATGGATTCACTAATGGGAAAAAATTCAAAAAAACATAAAACCATACAAATATGCTTTCTGTAGTGTGAGAGTGAAATTCCTCATACAGATATAATGTGTAGCGTGCACAGAGGAGGAAACCCATATAGATATGCTGTGTGTAGTGCGAGGGACAGGGAAGAGACAGTTGAGCAAGACAAAGCTTTTAGATAAAAATCATTTTGTATTCTTTAGTCAGAGATGCCAGAAAAACTTTATTGAACCTTATCCACATCAGCAAAGTGTGTGTGTGTGTGTGAGTGTGTGTAGATTTACATTGTCCAGTAGCCTCAGTCTCTGCATGCCATGTCAGAAGACCTAATGGAGAGTTGGGGCTTTGCCCTTTGTCTAATAATAAAAAGCACATGGCATCAACCCAGTCTCAGTGGAGAACACTGCGTGTTTTGGAGAGGTTCTCTCACACCTCTTTGCCGAGATATCTGTGGAGGTGAGATTATTGGCAAGGTCTCACTCCATCTAATAAAGAAGTCTCTCATTTCCAATGAGGAAACCTGCTCTTTCCCTATGAGGAGTAAGGTAGTAATTGGCTTTCTTTGGTGATGGCAGTGTTAAAACAAGCCAGAAAAAGAAAGGGAGGAAGGAAGGAAGGAAAGTAGGAAAGAAGGAAGGAGGGAGGGAGGGAGAGAGGGAGGGATTGGGAGGGGATTAGGGAAGGGGCTACAACTGGAATGCAAAATGAATAAATTGTAATTAATTAAAAAATTAATTTAAAAAATAACTTGAAAATAAAGGAAATTGTCTCAATAAGGAAAGAGGAACTCTTAGATGGTAAATAGAAGACGGGAATATTACATGTGGAAATATACTAATATATACTGTATAATCTCCGGGGCAGAGTGAAGGGACAAAGAAGACAACAATCTAGCAGATAGTATGATAATTTGTCCTCAATTGCAACAGTAGCAGCAGACAAATTGAGAAAACTACCAAATAAAGGTTTAGGGACCTAATGGCTGCAACAAAAAAACTATAGGACCTTAAAGTCTTGAAAGAAAGAAGAAAGACAGAAGGATTGAAAAAAAAATCACCTGAAAGAATAGTGATTGATTAAAATTTCAATTTGATAAAGGTTATTAGCCCTTATGTTCTAATGTTCTAGCACTAAAGAAATCCACAAGCAAGACAAATAAGAAAAAGAAAAGCCTTCATACAGGCTTTGTGTTGATTGACTATCGTCTTGTGACAAAACGCCAACAAGAGCAGCTCAAGGAAGGAGAGGTTTATGTTGGTCCACAGTTTAAGGATGCGGTCCAGCGTGACAGGGATATCAAGAGCTCTCCAATAGCTGCTCACACTGCATCCCAGTCAGGAAGCAGAGAGCGATGACCCAGATGCTCACCTAGCTTTCTCCTTCCATTCAGTCCAAGACTCCAGACCCTGGAATGTCACTCTCCATGTTTAAGGTGGATCTCTCCACCCGAGGGACTCTAATCGGAATGACCCCTTACAGACCCACTCCGAGGCCTGTCTCTGAGTAATACTTTCATACCCACATACTTACAGTGTAAGAATGTCATAAGAAAGGTCTGTAAATCCAAGCACAGGGACAAGGAGAATGGATGTTAGGATACACGGAAGAAAGAATGCAGTAAGCAAAAACAGACTAAAATATAGAACATCTCACTAGAGAACTTGGCTATATAAAAAGATGTTCAGTGTGCCGCAGTGATTTCATCTGAACATCAGAATGGCTGTCAGTGACAATGATACTGATTAATTTGCTTATTGGTGGTGGGGATGTAAAATGATATAACTACTCTGGAGGATGTTCTGTTAGTTTCTTAAATAATTATACATGAATTATACAGGCCCAAGGAATTATAGTCTTGGGCATTTATTCTAATGAAAACTTATTACTCACATGGAAATTTTTACACAACTGTCTGAGGTAGATTATTAATAAATTAATTAATTTATAATTAATAATTATAATTGTTAATAATAAAATTAATGAACAACTGTCCATCAATTGACAAAAAGTTAGATAAAATGGAGGCTCCTACCTGTGGTAAGGAACAAGCCATCAAGACACATATCAGCTAGTGTAACATCCTCATGATTATGTCATGGAAAAATAATCTCCAAAGTTAGAGTAAAAGATTCCATTCATATAGGAAAATTACAGCATCATAGAAATGTAGAAGAGCTCAGCGATTTGGAACAAACAATGAGTGACTCGGCAGGGATGTGAATGATTATGACAGTCACCATGAAGGATTCTTAAGAAAAGAAAATAATATTGTGACCCTGTTGGTGTTAATATCATGCTGCAAGGTGTTGACAAGAAAAGATGTTGAGTAGAGAATACCAGAATATTAATCTGTTGTTTTATAATTCCATGTAAACAGACAAGAGCTCAAATCAAAAAGGCCAGCTTAAAATCAGAAGCCATGGCAGAAGGGTCAGGGACACTAGAGCACACACGGCCCACAGAATCAGTTAAGCAGGGCTCCCAGGGGCTCCCAGAGACTGAAGCAGCAATCGCAGAACCTGCATGGGTCTGAGCTAGGGCATAGGCATACATGCTGTGATTGTTTAGCTTGGGGTTTTTGAGGGATTCCTAACTGTAGGAGATGGACTGTCTCTGACTCTTTTGCCTGCTCTTGAGACCCTTTTTCTCCTACTGGGTTGCCTCACACAGCTCTGATAGGAGGGTTTGTGCCTATACCTTATTGTTCTGTATTTGGTTAATATCCCTGAAAGGCCCTGCTCTTTTTGAAGTGAAGTGGAGGAGTGGTGGATCTTGGGGAGAGGGAACTGGAAAGAGAGGAGGGAGGGTGGGCTGGGGCAGGACCTGGGAGGAGCGGAGGAAGAGGAGGCTGTGGTCAGGATATATTGTGTGAGATAAGAACAGATAAGAAAAATAGGAAACAAACAAACAGGCAAATGGGAACCATGGTTTTACTGCTTGGGTAGTTTTATATTGTTCTTGCTTCATTGTCCCTGAGTTGCTTCTGAACAGTGAGTGTGCTATTAGAAGATAAGAATATACAGTTGTGTTCTCTATAAACTGAAAATAATGTGAAAATATGACTCAAGCTTTTATTCTGTCCAGTGGTATTGATTCTTATTTCACTGTAGCTGGAGTAATTCAATAATCAATATAACATAAATTTTCATGTATACAAATACCATAGTTTTATCATAAATTCTCTTCTTCATATTTATTTGTAGAGTAGTAAGAAAGGATTTCTGGTTTTTGTTACTTGAACTGATGAAAAGATCACTTACTCTATTATACTTCATTAAATGAATCTACAGTTGACCAAATTTACATACTGTCACTTAACCCTGTCACATGTTGTAACCCAGAGCAAATGCACTGAATGAAGTCACAATCCTTTGTGAGTTTGTTCTAGCTGGCATCTTCAGTGGAATGCCTAGGAGATATAACAGGCTTCGTGTATGTCATAAGTACTGCTTGTCCTGGTTTCCCATCATCTCTATAGTAACTCCTCTATCCAGGCCAGCAATTAGATATCATGGTCAATTCTCATGTTCCTCTTACCCCATGCTGAATATACCAGAAGTTCCTATTAACTGCATTCACACTCTGTCCCCATTCTATTTCTATCCTTTCTACTCATGTGACCTTGAGTGAGCTATCTCAGAGACAAGTGTTTCTTCCTCCTGCCTCTGTGCTTAGCCCTACTATAGATTAGCACACATGTTCCCCAGAGCATTTATGAAACCTCTAATCAAAGGGTCACTCTCCTGTTTTAATTCTGTGGTTTCTGCTTACATTTAAAATAATGGCCACATACTCTTTGACCCTATCCATTCCTTATGTCAGTGCCCAACACTCCTCCTTAACATTCATACTAGCCTTCTGGTTCTTCCCATCAGATTATAGGGTTCTCACCACAGAGCCTTTTTTTCATTTTTTATTAATATTTTTTATTTTTAAATAATTTTATACATTCACTTGTATCCCAGCTGTAGCCCTCTCCCTCCTTCCCTCCCAATCCTCCCCTCCCTTCCTCATCTCCTCCCTGCCTCCTTCCGAATCCACTGAGAGGGAGTGTCCTCCTCTCCTTCCTCTCCTTCCATCTGGCCCTAGCTTATCAGGTATCTTCAGGATGGTTGCAATGTCCTTATCTGTGGCCTATCATGGCTGCTCCCCCACTGTTTCTGACATGAACTCAGAGCCTTTTAAAGTGCTGTTCTCATTGCCCAGAATATTTTTCCTTAGGCCTAGAATCCATCTCCTGAGGTTAGCGTGTGGACAGTCCTTTAATGAATCCTATGTTGCAATTCCATGTCCAGCTTGGTTTATAACTGTGCCCTGACCACCACCCTGTGTCTCTGTCTCTACTTTGTCTTATTTCCCTTCATAAGAATCCATGTAGGAAGACAACATTAATTCCATAGTCCCATACTGTACCCTCTGCTAGAATCTTGGGTTCTGGGAGTGTAGGTATTATGCCTGTCAATTCTGCATCTCAGTAAACATGCTGGATGTACTAGGACTTTAATCCTTAGTCAGCAGTAAATAAAGACACACAACTACAATTTTCCTCAGCTACAGTATGCACCCTGAACTTTCTAAAACCTTTGTAACAACTGTAATTTGAGAAATCAGATGCATATATATTGCTTGGGAACCCAGCACAGTAGCATATTTCCACACTGAAGGAGAAAAAGGAGCTGATTTCTTCTTCCTCCCCACTCTTTGCTCTCAGATCTCCCTGCCCCTAAATTTCTAGGTGAGAGTAAAATCTAAATATTTGTTTATTTTTTAGCATGTGAGAACTAAGTTATACTATTTGCTGTGTCCGTGACTGGATTCTTTTCTAGACAACAGTATTTTTTCTAGACAACAGTATCTTTTCATCTCTAGTTCTTTTCCTTGATTCATTTCAGTGCAAACACCTTGTTCCCTCTCCTCGTTACCTCTGTGGCTTATTGAAGGCAGTTAAGAAAAGTATAAAGTCCATGCTTTAGAGGCAGTGTAGTTACTGCCAATTAGTTTACTGAAAAGAAGGAAAATTTGTTTAAGAAATAGTAATCCGTTTAGAATAACATTAGAGGTGTCATAGTCTCATTTTCCCGTCTGTTTAATTTTCAGGAGCTGAGGCGTGCTGAAACAATTGGTCGAGTCCTCATATCTCCAGCTGTTTCTGGGAAGGATTTCGTGAGGACAGAAGGCACACTGGTTTTTGAACCTGGCCAGAGAAGTGCTGTGGTGGATGTTATCTTAACTCCAGACTCGGGGTCTTTAAATATGTTTCCTAAACGCTTTCAGATTGTGCTTTTTGACCCAAAAGGTGGTGCCAAAATTGATAAAGTGTATGGGATTGCCAACATCACTCTTGTCTCTGATGTGGCTTCACAAGCTGTCTGGGGGCTTGCAGACCTGCTGCATCAGCCCCTGCATGAAGATATTCTCAACAGAGTGCTCCAAAGCCTCACCGTGAAAGTAGCCACAGAGAGCACGGACGAGCAGCTGAGCGCTGTGATGTACTTACTGGAAAAGGTAGGGCATCCCTGCGGATGTAAGCACACAGCTCAGCGAGAAGGTCACAAAGCTCACACCAAAACAGATAACTCATCCTGTTATAATGCCCGTTACCATGAAATTAGCATAAAATGTAAAAGTGGGATTCACCGTGAATGCCGATGTACTTTCTTTTGAATGAGGCCTGCTTGACATCCTTACTCTTTTTTTTTTATTATTTTTTTACATTTATTACAATTTATTCACTTTGAATCCCAGCTATAACCCCCTCCCTAGTCCCATCTCAATCCCACCCTCCCTCATCTCTTCCTATGCCCCTTCCCCAGTCCACTGATAGGGGAGGGCCTCCTTCCATTTGACCCTGGCCTATCAGGTCTCATCAGGACTGTCTACATCATTACTCTTAAATCGGGAACTGTGGGTAGGGTGGTGTAGCCAGAATCCAACCAGAGCTTTAAAGGCAGCAGATGCAAGAGCCCAATGTCCTTCCTGACTCTCCAGAGACTGAATATATTTGCAGTTTACTTGTTGGTGTTTTGAGTTCGTAAGAACTCGGACTGGACTGTAACCTATATTCATTCTTTCACACATTATGCATGAGCAGTCAGCAGGGTTCAGTGGCACACACCTATATTCCCAGCACTCGGGGAGACAGAGGCAGAGGCAGACAGATCTATTTGAGTTTGAGTCCAGCCTGGTTTACGAAGTGAGTCCAGGATAGCCAAGGCTATACAGAGGAACCCTGTCTCAAAAAACAAACAAACAAACAAACAAACAAACAAACAACCATGAGCAGTCACCCCTGTGTTCTCTTCTTCCTCGGAACTAACAAATATTCATTGAAAAGTAAGAATAAGGACTGGCCAAATAATTTTGGCATCAATTTCCATAGACTTTCCTAGTCAGCTCTTATGTGAGATTAGTTAGTTGCTTCCCTTTCTACAAAATGTGTAATCACTTACAGATATAAAAGTTCAAGATTAGATGGAAAATTGTTTCTAAAATGTATTATTAAGGAAGGAAAAATACCTTTATAGCTTATATCAAGCTTTCTTATAAAGATAATTTCTTTTTTAACATATTCATGTACACACATAAAGTTCTGAGTCCATACATATGAACCTTCCAGTGCTTCATTTCCTTAATTATTACAAATGTTTACAGTAGGATATCAAAATATCATTCTCTTATTTCTCAAAGCATGGTGCATGAAAGGTATACATGGTATAGAAGATAGGAGGAGGCTATGACCCAGAATCTGGAAACAACCTAGATGTCCCTCAATTGAGGAATGGATACAGAAATTGTTGTACATTTACACAATGGACTATTACTCAGCAATTAAAAACAAGGAAATCATGAAATTTGCAGGCAAATGGTGGGAAAAGATTATTCTGAGTGAGGTGTTCCAGAAACAGAAAGACACACATGGCATATACTTACTTGTAAATGGATATTAGACATATGAATAGGATAAACATTCTAAAACCTGTACACCTAAAGAAGCTGAGCAAGAAGGAGGACGCTGGGTAAGATGATCAATCCTCACTAAGAAAGGCAAGTAAGATGGACATCAGGCAAATAAGATGGACATCTGAAAAAGGAGAAAACGGGAAACAGGACAGGAGCCTACCACAGAGGGCCTCTGAAAGACTCTACCCATCGGAGTATCAAAGCAAATGCTGAGACTCATAATCAAATTTTGGGCAAAGTGCAAGGAATCTTATGAAAGAAGTAGAAGTTAGAAAGACCTGGAGAGGACAGAAGCTCCACAAGGAGAGCAACAGAACCATAAAATCTGGGCCCAGGGGTCTTTTCTGAGACTGATACTCCAACCAAAGACCATTCATGGAGATAACCTAGAACCCCTGCACAGAAAAAGCCAATGGCAGCTCAGTATCCAAATGGGCTCCCTAGTAAGAGGAACAGGGGTTGTTTCTGACATGAAGTCAATGGCTGGCTCTTTGATCACCTCCCCCTGAGGAGAGGAGCAGCCTTGCTAGGCCACAGAGGAAGACTTTGCAGCCAGTCCTGATGAGACCTGATAGGCTAAGGTCAGAGGGAAGGGGAGGAAGACCTCCCCTATCAGTGGACTGGGGGAGGAGCAAAGGAGGAGAAGAGGGAGGGTGGGAAGGATTGAGAGGGGCTGAGCAAGGGAGCTACAGGTGGGATACAAAGTGAATAAATTGTAATAAATAAAAAAATTAAATCTGAGAAGGGGCTCTAGGTTGCATCCATACATAGTTCTTGTTTGAAGAAACAGTCTCACTATGCCCAGATATATTTGGTCCTTGTGGAACTCCTGTCCTCTCTACGTCGTATTAACTCCCCCTCCCCCTTTTTTTTTTTGATTCCCTGCATTCTGCTGGAGGTGTGGTTAGGAGTCTTAATATCTGCTTTGATACACTGCTAGGTAGAGTCTTTCAGAGGCCCTCTGTGGTAGGCTCCTGTCCTGTTACTTGTTTGCTCCTACATCCAAAGTCCATCCCCTTTGTCTTTCTAAGTGAGGATTGATCATCTTACCCCAGGTCCTCTTTCTTGTTTATCTTCTTTAGCTGCATAGATTTCAGTATATTTATCCTATCTTATAGGTCTATATAAGTGAGTATATACCATGTGTGTCTTTCTGCTTTTGGGATACCTCACTCAGGATGATCTTTTCTAGATCCCAACATTTGCCTGCGAAATTCATGATTTCCTTGTTTTTAATTGCTGAGTAGTATTTCATTGTGTAAAAATACCACAATTTCTGTATTCATTCCTCAACTGAGGGACATCTGTGTTGTTTCCAGGTTCTGGCTATTACGAATAAAGCTGCTACAAACCTGGTTGAGCAAATGTCCGTGTTGTGTACTTGAGCATCTTTTGGATATATGCCTAGGAGTGGTATAGCTGGATCTTGAGGAAGCACTATTCCTATTTGTCTGAGAAAGCGCCAGATTGATTTCCAAAGTGGGTGTACAAGTTTGCATTCTCACCAGCAATGGAGGAGGGTTCCCCTTTCTCCACAACCTCTCCAGCATGTGTTGTCACTTGAGTTTTTGATCTTAGCCATTCTGGCGGGTGTAAGGTGAAATCTTAGGGTAGCTCAGTATCCAAGTGGGGTACCCTAATAAGGGGAACAGGGACTGTTTCTGACATGAACTTAATGGCAGGCTCTTTGACACCCCCCCCACCCCCGGGACAGCAGCCTTGCTGGGCCACAGAGGAGGACTTTGCAGCCAGTCCTGAAGACACCTGATAAACCAGTATCAGATGGAAGGGGAGGAGGTTCTCCCTTATCAGTGGACTTGGAAAGGGGCAGGGAGGAGATGAGGGTGGGAGGGTGGGATTGGGAGGGAAAGAAGGAGTGGGATACAGCAGGGATACAAAGTTAACAAACTGTAGCTAATATTAAAAAATAAAAATTAAAAAAAATAAAATCTAACAAACCAAAATAAATAAATAAAATAAAAAGAAGAGGCTATGGCAAACTTTTGCAAAGCACAGTGACTGCCATTTTATGCAATGAAAACTCTAAAGATAGAGTTCATGCCAAAGAAGCGTAATACTTAAATGTCTAATAAGAAACAGATGGGACAGTAGTGAATTAATGTTGAACAAAACAAGAGAAACCATGTATAGTAACTACATTGTAGAGTAGAAAGAAAATTTCAAATATTTTAGAGAAAAAAAATAGAAGGAAATCCTGCTCCTCTCATTCCCTCATTAAGCTATATGCTAAAGCCATGTATTGTCATCAGTCAAAAGGCAACACTTAAAATGAAGCATGGTCTGGGACTGGAGAGATGACTTAACCGTTAAGAGCACTGGCTCCTGTTCCAGAGGACCAGGGTTCAATGAGGCACATGGTGGCCTGTGACTACTGTAACTCCAGTCCAGAGGGATCTAGTGTCCTCCTCTGTCCTCTGTGGACACCAGGTACACATGTGGTACACAGACATGTATGCAGACAAAGCAAGTAAATAAAGAATTAGATAGAAGAGCCCATGCCAACATTCTAGCTCTAGAGGCAAAAGGCGGAGGCAGGAGGCAGGCGAGCAGAGTTTTAAGTCATCTGGGCTATACAGTGAGACTGTGACTGGAGAACACACAGTCATTGCACCAAGTGCTGGCGGCCCGTGTTACATCAACACTTATTTCAATAATGCTGTCAAATAGCCCAATAGTATATGGTAATTATTTTGTTTTGAATATTGGCATACATCATTAAATAAGCACTTACCTTTGTCTGGATAAAAGTCTGAGTAACTCTGGAGTTCTTACATCACAGCTTCTAATACTTTGCTCATATGAACACCTAGCAAGGATTATGTTTTAGAATAAGTGGTAACATTTATGCAAATATATGTATGAAGGTTTATTATTATTAGAAATTTAGAAAAATTAACAGCCTTTAAAGTGGGGCTAGTATACCTGTGAACATTCAGGAGCCACACATTGGTGTAATCAACAATGAATTGTGTGTACAAAAGTGTTTTCACAACATTAAAAAGAAACTGTAAAAACACCACTGACTGCCATTTTTGCTGCATCTTTTCTGTTTGGATACATCAATGCCAGATATAGATAGACAGAGACAGTGACAAGCACAGAGATATGCAGCAGCCAGTACAGCAACACTGCCTGCACCTTTGCAGCCAGGTGACAGCCGGTGTCACACAGTCTGGATACTGACCCTGGAGGTTTGTGAAGCACACTGCGTGGTGTCTCCTTGATGACGAAATCAGGATGTAGCCCTTTTGATATACTCATGACTGTATTTTGTGTTTTAGACATAATTATATAATAAAGCTAAAGGAGTAGCAAATTAATAAATGGCATGCAGATAATCACATATAAATAACTTGCACTATCCACGTGTAACATTTAGCAAATAAAAATAAAGGATGACTAGTTTCGCATGTGTTTCAGGTGAGCAGCACATTTTTAAGGTTCAATATGTCGCTAACACTTAGGATGCGCTAAGAACGAAGAGTTGCTGTTTGTAGTCTGAAATTCAGATTGAGCCAGCTGTACTTTATGCTGTAAGCACCATAGGGAGTTAAAAAAATGGTCCAGCCTCAGCTTCAGCACAGGCTACTCCCATGTGCTGGATTGAATGCTGTATGGCTTTGTGTTCTAACTGAATATGTTTGACATTTGCAAGTTTCTCAGCTTCTAAGTGCTTTGATGATGCGTCTTCCAACATCTGTGTCTCTTTTGATGAATCCTAGATGGGAATTTGCACTTTGGAAGTAGCTGCCTGATTTTGTTTGGATGAGACAATCTTGTACTAAAAAGAATAACAACTTTACAAGACTCATTAGAAAGAATTTTCTGGATAAAGCCCATCTGTGGGCTAAGACAGTCTTTTATATAACAATAATCTGCCTCCTGACTTTCCCAGGTGCAGAAAAACCCAAATTATTCCCAGCGCTCTCAGCTGCCTTAATAACAATATCAGAGTCCAAACCTCTGTGAGATTGGATATCTAATTTTTTATTTCATCAAGTTTGTTTTCCTGGTTTTAGAGCTTGGTAGAACTTGAGCCAGGAGTTCTGATGTCGTCCTCTGGAAGAACTGCAGAAGCATGGGAATAGCATGTCTTCTAGAGTCTTAGACACTAACCTGTCACACTCATTCGAATGCTTCTCCATTTTCATTTCAGTCCTGACAGCCTCTTGATGTTTTCCCATGTGAACTTCTTCTGCTGATCTGTAAATGAACTGTGATAAATTTGGCTTTTCTATTATTTTCATTAAATGAATGACCTTTTAAAGCTAGAGTATTGCTTTACTGATGGTTCTTAACAATGTGTGCTTTGTAGTGCAGTTATTCCTGTGTGATTTAGCTTGTGGACACACCAACACTGACTTGCAGCTCACTTAGTGTTTTTATGGACACACCAGTGAACTAATTTAAGGTGTGTTGTTATATTCTGACAAGCAAGTAGCAGAGGCTGCAACCTAGTGCATGTGGCTGGCTGGGGATGTCTTGAGCTAGGCCAATTACCAAGTCATGTGTCACACTGGGTGCCTTGGTTTCTTACCTGGAAATAAAGTAAAGATAGCAATAAGATCTCTCCCTATGACTTTTGAGATGAGAGAAGTTTAGTAAATTACCGAGAGTAACCGTACAGCCATCCTAACCTAGAGTTAGAAGAGTGCATTTTCTTGTTGTTGTGATTCTACTTAAATGCACTTTCTGTTCCTCTTGAGCCTAAAGAAGAGTTTGAACAGATGTCTAATTCTTGAACCTTAATTTCTAAAATCTACACCTATTGCTCTTTCTGACATTTTCTTTCAGAAGTGTTTAATGTCAAGAGGGAACTTCTGCTTCTCTGTTCCTGGGTTCTTCTCATCTGTCTCCTATTGTAGTTGTTCAGTTTTGGGAGTAATATTATGCTGTCTCTTCTTTTCTCAGATGTAAAACAATTTCTGCACCTGTAAGTGTGAATGCTTGTGCTGCTCATTAAGGATCTGTTATCTTTTCCTCTGCCTGCTTTCACAAGCTGTATCTGATTTGTTAATTGCCTTCCTGAGCTCTAAGAGATTCTGGCTTTCTGTCTCTCTCTGGATCTCCCCCTCTCTCTTTGAGAACAGGTTTCTCTGTGCAGTCTTGACTGTCCTGAACTCATGTTGTAGACCACACTGGTCACGAACTCACTGAGATCCCATGCCTCTGCCTCCCTGAGGGCTGGGATTAAAGGCATGTGCAACCGTGTCCAACTTAAAAGATTCTCTTAGACTGGTCTTTCATTTGGCTTATTTGGTTTCCTTGCTGCTTTACCCAATGGCCTATCCACTGTTAATTTGTAATTGTACCATGAAGTTTGTATTGTTATTTTTATTGTATTTCTTCTGTGATCTGTTCTCTTGTCTTTGCCATGGATAGTCTTATAAACTCAGATCTTGAGTTGGGGTGTGAGTATGAAACTGATAGATTACAAAGTTAAAAAAAAGAAAAGAAAAGAAAGAAAGAAAGAAAGAAAGAAAGAAAGAAAGAAAGAAAGAGAAAGAAAGAAAGAAATAGGGATAGCATGAGTACTCCTTCATTAAGTTTACCTGATAGGAAAAAAGGCAATCGTTTCAAAGATATCATGAGTTTATCACTAAAGATATACAGTAAATCACAGACAGTGATGATGTGGGAGGGGGCAGGAGGCCCAATAGTTGAATTATAAACTAATGACCTTGGAGTCTGGAATTTTTCAGATATACTAGAATATAATGGAACAATAATATTGTCCTTCTCTTCAAATATCAACTTAGTCCTTTAAGGAAATCACATTTAAAAAGCAGTGTGCCAGGATGTCTTGAGTGGTCTTGATTGAAGAGAATTCTCTCATTTGCTGTGCTTTTGTACTCTAGTATTATATGGTAGTCACTATTTACTCACAAATATAATTTTAAAAACTTATTTCTGCAGTCTCCCCGGGGCCCTGCAGAGACTGATGTAGCAACCAAGGTCCATAGAGAGGACCTAGACCTCCTGCTCAAATGTAGCACGTAGATAGCTCAGTCTCCATGTAGATTCCCCACAAGAGAAGAGACAGTCCCTGACATGAACTCAGTTGCCTGTTTCTTGAACACTTTTCCCTGGTGGGGCGACCTAGCCAGCCCACAGAGGAAGAACACCCAGACAGTCCTGATGGGATCTGATAGGCTAGGGTCAGACAGTAGGGGAAGAGGACCTCCTCTATGAGTGGGTTAGGGAAGAGGGATAAGGGAGGAAGAGGGAGAGGGGGGGTACTGGGAAGAGATGAGGGAGGGGGTTACAACTGGGACACAAAGTGAATAATAATAATAATAATATCATTTTCCCATGAAAAATAATCTTATTTCTATTACAAACATTTTTGAGATATTGATTTTTCTTATTTGTTCATTAAAGAAATATCAAATTATTTTGGAGGTAAATGCAAAATTGTGATGTTAACTCTTGTAGCTAACTTAACTGATATATGCCACCATTTGGGACTTTAAGAAATGGTTAAATAGGAAGTATTTTAATGATTATTTCCTTTCTTTGTCAATGATTACTCATGCCTTTTAGATGGAAATGGGCATATTTAAAATGTAATTTTGATGCCACTTTCTTCTCAGTTCTTTATATTTCCATCATTGACAATGTTAATTATTAATGAAAAAACATATGTGGTGTGTATATTATATTTAATCTAGGAAGTAATCTGATGAATACATATTTTAACACTTAGATTTTTCTTCCAGATAACGATGGAAGGGAAAAACCACGGTTTCAGTATCAAAAGCCGAGCTCTTTTGTATGAGCTCCTTTGTGCCCTAATTGACCCAAAGCGCAAGGACACTAGAGGATTCAGCCACTTTGCAGAAATGACCGAGCATTTTGCCTTCTCTCTCCTGACTGATGTTACCTGTGGGTCTCCTGGTGAAAAGTGAGTTTTTTTCTAAAGTTATCTGGACCTGAAAGGTATTTCCATTTCCTCATGGCTTCCAAAGCAGTGGATGATACAGGACAATGGCAGGATTCTACATAGAGCATTTGGTCAGTCCTCTGCACGTGTGGGCCAAAGAGACCGATTGTTAGAGGAAGACAGCAGCCCTCGCAAGAGAAAGGAGTGTGCACGATCAACATCGCAGGGCTCTTGTGTGACAGCATCTTCAGGAGGAAGGCCTCATCTTGTCTGCTCCTGCAGGCAATAGTCAGGGAGTGAAAATCACGTTCTGCAGAGGAAAGATGCTGATTATGAACCTTGTGCTATGGCTTATGCTGCCCTAAGCCCAGATGTTTCTCCCACTAGAAAGCTGCTCTCAAACTTTAGGGATTTTCTGTGGCTGGAGCTACTCAGCAGAAAGCTAGCAAGAGAAAGAGAAAGTAGGATATACTCATGGTTATTATTAGCTTCATAATTAGTTATGTAACCACCTGTTAATATTTTTGTGCATGTTGATACCTAAATTACATTCTTAATCTAAATTGGATTTTTGAAGTCCAAAGACCTCCAAGTATTTTAAAATCCTAAAATCCACTGGCATAGAACATGGGCAGAAATTAAAATCCAACTTGATTTTCATGTTGCTGATGTATGCTACTATATAATAGGTATTTGGGTAAAAATATTTATATAAATGTTATCAACTTTATTATTTATTTTCAGTAAAAATTATCACCAGTGTTTAGTAAGTCACAATAGAAGTGAGTCATTTCAATAATGAATTCTGACAAACTAACAAAGAAATCAGCTGATTATATAAACCTTTGAATATAGTTCTTTGGTTGTAGACACATAAAAATTCAAAACAGTAAATTATATATAACAGACAAGGTGTAAAATACAGATAACACTGATGATATTAATTATGTTCTTGCTATATCCAGACTGCATTGAATAAAGAAACAGATAGGTAGAGACAGAGTAATACTGAAAATTTTATAAGGTTCAGCATTAGCCTTCATAAAAGCTGGTATATATCATATGTATACTTTATGAATCATCACTTTAGGCAAGCAATTGAAAGGTAGAGTTAGGGTTTTATGATTCATATTTACAAGTTCAGAAACTGAGGGTTAGTGTCTTGATCACCTTGACGGTGTTCATGTGAATAGTCCATGCTAAGTCTCACGCTCAGTCATAGGCCTGCTTGATTCCATACTCTGTGCTGGCCACCATGCTGCATGGTCATAACAGTGCAGTAAAACCAAAACTTCCAGCCTAGGTTTTCATTACAGATCCATTCCGGGGTGTCATGAAGTCAGGAAACATCTCACATCTCCTTACACTGCAATCCTTTAAGACCTGCTGTGAGTCCTGGGACTGATATTTTCCAAATGGGAAAATTAGCAAAGAATTAAAAAAAAAAAAAACCCTCACAGAAGTCTCTTTCAGGACATCCTCTCTCTGCCCATTACCACGGTTCCTACATTTCCCCCTGTGATAACTCTGAGCAGTTCAAACTTAAGTGCTATTTACATGTCTCTTATGTTGGCTGCAGAAACCTCTGTTATGGAGTATAGGGAATCATATGAAAGAAGGGGGAGTTAGTATGACCTGGAGAGGACAGGAGCTCCACAAGGACCAAATATATCTGGGCACAGGGATCTTTTCTGAGACTGATACTCCAACCAAGGATCATGCATGGATATAACCTAGAATCCCTGCTTGGATGTAGCCTAAGGCAGCTCAGTATACAAGCAGGTACCCTAGAAAGGGGAACAGGGACTGTTTCTGACATGAACTCAATGGCAGGCTCTTTGAGCTCTCCCCCTAACTCCCCCCCCCCCGAGGGAGGAGCAGCCTTGCTAGGCCACAGAGGAGAACAATGCAGCCAGTCCTGATAAGCTAGGGTCAGATGGAAGGGGAGGAGCACCCCCCCTATCAGTAGACTTAGAGAGGGGCAAGAAGGAGATGAGGGAGGGAGGGTGGGATTGGGAGGAAATAAGGGAGGGGGCTACAGCTGGGATATAAAGTAAATAAACTGTAATTAATATAAAAAATTTAATTAAATTTAAAAAAGAAACCTGTTATGGACTAGATGTTTACAATGAGACCACAGAATGTGTTTGGAATATAATGTGGTGGGGGGGTGGAATAGAGAAAGAAAGAAAGAAAGAAAGAAAGAAAGAAAGAAAGAAAGAAAGAAAAAGCATTTTGAGACATCATGTATGTTGAAGAGGGTGCTGAAGACCAGGAGAAAGCAAAAAAGGGAAAAACTCTAGAGAAGAACAGGTAAGAGAAAAACAAAAAGCCCATAAAGATCACAGTGTTCATGTTGTGTTTGTCAGCCACTGCTGAGCACAGGCCTGCCCTGGAGTGTCGCTGAAACAGCTGACAGAACAATGTAAAATGCTGTCCTTTAAGCCTCGGAAGAAACTTCTTACAGAGGAAACACACCGCTAGAGGAAAAGGATCGCTTTTATCTGTTCAGATTTTCATTTAGCATTATCTGATCCATTTTTCACATTACAGGTCTTACCAAGGTATCATTTTGATCCCCAATCTCTCAACACACTCTGTATACAGTGGGGCTGATAGAACCTTGGACAGATACCTCCCATAGTATCCAAATGTACCCTTTTGAAGGCAGGTTTCATATGTGTCTTGGTATCTGCTCACTGTTGCAAAGATGATGACTCCAGGAACAACTCATTACAAATTTCAGAGAAAATAGTTACAGATTTTCACATTCTTTGACCCATAAGTACTCTCTCTACATAAAGATTTTGTCTTAGCAAGGCTGGAATTTCACCTGTACTTTCAACCAAGTCTGCATGCATTCAACTCACACTGAGGTTAGAAAGCAATTTAACTGAGCATAGAATCTTATTATCCCTAAAAGATGCATGGAAAAACCCAGAAATATCAGAAGCATCAAGACCATTATTTAAGGGTGTTTTCTTACTAGATGGACAGTTATATTAGAAGGTTTTTATGTACTAGAAAGGCATAAGTAGATCTGAAATGAAAATGAAGCTATCGATTTTAAATAAAACCAAAGGCCCCACTGTAATAGGAATATGTTTTCTTCAGCACTCTTCACAGCCTATGACCAACACAGAAAAGTACATTTTAAAGCCACAGATTGTATTGTGATCATCATGTGACAGCTTCCAGGTTACAAGAAAGATCAAGCAAAGGGAGGTGGAAAGATGTAATGTTCGTGTAGGCAACGGAAAACAGATGTTTATTTAGTGTTGGGATTAGTAGTGTCATTGTTCTACGAGAAGAGAAAGACCTTCAGGTTAAACATTGAGCCAATACAGTGTGCTACACTGACAAAAGAACTGCCACCTCAGCAGAGGCTCATTTTTCTCTTGTAGAAGCAAAACCATCTTTGACAGTTGCCCATATTTGTCAATACTGGCTCTTCATTGGTACCCTCAGCAAATCAACGGACACAAGTTTGAAGGGAAGGAAGGTGACTACATTCAGATTCCAGAGAGGCTATTTGATGTTCCTGATGTAGAAATGCTGGACGGGAAAAGTGCATGCACATTTGTCCAGTTTGTGGAGTACAGCAGCCAGCAGTGGTTTGTAGCAGGAAACAACCTTCCTGCCCTGAAAGACAAGGTAATCTCTCATTTCAAAACATGTGATGTTTTATGTTATTTTTCCTTTAGCAGACAAACCCAGGACACATTTGCTTAGTTTTTTTTTTTTTTTTTTTTTTTTTTTTTTTTTTTTTTTTTTTTTTT